TCAAGGCTACAATGTGGATCCGCCCCCCCCCCCTCCCCACACGCTGCAGAACACACAGCCAACGAGTTAACTGAGCTCAAGGATTCAACCGAAAAGCTTCCAAATCCCGGGTCCTAAAGAATCCAAACCCTGAACCCCTAAACCGACCCTAAACCCCATAAATCTTAGAGCCCTAAACAACCTGAGTCTCTTCAGTCCCATTGCAGCCGCGCTGCCCTGCAGTCTTTGCAGTCACTCCAGGCTCCTTCTTCTGCAAGCTCCTTCGAACTGAGATTAGGGAGCCTGTGTTGCCAGCTCTATCATTACAGGGTTTGGGGCGTATGGTTGCAATACAGCAGATAAGTGACCCCTAAACCCTAAACTAAAGAATACCTCCCCCCACCCGCATGCGCATGGCCAGGTATCAAGGCCACCAAACCAACCCTGTCTCGCAAACTCAGCGCCCAGAACCTTTGACCCTACATGTTTGGTTTTCGGGGCTCCTTATGTTTGGGTTTGGGGGCTCCTTATGCCCAGAACTTCCGAAATCCCTTAATTAAGGAACATACCTTGAACCATATTACGGATCCTACTATAATTTAAAGCATATTCCTTAATTCAGGGATTTGGGGGCTTCTTATGTTTGGGTTTTCGGGCTCCTGCACGATAGGGTTTAGGAGCTCCACGGCCACCATGGACCACAGCGTTGTCGCGATAAAACAGAAAAGGAAAGACCTGGGTCAGGAAGCAGAAGCTGGGTAGAGTCTGCCTGGGCCTTACTAAACGAAGACTATAGGGTATGTTAGGGTACGATATGTAAATAAATACATATGAATAAATAAACATAAGTATATATATATATATATATATATATATATACATATTTAAAAATAAATCAATATATATATATGTATATACATGTATTTATATATATATATATATATATATATATATATAGATATATGTATACACAAACACATACACACACACACACACACACTCACACACACGTGTGGCGCCTTCGCAGCATTAGGGTAATTAGTATACCTATGTATGCACACAAACATATATGGTCCTTACGAAACAGAGTTTATCGGGGACTTGAGGACATAACATAGAGGCCGTACTAGTGAGGAAAGGGGATTAGTGATTAGTGCTCAAAGCTGCGCGGTTGAGGCCCTCAGCCATTCCCTCTTTTGCGCATCTATGCGATGGAGTCTGCCTCCAAAGTTCCAAAGCCTTCCACTGCTCATATTTGGGCCTTGCCAACTAGAACTAGAAGGAACATGTGATAATTATAGTATTCATGGTTAATTACTTAGGCCCAAGCCTCAATATCACGACTCTTTGAAGCTCATTCAATGGCTTCAGGAACCTGCCTCAACCCGAAAGCCGACACCCCAAATGCCTAGCTGAATCCTAAACAACTAAACAACAAAACCGGAGAACCGCAGTGTAGGTGCCTCAGCAAGGAGAACCAGGCGCGGGGATACAACGTTTATGCTGTGTATATATATATATATATATATATATATATTATAATGGTTATAGTGGCATATAGATTGTAATTCAAAGTTTATACTATTATTAACCACTCGACCCCTAAAGAAAGCCCTGTATGTAGTCAAGGCTCGACCCTAAACAGCCTAAACCGCAGCACCCCCAACGTTAGTAGAGAATGGAAGATGGTAGTAATAGTAGTTGTAATTGTACGCCATTCCTCCATTCCCTACTAACCCAAGGTAAGCAACAGAGCGTGTGAGACTCGTCTGGTCCGAGCTGCCACGCCAAGGTCCGGATTACGCTGGCAAACATCATCATGAGCTTCCTTAGGGCTGATTTGGGAGTTTCCGAAAATCAGAGGTACCTTGTTTTTTGGTCCTTAACATAAGGATCATACTATTCAGGGTTCGGACATTCCCATTTGAGGTTTGAAGAGTTTCGTAGTAGGGGTTCGAAACCCTGGGCTGAATCGGGGCATCTATTCTCAGGTGGTTGCGAACTACTGGGGTTTAGGGGTTTAGGGTTTAGGGTTTAGGGTTCCAGGTCCGGAGAAAGAAGGCGTCCCGGGTTCACGGCCTCAGCACAGCAACCAGATCCCTGTGCCTAGCCTCTGAATCATACTGTTTGCAAAACCCAGCAACGCTTCCACAACCTTCGAACCGTCCCAGAACCCTAACTTAATACACCTTTCCAAAGTCTCCCAAACCACTCGAACCCTCCGCGAACCTTCCTAAAAACCCCACAAGCTAGACCCTCCAATGTAAGCAAACCCTCCAACCTAGGTACTTCCCCAGATGGCCACACTGCTGCTCAGAAACTGCCCGACCCCCTGATGCAGGGGCTCATCAACTAGAACTGGCGTTTGGAACGTATTATAGTACTACACTTCTGGCAAGACATGATGAGAGGGATCATAGAATGGTAGAAATCTTAATTCTCGTCTCAAGAAATTTGTGATATGAAATGGTGAGACTATATAGGGATTATAGAGGTGTAGCTTGTCTTAAGGACTTGCTGGGTCTGGTTGTGCCTTGAGGGCTGAACTTCTGCAAGGCTCCGTAGCTCTCGTAGCGAGGGTGACTTCCGGATGAAGCGCATCAGCCGCATGATGCCTTTGAGCTTCATGTAAAAGTTGTAATTTAGGGGACTTAATAATTTTGAACAGGGTTCCTTCGAAAAGGCCTATAAGGGCTGCTATAAGAGATCTATAAGGGTACTAGGATAAAGGGGCCGCAATAACTAGAACAGAGCTTTGGGGCCCGTTAGACTGTAATTATAATAAGGAACCCCAGAATAGTATTGGTAATTATTTAGGCCTCTATATTAACAGAATGCTTGGCTTCAGGAGTTTGGGTTTCTATCCAACCCTGAACCTATAGGATTGAAGAATACCGAAGTTCAGGTGTGGCTGATTTTGTCCTCGGGGGCCAACTGTAGCCTATCAACAGGCTATGCGGCCCGAGTATAGACCCTAAATAACCGCCTAAATAATTACCTATGCTATTTTTAAGGGTTCCTTATTATAGTTACAGTATAGTAGGGACCCTCGGCATAGGTTTCGGCATGGCTTTGGCAAGCCTGTGGGGTATTGTAAACCCTTGACCCTTAAGCCTCGAAACAAGACCCCGCCCTAAACTCAGAAGCCCCAAAACCTATAAGGGGTACTTCTGGGTTCTATAATAGGACCCTAAAGGGAACTCCAGAAAGTTGGAATATGGTTTCAGGGTAGGATACCCTATAATTTACCATAAAGGGGTTAGGATAATGATATTCCAACTTTCTGGCTTCTACTGTAAACCCTAAACCCTAAACCGGGGTACTTCTGGGTTCTATAATAGGGTCCCCTTGAAGGGGTACTCTTGGATTCTATGATTCAATGATAGGGCCCGCTTTATCGGCGCAGGCCCCTTGCTGTCTCACACCTCGCACCGGTCGACCTCCAACGCTACTTGGCTGACTTCTGAACCCCTCCTGAACAAGTTCTACCTTTAGCCTCCTTAATATAGGTCATATAGGAACTAAGTTAAAGTCCAAAGAGCCAACCAGAAGAACCCCAAGACTAGATTCCGCGCTCTCGAACTGGCGGACTTGAGAGATTACAAAAAGGCGGGCTTAATAAACAGAATAAGGTTTGGGGCCCGTTATACTATATTTATACTAAGGAATCCCCAAAACAGTATAGGCAATTATTACAGCCCCCATATCAAGGTTGTAGGGTTTAGCTTTTAGGGCCTAGCTTGGCTTGGGGCTTTGGGTTTCAAGGTTGAGGGTTATGTGGCCTTCAAGCACGGTTTAGAATAGTTTAGTGCTTCACCGTTCAGATCAGTTCAGTCTTAATCCCCTAACTCCTAGACCCTGGCTTAAACCTAGAACCCAGAGACAGCATGCTTACCCACAAGGCGGACAAGCTGCGTGCGATGCGAAGGAGCTTGAAATACCGCACCTGGTCGGGCCGAAACTGCAAACCCTAAAGCCCCAAACCTACAACCTTCAACCCTAAAGCCTTAGCCCATACAAGAGCCCTTATGGCAACTCATACAAACCCGGCTAGAAGCAACGTAAAAACCCTAAATTTCATGGATATTTCGAGGGGCACATATCGGACAAACAGTTGTTCAGATTCCTGAAAAATCTGGGGTACAGAGAAGATGCCATCACCTTAAACTGAGGTTTAGGTCTTAGGGGGTTTAAGGTTTAGGGAATTCTGCACCCTTGATGTCAGGCCTCATCTGAATCTTGCCTTTCGACCTGCCATAAGATGGTGTCGGACTATCTGCGGCTAAAGCACGCAATAAGTATAACCTGAACTCCACAAGATGTGTGACACGACTTACTACTACAAATCTGCAACCCAAACGCCGTCCAATGTAACATCCTGCACCGCTAAAAATCGTCTGAGGCCAACGAATGTCTGTCTTTCTGAGATTTGGAACCGGCAATCCCCAGACAAAGTGGAATGAAACCCCACCCGGGAAGAAGTATCAGGGAACACGAAACTCTGTTGCTCAACCTACGCACAGTACCCACGATGAACTCCCAATCCTAAACCCCGATGTCCTGAGGCCCTGAAAGCCAAAAGCCCTTCAACTCTAAACTTAAGTCCAAAGGCCTAAACCCTAAAGCCCCGAACCACCTCTTCGACATTGCCACCACCAGCTAGTAGGAAGATGATCTCAGTAACCGAGGCGAAGACGATGCCTGGTCGGAGGATGAGCGGACTTGGCCAGTAGCATCGGAGCATGCTTACACACACTTACATATATACATATATATATATATAGACATATATATATATGTATATATATATATATGTATATATATATATATATATATATGTATAAATTTAATATGTATACACGTGTATTCGTAGCTTCAGAAGGATTCGGAGGGTTTCACTACATAGCTGACGTTTCCCTACATAGCTGACAGGTAGGCCCCACGCTGCTGCAGAGGTTTGGTCATTGGCCAGGGCCCACAAAACAGTCGCAGGCTTTAAGTGTCCAGTTTACGGCCGCTGGGTTTCGATTTGCTCCTTGGGGTAAGGTCTGAGTCAGAGCACCTGACCTCAGGTTGACAACAACATCTTTACAGGCTCCTTGAAGGGTTCTTTAGGGGTTCAGGTTTTTTTCAACCCGCTGAACTTCTGTCTCAGAGTTTTGGGTCGTAGCACCTGGCCGCTGAATCAAACATGACATGTTGCAGCAGCTTTTAACGACTTCTCAAGGGGCGTCCGAGAGGACTGGCAAGGCAAGCTGAAAGGGCAGACGGCCCTACTTGGAGGGTCGGGGGACTTAGAAAGTAGGTAGTAAGTAGACTTATAAGTACCCTAAAAGGGACCCTGATTGGGGCTATGGTACTTATAAGTCCCCAAAATAACCAGTTACTAAGTTAAGTCCCCCGACCCTCCAAGTACAAACCCAACACACACACACACACACACTCACAGAGACACGCGTGAAGCAGTGTGCGGGGCATGTACAGCAGACAAACATCCGAGGGTTGACACGAACATCAACAATAATTCTGACTCTGACACTAAGACAGATACTAACACTCGCACAACAAAGAGACATGCTCTCTGTCTCTGTCTCTGTCTCTGTCTCTGTCTCTGTCTCTCTCTCTCTCTCTCTCTCTCTCTCTCTCTCTCTCTCTCTCTCTCTCTCTCTCTCAAACAAGCAAACAAACACACAGACCAACGCTCAGAGAAGCACCGGAACGCCATAAGCCCAAAGCCCTTAAGCCTAGACTCCAGACTCTAGACCTACAGCCCATGCTGTCCCAAACCGTGTAACCATGAATTTCTCGCTCAGGCACTTATATCAACCCACCAGTCGAAAGAGCGAAGCACTTGCCGTCCATACACCTCGCTTGTTGTCCCCACGGATTGTTTTCTAATGAGGAAAAGGCATGGAAGAGACGATGATGGTTTAGGACTCAGTGTGCGGGCTCGGTGTTCTGTGTGCAGGTGTGTTTGCCGGTTGCGTGTTGCTTGTTATTGGCATCTGAGAGTATAGAGGACTTTGTCGTGCGATGCGGGGTATGTTCATGAGTTGCCGGGGAATTGCAAGCTGCAGGTGTGAAAGCTAGTCGCCTGAACGTGCGGCTGTGGAGAGACGCGCCATCATGGAGATTCTGAAGCGCTGCTCTTCAGTGTGGAGTCTTGCTTGTTGCTTTTGTTCTTCTGGGATTTTGCGCTTGGAAATCCAGGACAGAACCACATGTCTTTCAACCCCCCAAAACCAGCGCTCTAAACACCTCAAGCTACTGTAGGAACCCGATTAAGAAACCTTGGGCCTTTACTATAGGGCTCTTTATATAAATCCTACCATTTCGGGGGTTATAGGCCCAGGGTTTCTTAATCAGGTTCCTACATTAGCCGCCCCCCTTAAGCCTGACCTTCGCGGATCCCTGAGCTCATGTCTTCGGGCATTGCCACAGCCGTTACACCCAAAGCTGGTAACTCTGGGGGCTCCAAGAAAGCAAGAGTAATTACGAAGGCCAAGAGTACCTACTTTGGGGTCTAAAGTCTATAAATGGTACCTACTTTGGGGGCTAAAGTCTATAAATAGTACCTACTTTGGGGGCTAAAGTCTATAAATAGTACCTACTTTGGGGGCTAAAGTCTATAAATAGTACCTACTTTGGGGGCTAAAGTCTATAAATAGTACCTACTTTGGGGTCTAAAGTCTATAAATAGTACCTACTTTGGGGGCTATCTGGAGCCCCAGGGTAAGGGCAGCAGAGCCTATGCAACAAAGGACCTAACTTATACGGGGCTTTTATCATCTTAGAACCCTGTTGTAAGGACTACAGGGAGATATTATTGTTACTGCCTGGAACCCTCAAAACCGAAACTTTTAATCTCCCAAGCCTTCCAAATTGCCTGTACCATTTTGGGGGTTCCTTACTATACATAAAGTATAATACCACCCAAACAAACCCTTACTCTAATCATTAGGTCCGTAAATGCACTTTTCGCTAGAGATCCATGGCCAGGGGGCCAGAGCATTTGCGAGCAGCTCGAGGAAATAGAAGGCAAGGCACCCCTTCATGCTTTGGAGGTTAGGGTTTAGGATTTAGGGTTTAGAGTTCAGGGTTTAGGATTTAGAGCTTAGGGTTTAGAGTTTAGGGCTAAGGGGTTTAGAGTTGAGGGTTTAGAGTTTAGGGTATAGAGTTTGGGGGCGGTGGTTTTCAGGAGTAGGATTTGGAGCAGGGAGCTGGTTGGCTTTAGCCGAGTAGCTCTACAAGGCTATGTAAGGGCATGACCATGTAAAGCAACATCACACAGCTCCCCTCAGGTCCCAGACTAGACCGAAGAGTAACCTAGGAAAAAAATGGGTGCCCTTTCCTGTTTGAAGGGGTTTATAAAAAAAATCTAAACCCTGACAAAAGGGGATCAGGGCCGACTCTGAGTCCTAGCAGATCAACTTCCCCCTTCAAGTCCCGGGTTGGACTTGGTTTGGGTTCTCGCGTCTCTCTGTCATGTTAAATGCAGGAGGTTGCCTGGGCTTGTGCATTGGAAGGGACATCTTCCACAGGAGCTCAACTTGCGCACGAATCACCGGCCGGGGGCTGCACATCTCCCACAATTCGGACCCCTGAAAACAAACCATATTCCTAAACCTGCGTCGCTAGATCACTGAACTTCTGCATGCACCATCAAACTGCCAAACCCTACCCTTAATCCAAGAGTCCTATGCCCTAAAACGCTAAGTCCCAAACCCTAAACCCAAAGTCCTGAACCCTAAATTTGAAGCCAGCTCTCCTGCAACTCAGAGGGCTGGTTAACCCCCTGGGCAGATGCTTTGAAGCCGCCATGCAATGGATTATCGCCAACTCCCTTAGGACCCTTTTAGGGTTCTGCAAACTGGATCCTTCAAAGGGGCCCCTTATTGGATCTTAGAGCTTTCCCCACGAGCTTCTGAAGCGTGTTTGACAAGGCCCGTAAAGCTTCCTGAGGATTCTGTGGAGGTTTCTAGAGGTCCTATTACCATGGGCTCTGGAATCCTAGAGCAGATGGATATGCCCAAGCCTAGTCCTACAACCCCCCAAACCCAAAATCCCGAGCCCTGAATCATCCGAAATCCTGCATCAAGAAATCCTGAGAGCCCGCTCCTCCTGAAGCCATCGCATCCTAATCCTTCAGCCCTCAACAGCCCAGAGACTCCATTATCCCTTAATTAAGGGAGATTCCTTAAATTCTAATAGGATCCCTAATATGAGTTAAGGAATATTCCTTAATTAAGGGATATTGGAGTCTCTGGGAGCCGCGAAACCCCACCTGGCACGCCAGGAACGCCCAGGTAGGAGCAGTGACCCCAGCTGCTCTGAGATCAATATCGATGCACGTAAGACCGACCTGAGCCCGGCCGCACGGCATACTAGAGAGGCCTTAGTAATTAGAATAGGGTTTTGGAGTCCATTATACAATAACTATAATCAGGAACCCCCAAAATAGTGGTGGTAATTATTTAGGCCCCTGTATTACCTGTCTTTGTTAAAAGGCCTTCTGATACTGCGTGAGGTTTGCAGGTTTAGGAGTTAGGGGCCGAGGACGACTGAGCGGTATGCAGCGGTACCAATGTTACAGGCATTTTAGAAACAAAAAGCATTACCACCAAAGAGAATCCACAAACTCATCACCGCGTGCAGATAAATCCTTCACAAGAAAACCCTAAGCCTCCAACCGCTAAACCCTGAAACGCTAAAGGCCCAACTGCGGTACGTTTCCTTCTGGTTCCTGTGTGTAGCTATGCCATTATGTTCCGGGAAATTCTGTTCTAAGTTTTCAGCCCTTTAGGGGTTTCAATAGCCATATTCGGAAACCCGGAAACCTGAAGGAATCGCAATACAAAGTCTTGAGGCCCCTCATAATGTAGAAGCCTAGATGATTACCAACATTATGCCCTAAACCTCCGTACCACAGTTATACGATACCCTAAGGCTCATGGACCCTTGTAGTGAGATCCCAAACCCTAGCCCCCAAAGCCGAAACCCTCCCCCAGAAAGCCCAAGACCCTCTTAGGAGCATTAGGGTACAGGAGACCAAACCCCGAGTCTATTTCTTCAGACCCTTCTGTCGCACCCTCGCCCTAAACCCTAAAACCGTAAACCCCTAAACCCTAAAACCGTAAACCCCTAAACCCTAAAACCCTAAACCCTAAACCCTAAATCCAGCAAGTCGCATCCACCACGACTACCAGTCCCGAGATCAGGTCCAGAGCTGGAGATTGCAAGCACGCCTTTCGCTTCTTCGGTGTCGCTTTGGCTTTTCTTAGGGCCTTTAGCGCGCTTGTTTAGGCTTTCCTAAAGGATCTTTGGGGATTCCGTTTTAGGGAGTTGTGAGGCTTCCCGAAGGGTCTTGAGGGCTTATAGTAAGGTTTCGGGTTGTCTCCTGTGTTGCCGGCTTCTCTACGGGCCTCTGGGCTTAGGGCGCTTGAGGCCTTTCTATGGGTCTTCGGATTTAGGTCTTCTTCGGGCTTTGCTAAGATCGATCTTTGCGGTCTTGTTCAGAGTATGATCTAGAGTATCTTCAAAGACGGGGCCTCTTCTAGCATGGAGGGTCCTGAATTCCGAAGCCGACTCTGGCGAAGACGAATTTATAATGGCCAGAATGCTCACCGCACGCAGAAACACTACAAGCCCTTGCTGCGAAAGTGTGGAGACTAAGCGCTAAACCCACCTAGCCCATTTCCATTAACATACTAACATGCCCCCTAGCCCAGAACACCACAACTACCCCACACCCTCTGAAGAATCCCACAAAGCCCAAGACCCTTAAACCATTCCTGGCATGCCCAAACCCCAAGATAGGTGTTATGGTATGTTGTACTATAGGAATACAGGGACTGACTCCAAGATCATATGGGAAGAAGAAGACTACTACTACTACTACTACTACTACTACGACTACTACTACTACTACTACTACTACTACTACTGCTACTACTACTACTACTACTACTACTCCTACTACTCCTACTACTACTACTCCTACTACTCCTACTACTCCTACTACTCCTACTACTCCTACTACTCCTACTACTCCTACTACTCCTACTCCTACTCCCTCTGCTGCTTCTACTGTCACTACTGCCACTACTACCCCTACTGCTGCCACGGCTACTGCTACTGCCACTTCCACTGCTTCAGCTACTGCTACTGTTGCTACTACGGTTGATGATAGAAATCCTGCATTACCTTAATGACCCAAACTATGGGAATTATGGTGTATATATATATATATATATATATATTCATATGTATAAATATATATATATATATATATATATATATATATTCCTTAATTATTAAGGGTAATGAAGGGTTTATATCATCAACCGTGCTACTACAACAACAGCTACTACTACTACTACTACTACTACTACTACTACTACTACTGCTACTACTGCTGCTACTGCTACTGCTACTGCTACTGCTACTGCTACTGCTACTGCTACTGCTACTGCTACTGCTACTGCTACTGATACTGCTACTGCTACTGCTACTGCTACTACTACTACTACTACTACTACTACTACTACTACTACTACTACTACTACTACTATTACTACTATTACTACTACTACTACTACTACTACTACTACTACTACTACTACTACTACTACTACTACTACTACTACGATTAGTGCTACTACTACTGCTACAACAACTACTACTACTACTACTACTACTACTACTACTCATTACTGCTACTACATAACCTTAGCGGCAAGGCAGCAACAAAAACAACGCCTCGACAGTGCGCCGGCTTGTGAGCGAACTCATGGCGAGCACTTCGCCTTCCTTGGTCCTCGTGGAGCCGCGGATGAAGTTCGATGGGCCCTGCTTATACCTCGGATTCACGGTTTAGGGTTTGGGGTTTAGGGTAGCCTCGGATGCAAGAAGTTTTTGGGAATTGAAGGCTTTCTATTGGGTAGTTATATGCACGATACCAAAGAAGGGCGCCGGGAATCGAAACAAGCTTCACAGACAAGTTGGAAGTTCAGGCTAAAGCCGACCAGCCTGAATCCTTTGCTAGTTTGAACGGTGAACCTCCTAAGCCCTAAACCCCTCAAGCGCTGATGATGGGAAGCATTGGCATCCCCAGTGTTCTGTTCGCAACCTCGGACCACCCAATACCTTAGACCGCCTAACATAGAGGCATTAACAAGAATCGTGGAGTAGGGTATAGTCAAAGAAACCTACAAGCACTCCAATCCCAAACTATTGGGGGTTATAGGGCCAAGGCTTCTTAATCAAGTTCCTACACTATCATAGTAGCTTTATAGATCCCTTATAGTAACCCTTAGACCCCTTTAAAGGAACTCTAGTAGGTTCCTACATTAGCTTGAATCAATTCATTAAGGTCCCCATAGCTACTTAATCAGGCTCCTACATTACAGAACCCCTTATAGTACCCATATAGATCCCTTCTAGTAATCCTGAAAAGGAGCCCTTTAACTCATTAAGGTCCCCAATTTCAGTATAGGAGCTGAACTTCCTGGAACTCGGCGGAATCGCCTGAGCCAAAGGCCATCTTAAGGGTTTAGGGTTTAGGGTCATGCGTGTGGTGTGCGCCGGCAGTGGGTTCAGTGTTTTGAGGGTGTAGCTTCAAGTTTGTGGTTTTCGGATTTGATTATGGATTTTTGGGCGCAGGGGATCCTAAAGGTTTAGGGGCGCGAACATCAAGGCTGTCCCTCCCAACCTCACAAACCTGAATCCAATAGGGTCAAAGGTTCAGTCCTAAACGCTGCAGGTTCCGGGATTTTGCACATCCTAGACATGCGCAAACGATGACGGTCGGAGGCATGATGGCGCAACAGCACTTTTGTAACACTTGAACAGTGATTAGTTCTATTGCTGACGAGGCATTGAGCCTTGAATGTCGTTCGGGGGGTGTCTCGTATGGGGCCTTCATAGTTAGAAGAGGGCTTAGGGATATAGTTGAAGACCTCTTGTTCACGTGAGAATTGAGATGGGGCTTGGCTGGGGTCACAGGAACTATTACAAACTAGCCCTGAAAATTGTTGAAGTTCGTGCCATGAAAGGTAAGACCTCTCAGCAGCCCGTGTAGATTTAGGGGTTAGAACGTGGGTAGACCATGTGTAGAAGGGGAAGCTTTACGCGTGAGCGTACTCAGTTTAGAGTAGCTGCAACACAAAGTGTGGAACGATCATTTCCTCGTGAACACCGTCGCTGTCACCATCGTCAGCGCCATCCTACCATCGTACATCATAACCAACACCGTCATAAACCCCAACAGCCCTAGTTCATCATCACCAACATTTAATGAAACTGCTGCGTGCGGAGACCTGTCGGGAGGCAACCCGAAGTCCCGTCTACAGTGCTTAGGGCTTACATGGTCTATCAAACCCTAGATGTAGACACTCAACCCTAAACACTAAAATACAAACAAGGTAGCCTGTCGAAGAGCTGTTGCTCAAAGCAACAACTGCAGTCTTGAATGCGAAACAAGGACATGGGCTTTGAACCAACAGTCCTACATAACTCCCAAACTCTCTGCGGACTATCTTCAGACCCCGGATATTAAATTACCGCAAACACATTATGCACTGAACTCCTTAAGGGGTTTAGTGGCGGAGGGCTGTGGTTTTAGGTTCTAGGTGTGCTTTTCCTTGCTTGAACTCCTTTTCTTCCAGATCAACTTTAAAGCATTGGCGGCATTAGCAGGACTTTTAGACAGGCGGCGTGTTTGCGTTGGTGTCTCGGGCTCGGCACCCCACATCTTGCCGAACGAAACGGACATGGCAGACACTTTTCCAGGGTTTGTGTGGGTTCAGGGTTTACTTAGCTCTGATCTTAGGAGGACTATTTGAGAGTTAGGGCCCGGCTCGGGATTAGTTCCGGTGGAGGTTTTCGGCTCCGCGCTGAGGGGTTGAACGAGCATCTCTTCGGAACATATGGCTTCAGGGGTTCAAAACCACGAACCCCTGGCCTTAAGCCCCGGAAGCCTAGCCCTAAAACCACAGGCGCCCGAACAGCAGCGTCACCCCTGGAGCTGTACAGGTCGTTCGCCCGAGCCCAGGGTGCGTGCTTGAGCAAAGGCTGGAAAGAACAAGACCAGGGTGACCAGGGTGCCTTTAGCGGCTTGGGGTTTAGGGCACCCCAAAACCCCGAACAAGGTATGATGACAGGGTTATTGTATTGTATGCAACGTAGCAACCACAAGTGGCAATCAGAATTCCAATTTCAACAGCAAGCATCGAAATCACAATGGGTGCTGTACCAGACATGGTAATGATGCCCCAGTTACCCAAGTATGGGATCGCTAGGCGATTGTGTGCTTAAAACCTTCCCGTACCCTAAACCCTATACCCTGAAACCTCAAACCCTTAAACCCTCAACCCCTAAACCCCTGAACCCTGAACCACTAAACCCTAAATCCCTGAACCCTCAAACCCTATCTCTGACTAACCCCCCCAGAGCAGCATGATTTCACAAGCCTTCAGGAAATGGTCGTCAACCCTCTGCCAAGGCTATCAGCCGTAACCCCTAAACCCTAAACCCTAAACCCCTAAACCCTAAACCCTAAACCCCTAAACCCCTAAACCCTAAACCCGTAACTCCAGCAACGCATAAACCCAGCAAGCTCGGCTTCATAGGGCTAGCCTCAACCTAAACTTTAGGGGTTTCACGGTTTAGGGTTTAGGGTTTAGGGGTTTTAGGGTGTGAGTGTCTACGGGCTCCGAGTTTGGGGCTTACTATGGGTTTACAAACTCCTAAATCCCTCAACCCAAACCCCCCGAAAACAGCTCGTAACATCATGGGGGTGCCGCTCTCATCCCCAGCTTTGTGCATCCTTGAACCTGGTGGTTCCGAGAAGTGCTGGCTGGCGGCTTGACATTTTAAGGTTTTGGGTTTAGGGTTTAGGGTTTAAGGTTTAGGGTTTAGGGTTTTGGGTAAGTCTTGCTACAGCCAAGACTTCGGATTCCTCGCTTCAGGACACAACGAAAAGCTTGCAACATGGTCGTGCGACAGGCTTTTATGGAGCTCCTTGGCACGGATGCCAGGATTGCAGGGGTCTTTCCGTATGAAGGAGGACTTTCTAAAAGAGCACTTCCACCGAAGCTTCCTGTGTGCTTCGCGACGGCAACAAGCTGCTGTGGCTTTGTCATGGCTCGCACTCCCAAGCGGAAACGCTTGCCACTACAGCCTTGCTCCTTCCACCTGAGTCTCGCAGTGTTGCGAGATTTTGCCGAACCACTTTCTGCGCTTGATTTGCAATATCCCTACCCTCGATCTTCAACATGCGGAACTTGCAAGAGTACTGCAGGGTCCTGAGAGGCTAGAGAGCAGGGCAAAGCAGGCACACTTCGGGGCTTTTGGCTTCAATCCGAAGCCCTAAGAAGCGAAAATGAGGGCTCTGTATGTTGGGGTGTGGTTGTGCCATAATGAAGTCCGAGGGCTTGATTTTGGCACGACGGAGCCGATGAAACGTCATGAGCACTAGGTTTTTCGGTTCCGTAGGGTAGATCTGCATTTACGACTTCATGGTCTGTCATGGTTCTATTGGGTGCCACTATCGTGTGACCTGTCGCTCACTGGAGCCCAAAGTCCTCCACAACTCAAACTTGAACTGAACAACAGTTTATATACGTACATACATACATACACATGTACGTGCATACGTCCATACGTAGCTACATACCTACCCACAGACCCACAGAAGTTAATTTTCTGCCGTCGATTGCTCAAACAGCCTGCAACATAACCTCCGAGTCCACTTGGTTGTGCAGTAGTTTTGGCTTTGGGACCGACTGAGTCCCCAACGACACAGATCAGCATGTAGAAGTTGAACGAGGCCTGCTGGACTTTTCGTTTCGAAGGCTGCGGATTGAATACTTCTGGCTTCAACATAAGTGCTTTGAGGCTTATTAGGGTCTTTGGGGCCAGAGTCTAGGTATACGATTTACGGTAGCCTCAAACTCCCAACATTCTGCAATTCGAAGCGGAAAATGCCAACCTTGATTCCGTACAGTTACAACGCGGCAACACGAGCCAGGGGTTCAACAGTGATTTTCCTACAGGGTTGCGGTTTCCAGGTGTTTACGTACTGGTTTGGGGTTGGAAGATTAGGGTTCCAAGGCTCTTCCTTCCTAGTGGCAAAAGGAGAAGAATTCGAATAGGGTTTTGGGGCACATGATGTTGTAGGGCATTGTAAGGCATCTATATTTCCCCGCTCATCTCATTACAGGGTTGATCTTGCAAGTACCCGCACCCCAAAGAGACACTCACCAACGTGCTTGAGGAGCCTTGCATACACTGCCTAAGCATGCTTAGCTCTGTCCCTAGGATAGAAGGCACTTGAGCCTTCGCTCGAAGATATGACACAAAAAGGTCCGCATCTCACCCATAAGAAAGACTTCCTTCGTAGTTCAACAACACGAGTTGAGGAGCCCAATGATCGACGGCTAACCAATTGTTCAGCGCTCCATATCAGACATCAGTTTCTGACTTCCGAGTCATCAGCCGACTGTAGACGTGTCTCTACAGCCTTGGAAGAACACGAGACCTTCATTCCAAGAAACACCTTGCAGAAAATATGCAAAATCGTGAACTTCAATAGAGCCAAAGAGCATACAGTGCAATCCCAAGGGGGTAGAGCCTGGCGGCAGCTGGGACGAGCGCTCGGTTTATGGCTCAGGATTCTTGATGAGCTCGAAGTATTTCGACATGCAGATAGGACGGTTAACGGTGCGGGGCGGATGCTACAAGATCCGGGCAGATGAAAGTTATCGTGTAGACTTGCGGTTCGGGTTTGCGGCGGTACTTCGGGTCGACTCAGTATCTACTAAGCTTGGAGGTATCGGATTGACAGACCTGGGTCCACTCTGCATCTTAGGTTGCTTTCACTTTCTCAGACTCCTGAGTTGTCCTTTAAGCCCTTCGAAAATTACTTACTATTATGGTTCTCGACAAACTAGTAGTGGAAATTAAAAAAGATCCCAAAGGACAACCCAGACTCGTGATATTGCACACGCAGTTGAATTATTTGAGCTTCCAGAACCAAACCAAAACAACCGTTCAGTTTAGGGTTTAGGGTTTAGGGTAACGTGCTCGGGCCGGGCTACTTCAGGATACACGTGTTCTTGGGGCAGCTTTGGCCGGACTGAGAGGTCTCATTTTTGGAAGTTGCATGAAGGTTTGTCAGGGAGCCCAATACCCCTTAAGGAATATAGGTTCAATCATAATATGAAGCCCCTTGTAATGTTCGGTACATTCCTTAATACAGGGGCATTTTGGGGTCTCTGGCTTAGGCTTGCTTTGCAAAGGCTTTGAAGCTTCCAGACGGATTTCGGAGGCCCACTTAAGCCCTAAACCCTAAACTCCAAACCGCAAACTAAACCCTAAACCCCAAACCCTCAACCCAGGCTTGGGTGTGGAAGGGCTTTGGAGCTTCTAGGGTTGAAGTTTCGATTTGGGGAGGCTTCTGGCTCGGCTTGGGGGTCTTGGTTTTGGGTTTCGGGTTTAGGGGTTTAGGCGTGTTGAAGCCTTCTCCAAGGATTTAATGGGTTGAGCACTTGAATTGAAACCTCATCTGCGGACCGTCAGAAACCTAAATAGGTCCTCCATAGAGCATGATCTCTAAGCATCCCTCGAAGCCGCAAACACTATAGACTGTTACTGATTCTATACCCCAAACAGCAAGCACTTAGACCACAAAACACCCCTATGCGCGAACATCGGATGCATCCCGCGCGCACCCGGAGCTCTCGCACGCGGCAAAGAGGTCGTTGAGAAACCCGAAACCCACCTGCGACCGGGATGGACTGCTTTTTTGAGTTTTAGAGTTTAGGCGGGTTGGTCGACGGAACAGGGTTTCTTGTTCGGGTTTAGTTACCCTCACCCCCCCTGGGGGGGTCCAACAAGTAGATCACCTAATGTAGGACTCCCATTAAGGGATCTACTTTTGGATCCTGCCGGCGGGTCTGAGTAGGGCGGAGATATCAATGTACGTGTACACCGTGGCCAAGCCGATGTAATAGAAGCCTGACAAATTATTAAGATTATTACCATTTTCTTCTGATTAGTCTTACTATTGCTCTTATTATGAATGCTACTAGTACTATTATGATTAACTTATTTCCGATGCCAGGCTTGCGTGCTGGATCCGACCCACATGCCGATCCCATTGCTTTGAATCTTGGACCCCTGCAAGCCCTGAAATCTGCATCCTAGGCTTGACCAATCTTACTTACATGATCATGGGACTTAGTAGTTACAGGCTTATCGGGTTATAAGCCAGGTAACATTACTTATAGCGTCTTATAACCCCAATTAAGGTACTTACAACCTTACTTACTAAGTCCCATGATCCTCCAAGTAACACTGGGGCGGCTTGTGAGAACTGTCAACACACCGACGACTCCTCGCCCCGTGTGTGAAACCAATGACGCGCACCGATTAACCTCTGCCCTGTAGCATAGAATCGACATCGCAGACAGGAATACTCGAAACTCTTCTGACTCTGAAGCGCTACAGGCCTTCTTGGGTTTAAATCCTGAAACCTAAGACGCTGAAACCTCAAGCCTACACTTCAAACCCTGGCCCTACGGTTGATGATAGAAATCCTGCATTACCCTAATGGCCCTAGACTCAACCTTAGCACAGGTTACTTTTTATTTTGTGAAGTTCTACCCCTAAATAAGAACAGCCTGGCCGGTGATCTGAGGAACTAGGACCTCATGAGCAGGGGGTTACGGCTTAAGGGGTTAGGGATTAGGGTTTAGGGTTTAAGGGGCTAGGGTTTCGGGATTTTACGGGTATCTTTAAGGGTTTCCCATCAGAGCAACTAGGCGTTTAGTGCTGGAAGGATTCGGGACTTAGTACTTATCACACTTTTCACCCCTCTTATTCAATCCACCGATCCTTCAAGCAGGGTCGTAGTGCTTTGGGGCTTGGGTGTCGCAGGTCAGGGGCAAACAAAGGGAGCCTAGTTGTGCCCCTAAGCAGCAGGATGCTTGCTGCAACGGTTGATGATATAAATCCTCCATTACCCATAATAAGGAATATATGGGAATTGAGACATACCTTAACCTACCAAACCCTACTTTTTTGCAGGTTCTTATTATAAACCCTAATATGGGATTTATAGGAACCCTACAAAAAAGTAGGTTTTGGTAGGTTAAGGTACTCCTTATTATGGGTAATGCAAGATTTATATCATCAAGCGAAAGATCCCCCCTCCAAAAAAATTAAAGGGACTCCGATCTTGAACACACACCCAGTTTAAGGTTCCGGGGATGCTATACAGAGCCTAGAACCCTAGCAGCAATTATAATTTTAGTTGTTTCTTGGGGATTATAATCACCAAATTTCTAAGTACCCTTAAGGACGTGTGAAATTGAATGTAAAGCCACTTTGGCCGAGGGTGCGAGTCGCAGCCGGTTCAGAGTCAGGGGTATCGTGTTTGGAGGTTGCAACTTGGTGGGTTTGGGTTTAGGGTATAGGATAGCGCGGCCATCTCAAAGTACTTGAGAAGATTCCTACGATCGGAATCGGTATGAGGCCCCTTCTTTTCTGGAATTGCCATGCCCATCTGCCGAAAAACACTTCACATGACACTTTCCAATGAATGCGTGATCAAAGCCTGCAGCTGCACACGAGGAAACCCTATGGTATCCCAAACCCCTAAACCGTGGTAAGGTACCCAAAGGCTCCAAAGTAGTTCCTTTTTGGGATTACCTTGTAGGATTCTAAATATGAGCCCCCAAAAGGAACCACTATGGAGCCTCTAGGTAGAAGCATTAACACTTAGAGTGGGGTGTTTCAGAGGTCTTTACACCTTACAAGAAGGAGCCACAAGGAGTAGTATTGGCAATTATTGTACTGTCGTCCAGAAAGAGTAAAGCCTTTAACCTTAAACCCCAAGGCGCATGGATTCGTCCAGGGCGGGACATGGGTGGTTCTACGGAGAACTCATACCTAGCACTACATGGCCCTCAAGTCTGTAAGGCCCTGAAGCCAAGAGCGTTTGGGAGTTAGGGGTGTAGGGCTGAGGATTAGGTTTCTTTTAGGGTTCCGTCCTTGGGGTTGTTGCATGGTTAGCGTTAGGATCTCGGTCCTTGCGCTACATTCCGAAGCCCGAAGCACCCAGAGACTCCAAAACCCCTTAACTAAGGAATATACCTTAATCTATAGTAGGATCCCTCATATGATTTAAGGAATATTCCTTGATTAAGGGATATTGGAGTCTCTGGGCAGGAGATCATGACAATTTTACCCCTTCAGTCTCGCACGCAGATGATGATCTGGAGGATCCAGGCCTCTCAGCGTCTTGGTTTAGGGGTTTAGGGGTTCAGGGTTTAGGGTTTAGGGGTTTAGGGTTTAGGGGTTTAGGGTTTAGGGGTTTAAGGTTTAGGGGTTTGGGGGTTTAGGGGTTTAGGGGTTTAGGGTTTAGGGGTTTAGGGGTTTAGGATTTAGGGGTTTAGGGTTTAGGGGTTTAGGGTTTAGGGGTTTAGGGGTTTAGGGGTTAAGCGTTCAGGGTCGTATCTTTTCTGAGCACGAGGGAAATTCTCTGTGCACGCAGGTTCTTGCTAATAAGATCGACAGCTTAAATGTTTGGTTTGGGTGCGGCAATTATGAAACTTACCTTTGGTTAATAGGGAATGGAAGAATGGTAGTAATAGTAGTTAAAGTTATACCCCATTCCTCCATTCCCTACTAACCAAAGGAAAGAAAACTGAGGGCCTTGCCCTGCCGAAACATAAGGTCCAAGGCTCAAACTCCACATCACAGCAGTTGCACCAGTACTTACACTAAGGCCCCAAAGCAGTTCCTTTTTGGGGTTCATACTTAGAATCCTATAATGTAATCCCAAAACGGAACTACTTTGGGGCCTATGGGTACTATTCCCGCAGCATCAGGCCGCGGAGAAACACAACACATCAGCAGCTTCCCGACCAAAAAAAGGAACTTTGAATCAACTTGAACCCTAAATAGCCCCTGTTGAACAGGGCCCTAAACCCTAAACCCTAATATGTGAGGAGAGTCGCCATAATCAACGAAACCATCTCGGTCGAGAACAAACCGAACACGTGTTCTAACCCTAAACCCTAAACCCTAAACAAGGAGACCTTTCAGGTCCTACTGCTGATGGACAAAATCCTGCATGACCCTAAGGACTCTAAACTGTGGGAACTATGGTATATTCCTTATAATGGGTAATGCAGGATTTTGTCCATCAGCAGTACTATAGGGGCCTTCATGATTGGAACAGGTTTTGGGGTTATATTATACTATAATTGTAATAAGGAACCCCGAATAGTATAGGTAATTATTTAGGCCCCCTGTATTAATGCAAGAAATGCTTCAAAGGCCTTTACCGCAAGTCTGTCATTCAAACGACCACCGTCCGAACAACACCCAACCCCTGACACATTCGACCGAAGAGCACAAAGCTTCGGTCCTCCTTTCTACACGGCAAAAGTGCAAATGCGACCTACACCTGTAATGCTACAGTGGAGTGCTTCCATCATTTTGCCGTGTGTTGCAGTTTGGCCCGCGATCCGTTCTTATATGGCGTTTTGCTGCTGACCTGAGACGTGATGGAAGGCACTTTTTACATCCTGTCTGGCAGGCCTACATGTTAAATTGTTAAATGTTCCTTCGATATAGGAGGCGAAAAGGTTGGACGTGTCTGTCGCCGGGCTTAGCTGCCTGTCCTTGCACGCCAGAGCTGGCATGAGCCAGTCTAACTCTTGAATCGAAGTACCTACGTCATGAACCACAACCGATGGTGTCCCAAGAATGTTGCAGGATAAGTCATGCCTGCCTCCATCATTGTGATCCCGTGCACATTGGGCATATCGAAGTCTCAACTTAATTCTACATTCAAACACTTTGCAGGCCCTGCGTCTACAAGTGGCGGTGGTCTGAAGCCCCGAAGCTCTAAACCCTAAACCCTTCTATCCTAAATCCATAGCTGCGGCAGGGGAGCCTTTGAAGCATTTTACGCCCGAAAGCAAACCCGGAGGTCTCTCTCCGAGATGCCCAAGGCAAGCATCCTAAACCCGAAATCCGGAACCCCCCAAAATAGGGCAAAGCGGCGAGAGAAAGGATGGCGAAGATGATGCCGGTGATCAGCTTCAGGATCGCCACCACCAAGCCTCGCTTCGGGACTTTGAAGAGGCCGGGAGGCGGAGGCCACACAATTTTGGGGGTTCCTTATTACAGTTATAGTATAATGGGCCTTTAAGGGATCTATAAGAGTTACTATAAGGATTCTGTAAGGGTTTCAGGGGTACTTAAAGGATCATGGGACATAGTAACTAGGGTGATAGTATAGGTAAGGTGGCTATACTTGTAACTACTTATACCCCCAGCTACTGTAAGGTACTGGTAAACTCACTTATTGACTAAATCCTATGATCCTCCAAGCAGGGGTTAGGCTTCATTGTCTTTGAAGGCTCGGCTGGGAGGAGGAACCCCCCCCCCCCCCACCCCGCTTAAGGAAAGGAGGTCCGTAAGTTCAACAAGGCCTCGCTTGCTTGGGTGGGTCAGCTTTCACCGCGAGAAGGGAATTTCATCCACCCAAAGCACCCCAAAAACCATCAGCCCGAATCCCTAACAGCGAGACCTGGAACCATATCTTCAAAAGACAGAGCAACCGACGACACGTGAAAACAAACACACAACACATGAAATAGTGCAAGATGGCTGAATCAAACAAGCGTATACTCGACTGTACCTGAAGCCAAGGGAAGTGTGTTGCTATCTATTCAGGCCTCTATGTTAGAGCCCGGAATCTTTCTAGTCCTTCAGTTTAGGGTTTAGGGTTTAGGTTTTAGGGTTACAAAAAATTTCCCATAACTTCGACACCAGCCCGAGGTGCTGATTGACACCGCAAACTCTAAACGACCTGAAACCCGCCCCAGAGCCCCAGAACCCCAAACGCCCAAAACCGTAAACCCTCTAAACCCCCTGAAGCCTAAAACCCCTCACCCCTAAACCCCTAAACCCCAAACCCCTCAACCCCTAAACCCTAAACCCCTAAACCCCAAACCCCTCAACCCCTAAACCCTAAACCCCTAAACCCCAAACCCCTAAACCCTAATTCCCTAAACCCTAAAATCCTCCACGGGTGGAACCATAAGCCCGAGGTCGGGGACCCGGCTCTCGCCCTTCTGGAACTTCGAGATCTGCAGCTTCTCGAACTCCTCCGACCCGAAGTTAAGAAAGGTTTAGGGTTTAGGTCTTCAAGAGCCTTAATAACCATTGTCTTCATTATAACTGCGATAACAAGGATATGCGCATAAGAGCGACAATACTAATCATGATGAGAACACCAATACTAATCATGACAGTACTACTAGTACTGAAACGAATAAAAGAATAACAGTAACAATGTTTGAAGTCAAGCTGAGGGATCAGGATACCACAGAAATTGCAGCAACAATCCGACAATAGATACTAATGCACTAAAACTACTAATAATAATGCTATTTGAAACAGGTCTGATCACTAGTTAGTCAAGTCTCTGTACTGGTTGGGTGTGGGACCCACTCTGTATCGGGGACGAACAGACTAACAACTCTGATGCAAGCATTGCCTTCAGTAGCATATTTCGAGAAAAGCCCAGACTTAATTAGTAACTCACAACCCCTCAATATGGGCGCCTGAGCCATGACAAAAAGGTGTCTTGCAACGCAACACTAACCTCCAAAGCCATAAACTTCTCAACCGCCCATTCTACCCTAAAGGGCCTTAATAATTCGAAGAGGGTTTTGGGGCCCATTTTACTATATTTGTAATAAGGAATCCCACCAAAATAGTAATGGAAATTATTTAGGCCGCTATGTTAATGAACCCTAAACCCTAAACACTGAACCTTAAACCCTCAACCCTGAACCCTAGATCCAAAACCCTGAACCCTAAACCCTAATCAACAGCTCCTCCTCTAGCAGATGGACGTCGCACTTGAAGCCTTGGATTGTAGCGGCAGCCATTCATTCCCAACACTAGAATAGGTTACTCTACTGCTTTGGCTCTGGAGGTTAAGACTTTAGGAGTCGTCTTGTAGTGATCTGCGTCCAGCTCTCAGTTTGTATGGAGCCGGAAAACATGGCCGTTCGCAGGAATCGCGTCTCGAGTATACGGCTGCAGCGTTCGGAAGCCCTGCCTTCTGAACACGCGCGGTCAAGCGCCGGTTCCAATCCCTAAACATAGATTTTGGCAGCTTGAGGGTCCAGTTCTACTACCACAACTAATTACAACAATAACTACTACTACTACTGCTACTGCTGCTACTGCTACTGCTACTAGAAGTTAAAACTGTCGAGGCGAAGCTATACGACAACTTCTACCAAAGCTCTGTGTGGATTTCAGGACCCTCGTTTCAAGGATAATATATGGATGCTCTTCCATCGCCCTACTTGGGGCTTAGGGCATAGAGTTGCGAGGCTTTTTTGAGTTCACAAGCCTGAAAGGAATCGTCACGGAAGGGCTTGTGGCGACAAGATGGTTGCAGTACCTGCCGGTGATACAGGGGCCTGTCTGTTTCGAACAAGTTTTGGGGTTTATAATACAATGACGGATATAGAGGGGCAATACTGAAGGAGCACCTCGATGGGAGAAAAATTCTGGTATTTCCATACTTTGACGGCAAGCCTGCTCACCTCAGATTAAGCTGTACGCAACCCCCGGAGACTCTGAAGCCAAAGCTCTAACACTCTAACACAGCCCCTAGTACATCATTGTTGTCTAATTTCGGACTGGGTATATGAAAGGATGTTCTCCAAATCAGCCCTGAAGCTAGCTTGGCTACGTGTGTTGACAAGCCGAGAATTGGTGATCTCTTCTCGTATATGGGGATTTCAGAACATTCAGATCCCTCAGAGGTCCTTACAAAGAGGATCCCACTGTTTAGGGCCGGTAAACAACTCCAGTCCATTGCTTCAACCAGGGTCTACGGTCCACACATTCTCTGGCATTGATCCGAGAGGCGATTGTAGTCGGTGCGGACCTCGGCTGAAAACTTACCTGGACCCTCCCCTTGGTGTGCTTTCGACCAGTTCTCCAATGAGAAAAGTAGAACCTAGGATACCCAGTAACCTAAGAATAAAGAGGCCTCTCTTTTTGGTATTGGGTAACTTTATAAGGAACCTAGGACTACAAAAAGGGAATACGGGTACTACTGGGCATCCTAGGAAAAGTAGAACCGCTGCATTGTCGGGTCCAGCTGGGTTCGAAGCTGTAGCCCTGCAATTCGAATAGGAAGCGCTTAGCCACAAACCCTGAACTCTATAAACCCTAATCCTCAACCCTAGCCCTGTAAACTCCGAAACCCTTTTTTTTTTTTCCGTATCCAGGGCAAATCAAACCGAAGCCTTCGGGCTGCACCCAGAACCCGCGTGATCATGTTCCGTTATGCGCAGAGTACGTAGGGTTTGGGGTTGACAACATCACTAAAAGACGCCTTACAGAGGGGCTTTAGGGCTTTAGGGTTATGTAAGTGTTTGGGGTATGGTGACAGACAAAACAGCACCCTTAGGGAGGATGCCAGTTTTTAACATGGCATGCTATGTATCAAGGTACATATCACAGAGAAAACCTGACGGAACTTACGGTGAGCACAAGTATATCATGGCACCGTATCGGAGATTATAGCAAAGACTAGCCTAACCAAGGATAGCACGCCTTAGCATACCAGCGAAGAAAAAGAAGACATGGAAACCTTAACATAACATGAGCCAACACAGCATAACATGTCACAGCATCAACAAACATTGCATGAAACAGCGCAATATGGCATAGCAATACATGACGTAGCAGAACATAACATCACGAGACACGAGATGACGTTTCATTCGCTTGCATCCATTGCAGTGCATTCATGCATGCATGCAAGCATGCATGCCTTCATCTGTATGTATGTATGTATGTAAGCATGTATGTATGTGCGTACCTATCTGTTTGTATATACACACATATATATATATATATATGGTACCCCCCCCCAAAACCCACGCTTTGCTGTCAGGTACTCTCGACTTGCCCAACTTCATCGGGGCATGGATGCAGCTACAATAACGTTCAGGGTCTTTCAGGGCTTCTCAATTTGAGGGATTCGCGACGCGACGTGTAAGTATCTGACGCTCAAAGGGCCTCGCCGTGACGGGTACTTCAGCGGATTTGCGGATTCGCAGATTCGCGGATTCGCGGATTCGCAGATTCACAGATTCGCAGATTCGCAGATTCGCGGATTCGCAGATTCGCAGATTCGCAGATTCGCGGATTCGCAGATTCGCAGAGTCCCAGATTCGCAGAGAGCCAAATCGCAAAGGCTATACAATCTGCGAATCTGCGAATTTAAGACTCTGCAAATCTGCGAATCTGCAAATCTGCGAATCTGCGAATCTGCGAATTTGCGAATCTGAAAACCTGCGACTTTGTGCCAACCTGTGAAACATCATGACATCCAGATTTCGTTTCTGTCTCAAGCACAGAGGCTGATACATGTGCGCATAAAGGAATCTGGTAGTGCCAAGGCAGGAAAAAATTGTTGTTCCGGTGTGTGTAAAGACCCTGTTTGCTTCTTTTCAACATAAATCCAAATAACGGCATCATTCAAAAAGTTAACCTATGTGAAAGCTTTTTGTGGCTTCTTCATGCGTGTGGTTAATCAGATTACATACTTGAAATACTAAGTAAACATCCCATTCTATAGTGTTCTGCTTATATCTTCATTTTCATTTGTCACGTGCCAGACTAGTTGTCTTGTGGCCATTCATCAGTCCAACTCATGTATAGGAACCCACTATCATTGCCAAAATGAAGCCTCTAATCTGCATGCGGGCGTATCTAAATGAATGTCGGTTAGATTTTCTGCTTATATCAAGATAAGGAGCTAGCCATTTCAAACGGTTTACGCACACATTTAGTCTACTTGCTGCGAAGCCGAGTAACTGTTTTTCACCTTTTGCATTCTGACAGCCCTATGCCAGAGGCAAGCAATTGAAAACATATGGGTTGGTGAATGGATGCACTTGTCCCGTGATTGAAACATGACCAGACCATGGTAATGTAGAGAATTAGCTAATTCCAGGTGCTTACACAGTGTATGTCACAGTATTATGTATACACAAAAACGTTGATTTAACCAGTCACCTAACCAACTTACGGGCAATATTTGTTAGTGGTATATCCGTGCTTTCTTAATTTAGTTTATGATGGAAGTTATGACAGTAAACTGAACGAGTTGTTTGGCCCCTGCTTGAACTAACCCGTGTAGCACGATAGCGATTTTGCGAGTATTATCACGGATACATTGAATACTACGAGCCAGGACGAGGGACTGGTGATACCAGTGGCCAGCAGAGAAATCTACTACGGATTACTAGTACTCATACCACCACTCAAGCTAAACGAAATGCTCTGGGCGTTGGCACGATGGTAATATCTGACGCCAATACTCGTAATAATGTGGGAGCAGGTAATGCTAGGAGCTAGAGGATTACGGGCAGCCTTGGTTTCGAGAATGTAGTGCTGCGGTGACTTGCAGGCCGCAGGCCACAGACATGTAGAATTTCAGGGTTCGTGGGCTGCAAAACAGGCCGAACCCAAATCCCGCTTAATGTTCTGGATGTCGTGCCCAATACTAATTTCAATTCTCAGGGGTGACTTCCTACAACGGGAAAGGATTAAGCCGATGTAGGGAAATTAGCTTGTTAATGGTTCTAGAAGACAGCAGGCTTCTCATCCAAATCATGTCAGATTGTGCAATGAGTCAGTTAATCAACAGCTAGATTCGTTCAAGGGGACCTGGAACCTACTCCCAGGGCTTCGGGACTAGGGCTTAGGGCTTAGGGTTCAGGGTTTAGGGTCTAGGGTCTTTAGGGCTTACGATGGAAATTGAGATTTGTCTGTCTGTGTGCCAATTAGAAACACTCCTCTTCCTTTTCGATGTTTTCTCCGGAGTTTGTTTGGCTATCTGTTCCTGTTTGGCTGGCTCATACAAACAATAATTGAGGAAATACGTTTTGCGGAACTTCCAACGAAGCAATCAGTTCTTATAATATGGCAGTGAGGAAGGGGAAAATTGAATATAGTGGCTCTTGGTCTGAAATATTGGCCAGCACGGAAAACAATGTTTAATTTTTGGGTGGCTCAAAATATGATATAGGTGAAGAAATTGGAGAAGTTGGGAAGGTGGGCTCCCACCTGCTATGAGCAGAATTATATCAAACAAATACATGTATGATGCGGTGTTAATACTTCGCTAGATTATCTTAGATATATTGTGTTATGCGTAATTCCTAATAGTAATTGTGCTAGTACTGTATCAAACTGTCTAAAATTTTATAAGAATATTTACATTTCTTGCTCCAGGGCAGACATCAAAACAATACTTCACTAGATTATCTTGCTTATATTGTGTTTTGCGTAATTTCCTAACATTATTTGCAGCAATGCTGCATCAAATTGTTCAAACATTTGTATAAGAATATTTATAAATCTAGTTATTAAGCAGATAACAGCAATACTTCACTAGATTATCTTGTCTACACCGTATTTTGCACACGCGTGGATAGCACATGTAGGAATGCTGGAGTGAATTATCAGGATCTTTTACTACTTCTTGCGGGTCTTAGGGGGGGTAGCACATATATATATATATATATATAGATATAGGTACAGATACAGATATAGATATACAGCACGTTGACGTATGTATGTGCGCATACGGTGAAGACACAAGTAGGGCAGGTCGGCAAACATGATGCAGGTGCAGATACGTGTGTGGCGATGAATCAACTTGACTGACTTCTGAACCCCTCCTAAAAGTTAAACTTTTAGCCTCCTTACTATAGTTCATATAGGAACCCGAAAAGTTTAAGCCCCAAGAGCCAACCAGAAGAACGCCAAGTGAAATGAAGCCCCAAAGCCCGAAACTTCCAGATCCAGGCCTGTCGCAACTGCTTCCCAGCGCGCCAGCCACTAACGCTGAATCGGCTCGTGGAAGCACCTTGCAGGCAGGGACTTTGGAGTTTGGGAGTTTGGGGTTCAAGTGTGTAGGGTTTGGGGGATTCGGGGGCTTAGAGGTTTAGGAGTTGCGGCTTAGGAGTTTAGGGCTTGCATCGGGCTTGTCAGTTTAGCGCTGCACGTGCATGTAAGTCAGGGTGTATGCATATATATATATATATATATATATATATATGTATATATATATATATATATATGTAAAGTTATATATATATATATATATATATGTATGTATGTATGTATGTATGTGTGTAAATACATTGGCTTGCGTGTGTACGCGTGCATGTATGTGTGCACGTGTGTATGTATGCATGTTTGTACGTATGTGTGTGTGTGTATGTATGTATGTATGTATGTATGTACGAATGTATGTATGTATGACTGAATGAATGAATGTCAGTATGTATGTACGTATGCATGTAAGTATGTGCGGAATCCTTTGTGTGTTTATTTGTGTGTCGGTATAATTCTTGTATATTGATATACACAGAGTTTACGTCAAGTACGCAAAAAAGCAGGCCGGGCAACCATGACCATGAGAGCTCTCTTCTTCGTAAAGCACAGACAGAACCCTCGCAGAGTTGCCACCTTTCTGTACTGCCGCAGCAAAGGCTCCCGCTAGTCAAACACACGTGCAAAAAAACGACAAACAACAGAATTAAGCAACGACGACACCAACGACACCAACGCCACCGCCGCCACCACCACCACCACCACCACCACCACCACCACCACCACCACCAACACCAACACCAACCATAACAAGAACAGTAAGAAACACAATAACAGCAACAGCAACAACAACAGCAACAGCAACAACAACAACAACAGCAACAGCAACAGCAACAACAACCGTAACAAGAACAACAAGAAACACAATACACAGCAGCAGCAACAACAACAACAGCAGGCAACAACGACAGCCAACACATTGTGACGAAAAGGGATGAGACACATGAAATGGCCGGTAATCCTGGATCTGGGGAACACCTGTCTAAGACTTCTTCAACGTAAATTAGCAGTTGGCGTTGTGAGCTTTTGGTCGTTCGTAGTAGTTTGTCCTCTTGCCTGCTCCCTGTGAAGACGTCCCCTGACACAGCAAACCCTGATACAGGGATCTTAACCATTCCTAGCCATCTCCGCTTGTAGTGACCCTAAATATGAGTATATTAAACTAAGTTACTGAAAGAAACATAGTAACTATCCACCCTTTTCAGATCACGGCCCCTGGATTCAATCCTCTACCGCAGACCAGCCTTTGTGTTGCGCTGCCATATCCCTTGGATAGACTGCGGGTTTTTGTTGGGGCCTTGAGGGTTCCTTATAAGAGTTCCTGAGGGCCTAAACCCTAAACCCTAAACCGATCTAAAAGGTCACTGTGGGGTTTGGGGTTTAGGCTTGGGCTAGGCTTGTCTTCGGGCTCGGAGTTGCGGGTTGAGCGTTTAGGGTTTCGGGCACAATGATCATGTTCATTCTGCATTGCGGCTGTACCGGAAAGGCTCTGAAGATGCACAGATGACAGTACGGAATAGATGCGAAGGCCTGGGCTTTATACATTCTTTGCACTAAGGGATTTCCGCTCACAGAAACCGAAGCCAATCTTAGCTCAGCAAGAGCCGGAAGGCCTAAACCTCAAAGCCTGAAGCTGGCTGCTAGCCCCAAGTTGCAGTGCCAGCGACATGAAGTGCCCTGCACAAGTTAGGTTCTTCTGGAGACTGCTTAAAGATTTGTACAGAATTTGCGGATCAGAAGCCGGCTTGGCCAACACGACAACGACGAAAGATTTGCACACAATTTGCGGATCAAAAAACCGCCTGACCACGATGAACGACCAGCGCCTCCAACACCAAAAAAGCTGCAACGAGGCACAGCGCCATGATGCAACGTTGAGAGAAGGGATCAACAGTGGCTCTAACTCAGTGCAGACGACATCTGGACCCTAAACTCTGAAGACCCTGAAGCACATCCCAAACCTCAATAGTTCAAAACACCTGAGGTAACAATCGGACCACTTGAGGCGCATAGGGCTAGTGACTAGTGTCTGAATCCTCGGCGCTAACCCAACTTGCAGGGGCATTGCAAACATCGTTTCTCCGAGAAGCTCGTCGCGAGTCTGAAGCTCTTCTGCCCGCTGTAGCCTCGATGGAGGTCTTGAGGGGTCACAGATGGATACTGCATCACAGAAGAGCGGCAAACTGGATCAGTCCACAGACCCGAGTATAGGGGGCTTGATAATTAGAATAGGGTTTTGGTGCCCTTTATACTTTACTTATAATCAGGAATCCCCCAGATTGTACTGGTAAAAATATTCAGGCCCCTCTATTAGCCCCTCATAAAGCCCAGAAAAGTGCTGAGCGCTAAGCAGCACCCCGGCAGCCATCCCAATCTGGGCAGAGCATGGCATTCAGGACCGACACAGACGGTTTGTGGCTTTGTGTTCCAGGACTATCGTTGGGGGTGTAGGGCTTAGGCTTTAGGACTTTTTATGGGAAGTTTAGGCATGCGGAAGCCTGGTACAACCTTTCAGGCGTATGAGCTGTCTGTATGGGCTATAGAATCAGTGCTCCTGTCTGGTACAGGGTGGAGGGCTTGTAGCTACCCCTTCCAAGTTCAGCCTTGATAGCCTCACAGGACATTCTTAACCCAAAGCCCCTACAAACGGACTGGGTGCTTCCGCTTTGTTCAACTTCCCATACTATAACCCCACGATGTTGGATCTTGTTCTAAATGACTCTGAATGCTGTTGAGCCTGCTACCCTAACGCCCTCCAAGGTCCTTAAGCCCTGAAGCCCTCAGCTCCGTGTAAGGTGTGCGATTTCCTGCGATTTCCTGGGCGCCGAAATATCTCTGTGCTCCCCGGCAAGCTTTCGTCGCTGGCGGTAGGTGGCTTCATCCTGCACTGGCTTTAGGCCATCAAGCCTTAAGGATGTTCATGGAGTAGGGGGTTTTGAGCATCGGGTCGAAGGTTTTGAAGATGAGTGCTGTCATTGATTATGACTCGGTTGATGAATCTGGTTCTTATCATATTTAGTAGTGGTACCGCTGCTGCCGCTGCTACTACGATTGCTACTTTTATCTGCTGCTGCTACTACTACTACTACTACTACTACTACTACTACTACTACTACTACTACTACTACTACTACTGCTACTACCAGTCGTCTTGCTATTCTTGTTATTGTCGGAGCTTGCAGCTGTAAGAAGGCACTTCGCAACACAAAGCAGTGCAAAGCAACAGCTCTGCACATGCCAGAAAAGCTCTCGTGGGAGTAGCAGCCGCAGAAATCCAGAACAAATATCCACAATACAAGTACCGGAGGCAGCAATACGAATAGAACGTCTATAACCCGAAACCCTAGAACCCTAAACCCTATAACCTTGTAACCCTACACCCTAAACTACGAAAGAGCTCTGTGCAAGAGGCGTGTTGCTAGAGACTTTCCGGGCTGGGAAGCAGGCCTTTACGGAGGAGTCCTTTACGGTTTCGGGTCGGCTGCCAGGTTGTCAGTCTTCCAGCTTGGGGCTTTATCAGGGCTTAGGGTCTACAGGGCCTAAAATAGGATTTACGCTCGTCTGCTTTGATGCACGAACCTTCGCAAGGTCTGCCGCTCAAAGACAGCCGAATGTAATCAGGTGCACCTCGAAACGACTGGCTTACACCAAACTTCGCTTTGGAGAAAGAAGCCGTATTTAATCTGCTCACAATTACCAACTTCAACGAAATCTGCCATGAACTCTTCTTAGACCAACGTATTGCTTAAACCCTAAACCCTAAACCAACAAACCCAAACCCCTAAACCCTAAAAACCCTAAATCGCTGGGCGGACGATTGCACGAGGGCGATCGATGAAGGCGTAGATCATGTCCATGGGCGCAGCCTCTGCTAGTCTGGCACTTGCACCAGCCAGAACTATGTGGACTTTTGGAGGTTGAGTTTCCTTCCAGGCTGTTTTCGGGGGGCTTGCTTGAGGCCTGAGGCCCAGAGCTAAACTTTGGTAAGTTAGCTGGAAGCCTCGATTTTCAATCGGGGCACACTCGGCCAAACGTGCAGAGTGCAGCAGCATACTTCGAACTCTGAAGCCTGGAGGCTACGCCTCAAGGCTACCTATTCTATGTAGGCCCCTTCATGCTGGGTTCCCCGGCGCTGAGCCCGACCGCACCAAAGACGGAGAGGAAAAACCTCGGGCGAGGTCAAGAGGCACATACAGGGAATTCCAGAAAGTTGGAATATGGTTTCATGGTAGGATACCCTATAATTTACCATAGAAGGGCTAGGATAATCATATTCCAACTTTCTGGCTTTTACCTTAATGACATAGCATACAGAAGCAAGAACATCAGTTAAGCCCACAGCTGCTTTTGCTAGTGTGTTTTTCCGTGTTCGCAGAGGTGCACAGCTCAAGATGGGGATCCTTGGGTGCAATGTTTTCTCGAGTACGGTAGCTTGTAAGGTTTCTGATTTTCAACTATGGCATCGTTGAGGGTAAGACGAATTATTTTAGAGTAAGGCATTGGGGCACCTACAGTACAGATTTCGACTCTGAACGACCGCCTTTGGAATGTTCAATGTTCAAGACTAAGAGCTTTCATTTACATGACGGTCCCTAAGCCGTACCCATAAGCCCCAAAGTATTTCCTTTTTGGGATTACCTTATAGGATTCTAAATATGAGCCCCAAAAAGGAACTACTTTGGGGCCTTAGGGTGAGCCCTATCCTCCATCCCCTAACTGCCTGGAAGGCCTGATCCTCCTGAAACCCCTAGGCCTCAGACCTACAGAAGGAGCCTAAACTCTAAACCCCTCAGCCACAAAAGAGGGCTCACAAAGGCCCTTGCCAGCCAAGGAAGCAGAGCACGGCGATGATGTAAATTTGGAAGCCGACCTCCAACTTTTTCAACGGAGCTTATGACGGCCCAGCTCCATTGATAGTATTCGGGTTTGGGGGTTTAGGGTTTACGGTTTGATAGTATCTCCAAGGTCGCTGCATGGTTCTGCCGGGGTTTGGTAGGGTCCTTGGTATAGTCTTGCAGCGCGTAAAACAGTCCCTAAGTGCAATGGGCCAAGTCGTAAGCTTTTCCAGCCCCAAGTACTCTTCCGCTAAACTCTGTTGTCCAGCCTGAGGAAGCTGAAAAAAGCGAAAACATAACGCACTATTGCTACGATCGTTTCTGCCAAATTGCAAAACCATCGCCAAATAGATCCGTCGGTGCAGGTTTATGATGGGCACACAATTCGGGCCCTAAACCCTGAACCCTAAAACCTGAACCACCGACCAGCCTACGTCTGAGGGCTTCGGGCTCGGTTGGGTCCAGGTTTTGGGTTACGCGAGGGTCGTTTCCAAAAGCTTTAGGGCCAAATGTAGGCCTTAGCCCAGCTTTAGTTCCTATAGGGTTTAACAATCTCAACAAGTCGCCTGGATCTCAATCTCCTTGCTCTGCCCTTTGCCACAAATCTTTCCGAGCTGTAAGGTCGCATCCCCTCGATCCCAATCCTCGGTGCAGTCGGCTACAGGATTCGCAGGTTTCTGGGTGCTTCAGGAAGACCCCAACCCCCAAAAACCTACCGTTCTGAGGACTTATTTAGAGATATCAAAACAAGGACACCGACAAGGTTAGGGCCTTTGGTTGTTCAGGTACGGTTTCAGGGGTGTGGGATATCGGTTTTGGTGGGTTTTCCGAAGCTTCGTCGCCTTCTTGGGGGCCCAGGGTATATGGAGGCCTAAAACGAATAGGGTTTAAGTTGTGGTATCTATTGGAGCATCATTAGGATAATGGGGCGTATAGCAAATAATAACTTGTCAAAAGCCCGCTAAGCATAGCGACCTCCGTGGGCAGCAGTACAGTTACAAAAAGAGTCAACAGTTTCAGCAATACTGTTCGCATACAATCCTTCTCTAGCCCCCAAGACCCCAATTATACCGGACTTGTCTTACCCATAGGCCCCAAAGTAGTTCCTTTTTGGGATTACCTTATAGGATTCTAAATATGAACCCCAAAAAGGAACTACTTTGGGGCCTTATAAGGGTAATTATACCGGACTTGTCTTATACTGGTTGCCACTATTGTTGTAGTATCCTTAAGGGAGGGGGGTCCAAGGGGGGTATATAGCCTAGTGATCCCTAATTCTCCCTAGTACTCCCTAAGGTTCCCTTATAGTCCCCTAAGGATTCCTCAAAAACCCTCCCCCCTTGAACCACCCTCCCTTAAGGATCCTATAATATTGGAAGAGGTTCAGTTCCTGGATTCAGGTCTGCTGTAGCCGGGCTCAAGCTCGAGTCTCTTCGGGAGACTACCGAAAGCCTCCATTGTAGTTCCTTTTGGGGGTTACCTTATAGGATCCTAATTATATGATTGGTTAAACCGCCCAAAAAAGGAACTACAATGGAGACTATAGGTATGGCTAAAACTTCTACCATCACCCAGAGAAGGAAAACACCACCAAAGCAGCACCCGAGATCCGTACAGCAGAGACTGCAGTGCAAGGTTCGTGGACTAGGGTCGCCACTCGGGGTCTTTTGGCGTCAGGTTTTGCGTTCAGTTTGTAGGATGAAGGATTTGGGATGATGCGAGGGTTAGCAAGCTGAATTTTCATCACTAGTGTGGGATAGTGGCGGCATCCTGCGAATTAAGAGCACTCTACCATACCGCCACAAACTCTCCAAATCATACGATCCCGTGATCCCTCCCCCTACCACCCCCCTGCCCCCCGGGTCGTCTCCCAAACGGTCCTCACAGGTGTACTCGACTATCGGGATTGATGCCTGTCGACCAGCTTGGGGACTCGCGCTTCACCCGACACTTAGTTTTTGTGATTGTCGGTGTGCTCTTGTGTAAACGACAGGCATCAAACCACTACGCCTTTCCTACTTACAAGTACCATCAAGCACGCGGATTCCGAATTCGAATGTCACGAGACTGCGAGTTATCATCGGCAAATCTCCTGACCATGACCGTCATTCAAAACACCCACAGCAGCGCCGTCGCCATCATCGCCAATGATGACGACTGCATCGGCTTTTGGTTGGTTTGTCGATTGTGATGGTGAGGGTAAGTGATGAGGGTGATGGTACTGGTTTTGGTAATGACCATTACCACTTAAAGGATCATGGGACTTAGTAAGTTAGGTTATAAGTACCTTAATTGGGGTTATAAGTATAGATACCTTACTTATAACCCAAGTCCCATGATCCTCCAAGCATGCTGCTCCTGACCTTCGATGTTGCTCCTCCTCTTACTGCTGCCAGTGATTGTAACGACAATGATGTGTGGGTGGCTGTGGTGATGGTCGAATCATGATGATGGTGGTGATGATAATGATGGTTGCGATGGTGATGGCGCTCACGTGATGGTGCTGAGAAGCATGGTCATATAATGATCTGTTATCGTGACATGATGGCGCTCCTTTCAAAAATCCCCGCATGCGCTGTCAACTGGATCTCTCCCTTCCATTGCATCGCTCAACAGGCCTGCGCCGCCAGTGTGCCTGAAACCCGAGACCCTAAACCCAAATAAGGGCACCTTGGACAGGAAGGGGAAGCTGATGCCAAGGAATGCTGCCTGGGCGGTAGGAGCTCAGCTCACTCATCCTGTGTGCCTCAACTGCTTCAGGGCTGTAGGGCTTTGGAAGTTTCGGATGGAGGATAGTTGAGTCGCAGTTTCTCGGATGCCTGGAATCGCCAAATCTTACAGCCTACGCGAAGCCCGAAGCTGTAAAACCTTGCATCCCAATCGCTGGACAAGCCAATGCAATACACAGGCCTTAATAATTGGAATAGGGTTTGGGGATCCATTAATACAGTAAAAATCAGGAACCCCAAGATAGTATTGGTAATGTTCTCGGCCCCTATATTAAACTCAGGCTTTCGAGGTCCTCACCGAAAAGACAAAAGATAGGAACAGCGAGCGCAGGACATAGCTCCTCTTCCTCACATGGCTTGGGTGCTGAAATTTGCTAAGGCTGGACCGCTGGAAATGTAGGGTTTGGAACGGGTCTTCGGGTTTTGGGGTTCCAGCTCATGATGCTAGCAGCTCAGGTTTCAAAGCATAAGGTCTTAGTCAAGGAAATATGGGGTTTGGGGAATGACTATGGAGACTTGCGTGCGAAATCAAGGTGACAGGCAGGAACAACTGCAGTTTCGCGCAAAGTGTTTCCTCACAGGACTGCAGCAGATTGGTTAGAGCGTCTCGTGAAGACTGCTTCGCGCACCGCGCTCAAAGCAACGCAACACAGAACCTACGACGACGTAAGCCCTCCAAGTAATTTCTGAAATTATCCGGCCCATGGTATATACAAGGAATCACGCAACCAGTGTTCAAAGTCACAAATCGGGAGCTATGAACGTTGGGCTTTGAAGCCCTTAGTCCGCCTGGTGGAAACCTTGATTAAATCACAGAACCGTCGAAACGTAAGCCCCTGCGCCCAAAGCCATAAAGTATCTCAAATCCTTGTGGGGCTCCGAAATGCACGGCAACGCTCCCACGAACCCCCCCGGAGCGAAGCACTACATGGACTTTGTTGTTAATCTATGGTCGCAACCAAGCCTCCTGCAGGTTCTTCTTCTTGGCAAGACAACCCCAGAGCCTCCATATTTACCACCATTATTGAACTAGGTCCAAAAAGACCATCTCTATTATGATTTTGGGGTCCCAATTCCACAATGGTATCATTCAGAAGGTCGGCTCGGACCCCAAGCCGTTCAACAAAACGACAAACACTCAAGACCACATCCTCCCTCCCAGATTTTTCGTCGATATCACCATTGCTGTAGAATGGCAAACAAATATCTCAGGGTTCGTTGTTTGTCGTCATCATCATCGTCATCTCATCGCCTTCATCATCGTCATCATCATCATCATCATCACCCTGAGCATCATGAACACTGCTCAAGCCCGACGCCCTACACCCCACGAGCCTCTTCACAAAGTCGTCGCCTTCCACCTCCGGCTTGCTCGCAAAAGGAGTTCCGTCCGCATTACCGTATGAAGTGGCAGTGCTATGACAGCGCAGATATGCTGTTGTGTAAGTGTATATATATATATATGTATAATATGTATGCATATAAAATACATACATGTATCGGCGACTAAATACATGTGTTCCAGTATGCGATCGCGAGAGGTGTGCTAGGAATTCAGACTGCAGAGAAACATGTCTCTCTCTCTTTTTTTTTCTCTCTCTCTCTCTCTCTCTCTCTCTCTCTCTCTCTCGCACACAGAAGATATACATCTTTCTGTGTGCCTGTCTGACTGTCTGTGGTATGCACGTAACAAGCCGATATAGCCTGAAACAGTGCGTGGCTGCCCAGTACATCAGTTCAAATTTCAACCGACCATGACTTTACGTGACAAACGAAGTCAGCAAACATCTGGTAACTACTATCTCGGGTCGGTTCTGTCTCACGACAACCTACTTGGACACGAGCTCGATGGCATTGCAGAAGCTGATTCTTTGGCATCCCTCCACGCTCTGTTGCATGGACTGCTTCAAAGCGTGCCGCCTCGTAGTAAAACATGGCCGCTGGAACGATCAAGACCTCAAACCGCAAGAAAACAACCACAGCTCCGGTCTTCTGCGGACTTTGAAGGCTTCTAACGAAGGACTTTGGCAGCTTTAGCATTTCAGGGAGTTTTTGGTGCGGGTTTTACGGGATTGCAGGCTTGCAGTGAAACAGCGTTCTAAGAATCCCCCTGCTTAAGTGGCATCAAACTTCTTGCTACCCTTACGTGGCTAAATGTCAAGACCTACCTATAGTCTCCATTGTAGTTCCTTTTTGGGGTTGCCTTATAGGATCCTAATTATATAATTGGCTAAACCAAAAAAGGAACTACAATGGAGACTATAGGTAGAAGCTGCTGAACAAGGAACGGCCTGCTTCGAATTCGGATCTTGGGTCGGGCTTCTACGATCTTTTCGAAAAGCTTCTGTCTTGTCGAGGGGGCTCGGGGTTCTGATATCGGAGCTCTGTGTTTTTAAGCTTTCCTATACTGAACTTAGAACCCTAGCAAAGATTATGATTTTAGCTGTTTCTTAGGGATTATAATCACCAAAAACTAAAAATATATTGCTAAGCACCCCTAAGATTTCGTGGTTGTCGTAGCATCGCCTCTTCGACTGACTAGTAAAAAGCCGGATATCCGAACGGTTAGGGTTTAAGGTTTAGGGTCTAGGGTTTAGGGCTTAGGGTTTAGGGTTTCCTTGACAGAACCCAGAAGCACCACGACGTACCCCAAGGCCGCAAAGTAGTTCCTTCTTGGGGGTTCATATTTCGTTTCCTATAAGGTAATCCCAACGAGGAACTACTTTCGGGCCTATGGGTATGCTTGTGTTCGAAAAGATAAGGACCGCAAGCAGGGACCTTGCGGGCTAATGCGCATGGCTCGGGCACAGAGCAGTTGAAAGGGATCCCCCACCTCCGAAACGAACCGGTGAGGGAACCTACAATCCGAGGAGCTAGGAAGACGAGCACTGTGATAAATGCCGCCATCCTGACGTTTCAGTGGAAGTTGGGGGCCCTTAGTAATTCGATTAGGGTTTATAGGGTACATTTCAGCAGGAGCTAGGGGGCCCCTAGTCATTAATTCAACCAGGTTTAAGGGGTAATTACATTTAAGTGGGAGTTCGGGGCCCTCAACCAATGAATACTTAACTGCTGGGGTTTAGGGGTGCAGTTACGGGGCCTACATTTTCCAGGGCGGGGTTGCAGGTCCTACTTTAGCTTTAAAACACCGGCTTGCCAGCTTTAGCAGAATAGGAGTTGAACGCTTCATGGAATGAGTTTGATACGCATTCCCTAAGGGTCCATGTACCCATATAGAGATACATAGGCCCCAAAGTATCTATATAGGGACTACATTAAGGCCAATGTATATACTATATGAGTACATGGACCCTTGGGGATTGCTTGGGGTCTGCGGCTCAAGCTTTTGTAGAGTCTTAAGTGTGGCTGGAACGGTCACATTATTGCCCAGAACCCCAAAACATCCGAATTCAGCTCTTTCAGACCGTGAGCCATGGAGGGTTTGACAATATGGGAACTTCCGAAAATAGGGGACCCTAGCATGGTACTCTAAATAGTAGGATCCTATTTTTTTTGGACCCCAAACAAGGCACCCCCTATTTTCGGAAACTCCCATATTTTGTGAGGTATACTCTGGGTCAAGGTGCTTCGAGGTCTTTGACAATTTCAACACTACCTCAAACAAAATGCCGTAGCTAAATTCAGAATTCCTGGATTCGCTGAGCCCCTTGCAGGGGTCTGTAAATGTTTGTTGTTCGGGGCTTGGGGATTTTGGCTTCCTTGTGTAAGGTTTAGGGGTTTGAGGACTTAGGGTTTCTAAGGGTTTTCAAGGGTCTTTAAACGGGCTCACCCGGCTAAAGATGCTGCTCCGGTCCAGGTTTATGGGCGATGGATGTCAAACACTCACACACACAACACATGGGTGGTTGTCAAAATTAAGGTCCCTTGTTGGGTACCCTAAATGAAGAGGGCTTCGGAAGGTATAATAAGGACCCAAAAAGGGACCCTCATATTGACACACACACACACACACACAACCAATGACAAACATGCTTGCACTCGCTGGCAGCTATCAGTCGCCCAGCTACCAATGCCGAGCTCATCCAGCTTGACTGCCAATCGCACGGGCTCAGAGGGACGCTTGAAATCTTTGCAGGTGAGGAACACCGGTGTGACCATCGAGGTTCTCACCTCACAGCTCTTGACCAGCAGAAGCACAAGGGGGACCGTGACCAAAACATGTGGCCTCTTGATGGCGTTGGCCAAGTTCGCCTCACGACCATGCTAATCAATTTTTCAACCTGGTCGTCGGACTCGGGTCTTGACTCAACCGACCTCACGCAGAGCTGGTTCTGCAAAACCGCCTTGTTCGAGGCCGGTTGCCCAGTCGATGCCAACTGAAGTTGGAGGTTCAACAGGTGTAGGAGCTGTTTCATCACTACTTTCTTGGTTTCAGTTGCAATCGTCTTGCAGTTCTTGGTCTGAGTTGCAGAGTTTCGGGTCAAGTTTAGGGTATTAGGGTCCACGGTCTTCGACACTTCAGGTGTTGTGGGAGCTGAAAAGCCTAAACCACCTCACACCTGAAGGCCTAACCTCTATCAATCTGGAGATTCTACGCCAAGTATCCCCGAAGCAATCCTGCACCCTAAGCCTCTACAGACCTTAACCTTAATCTTCCGAACAACCTACGCACAAAAGCCTCGAATCCTCAAAGCTGGAGCCCTAGATCCATAACACCCAGAGCCCAGCACCCAGCTGTGGCGCGAGCCACAATGTCTGCATGTCCAGAAATCCGGGCACAGGCCTGCTTAAAGGATCATGGTACTTGGTAAGTAAGGTTATATGTACCTTAATTGGGGTTATAAGTATAGTTGCCTTACTTATAACCCTAGTGGCCCTAGTTACTAAGTCCCTTGATCCTCTACGCGCAGAACAAGGGTTCAGGGAAACGTGGGTTGCCGCGTTAGGTTTCGGATTTTGGGGCTCTGAGGAAGTTGCGGGTATTGAGGTTTGAGGTTCCGAGTCGGCCAGCAAAGTTGAGGTAGAGTGCACGAGGGCGACCGAGTCCTCCAAGAAGATAAGACAATCTCGATAATCCTCGTAACATTTTTCTACACTGGGCTGTTGCACCGTGCGTCCTCCTCTTCTGGGTATGGAACAAACGGACCCTAATTTCAACTACCCGCATGATTTGCAGGGTGTTCCTTCCAGACCCCTTCACAAACCTTCGAAAGCGTCACAAAATCTCTGATGAATCGGTCATATAGCTCTTATAGTAGCCTTATGAAAGCTTTACACAGGGGCCTGATCAGGACTTGTCTCTTTCGATTTCTGGGGGGCCGAGAAGCTCATGTCATGAGGCAACCAACATTAGGGTGTCGGATTCATTAGGGTTCGGGGGTTTAGACTCTAGGGGATTATGGGTTTAGGGCTTTGGCTCATGTGAGAGTCTCTGAAGATCAGGGGTCCCCATGTCAAGAATCCCGCTGCATCGTCAGAGTCCCCCCGTTTTCCCTGCTTCTATATGCTCTACAGGGGCTCACTCAAGTGGAGCAAGCTTAACTAAGTTGGATCCAAAGGCAAAGAAGGTTTATGAGCTTGCAGTCCTAAACCCTCGACCCGAACGTCCTATCCGGGAAGACAGGTTGATGGACAAAACTCGGCATTGTCTTCGGTATCAAAGTCAGCGGGGAAATAATGAGTTTTGTTTAGTTGCCACAACCCTTCAGACATCTACAATCTCTACAAATCCCAACAAAGACCTTTAAATCCCTATATAACACCTTCTGGAAACCAACAGTGCATGTCTTTATCGAAGTCTTTCCGGCTTTCTTGCTCTGTTCTCTGGCTCTGTCTTTCTTTCTACAGTTGTTGTTGTTGTTGTTGTTGTCGCGTGGCGCCTGTCGTCGTTAGTTCTCGCGCTTTCTGTATGCGTTGTATCCTTTCTGTCGTTCTCTCTTTCTTTTTTTTCTCTCTCTCTCTCTCTCCCTATGTTTCTCTTCAGCTTTATTACATGTTTTTGGATGGAAGTTTCTTGAGCTGCAGATCACGCAGCGAGCGCAACGCCGCAAACCCACTCAAAGCTCTAGCGGTCCGTGTAGGGGAGGCCTGAACCCTAACTCCAAGCTCCAAACTTCCCACGGCTTCAACAAAACTCAAATCCTCGAAACTCTCTCAATTTTTGCATCCGAAATTTTCATGGGCTGACTCTCTCAAGCCCATGTCATCCGAAATTCTCATGGGCACCCGGATAGCACCTGACTCTCTCAAGCCTAAAGCATCGAAATTCCCGTTGAGCACCCAGATACGGTTGATGATATAAATCCTGCATTACCCATACTCAGGAATATACCATAATTCCCATAGTTTAAGGTCATGAAGGTAATGCAGGATTCATGAGATCCTGAAGTACCCTAAACCCTTGAACACTGAACTATATATCATCAACCGTAGCACCTGGAGTTCCGCACATAACCCTAAGCCCTAAACACCCAGAGAAGATGAATAAGAAAGCGGCCTTAATAATCAGAATAGGGTTTCGGGGCCCATTATACTGTAATTATGATAAGGACCCCCCCCCCAAAAAAAAAATAGTGCTGGTAATTTATTAAGGCCCCTATATTTGCACCTGGAGTTCCGCACATAACCCTAAACCCTAAACACCCAGAGAAGGTAGGGGGACCCTCATATAGCACCTGAATAGAAGGATCCGTATTATAAAGACCCCAAAATAAGGTACCTCCTCTTTTTGGAAACTCCCAAATTGCACCTGGAGTTCCGCACATCGATGGGCAGCAGGAGGTTCACCATCCAGGCTAAGGTCAGGCTGGTCACGATCACCACCTGCAAAAAATGCTTCCAGAGTGTGATATACCTATAGTCTCCATTGTAGTTCCTCTTTGGGGTTACCTTATGGGATCCGAATTGTATCATTGGTTAAACCAAAAAAAGGAACTACAATGGAAACTATAGGTAGCGGCCTTGATGATTATAATAGGGTGTTGAGGTATACTATTACTATTCTGATTTAAAGCCCTATATCAAGGCTTTAACGGGTTTTGTGGAACATATACGGTTTAGGGTTTTAACGAGTTTGGAACATGTAGGGTTTAGGAAAATGTTGAAAGCCTGATAGCGTATGGTGAAAAATATCGAATGATCGGCATAATACATGCATATACACAGTGATGCAAAAGAACGTAACACCTGATACATTTAGTAATACACAAACACACACACACACACACACAAGGCCACATAAAGGAACCCCGGGGTTTGGAGCATTTCTGTGTCTCCGGCATCAAGCTACACTTGGTGTTGGGCTGGTGGGTCGACCGGTTGCGAGGTCGTGAATCGAACAACCAAGCAATCAGCAGTTGTCAGAGGTGTTGTGTCTTCGTTACTAACTAATTTGGAACATCTGCAACCCACGCATCCTGCCGCGAGTTTGGCATCGTGATTTTTCGGACCCAAAACTCGCTGCTCCCTGCTTCGACCTACAGAAATCTTCGACGCTGAGGCCCTCAACATGACTTCAACCCCTGAGCCTTACACACGAACTCCTCAGATCCTCATGCAAGCCAGCGGCCTTGCATAGTGGGCTCGTCGCGAAGCCGGAATCCTGCCGAAGCACCAGAGTTTGGAATTTCGGGTTTCGGGCAAGAGTCTACCTATAGTCTCCATTGTAGTTCCTTTTTTTGGTTTAACCAATATTATATTATGGATCCCAAAAGGTAGCCCCAAAAAGGAACTACAATGGAGACTATAGGTAGGGTGTCAGAATTGGGGACTCAGGGCTTGCGGCTTTTGCCTGTGGAAATTGCGGAACTAGGGTTAAAGTTGAGGTTTTGGGGTGTACCTAGACCCCCAAACCACCCCCCCCGACCTACCCTGAATACCCACTACTACGGACAATAAGGGCTCCATCGAATGGCACTTGGGACTTCCTGGTACGGTTCAGGGTTTGGGGCTGAAGGCTCGCTAAAACCTCCCCGAACCCTGCAGCTCTGAGTTGTCCGGCTAACACTTCTGTTCCTCTGTCCAGTCCACCATGATGCAGAAATGTTGCATCATATGGGGTATGGTTTTTATTATTAGTATCCCCCTAATAAAACCCAATATATATACACTCACCTAATCCTAAAAGGAGCCCTAACTACACTCACCAAAACGGAAAAATATAAACCCTACTTCATATGATCTTGCCCTACCTACTATATAGAATTCGTGCTATAACGTCACTGTTCATCGATCTTACTAGTATTCTTACTGTTACTCTGATTAGCAATGCCACAAGTCATACCAAGCGTGCCAAATATACAGTAACTGTTGTTGTATCTCTTCACATGGCTGGCTCTCCGTTCGGTGGCTCCTCGGGCTGCTGGTAGTGGAGCAAAAGGCGTGTGTTCGTGACCTTGCTGGGAGTAACGGTAGCGGGACCACAGGTAGGACGACCAGGTCCGATTGAAGTCACTGCAGGATCGGGAAGTGAGAAATCAAGGTTCACAGATCAGGGTTGGCAAGGCAGTAGCTAGCAATGGTGCAAGAAGTGCCCCAGCAAAAGCACCATCACTTCTCGGATATACGTAGCATACTCCAGCAAAATTGGCACCACCCTCAAGCCCCTCTTTCCTGAACGTTCATTATAAGTAAGGTACGTTTTGTACATCTGCATGCAGGATCAAAGGCACTGTCCCTTCTGGCCTCTTCTTGGCCTGGTCATGACCTTTTCGCCTGTCTACTGCTTCCAGCAAATTCCAGCACCACTCTCTCCCCGACTTATGCTCTGCCGACTTGAGGCAGACTTGACAACGACAGGTATCCGGACTTCGTCATCATGCAAGAGTTCTGCAATAACAAATGCTGCAGGGACTTTCAGGGCATACACTACACTACACTCTAAACCCTCAAACCCTAAACTGTCCAGGTCATGGTTTAGAGTTTAGAGCTTCGGAAGCTTCCGGCTTCTATGTGAGATCGAGGCTGCCCGCCGTTTGCAGACTCTTTTTGGTGGGATTCAGAATGTAACCTGAACATATCGAGCCCGCGAAAGGAACACGTAGCCCCGGAATATACTGCCCTGAAAAAACGTCAAACCTACGCGAGATCCCAACACCTGACACATACCGTCGCCAAAAACTCTGCACACGAGAGAACTCTACACAAGCCTCAAACCCTGAACACCTCAAACTCTGATCTTGACCCAGGGTTCCCGCCCAGAATGCCAAAGACCAGTTCCGTGGGTCGGGTGGGGAAAGCCAGATGTGCGAACGTAGCTTCAGGAACCACGTAGCCCTGTAGACCCTGCAAAGAAACGGCAAGCTTTCAACTCTCGGATCGTCAGCTGGGACCCGAGCAATCGCTAAGCCGAAGATGGTCAGTATGAGAACCAAGAGAAACACATCCTTGGCGGCAGGGCTCATGGGTTCTGTTGTTTCTCCACATGCTTTCAGGGTTTCTGACTGCAGGGATTCAAGCATGCGGGGTTTGGGGTTCCAAGCTCCGGAACACCGATCCCTAAACACTAAGTAACAGCTTCAGGGACTTTGCAGGCTGCAGCTTTCTGTATCAAGGGCCAAGGGTGCTTCTGACTTGATACGGCCTAACAGTGAGGGATCAGGATTCAGGTTTTCGGGCTGGCGGTTTCGGAGTTTTGGGTTCAGGGACTAGGGTTTAGGGATCCGGGCGTATACAGGGATTTTGGAGCTTTGGGTTAGGGTCTTGCGCAAGTACCCGATACGCACTGCAAATCCTGAAACCTGGTGCGCCATGCGGTCGAATCTGGAGCCAAGACGGTTGTCAATAGGGGCCTGAACGGGTCTTGGAGTGGAGTATGGTATATGCCTGTAGGACCGGCAGGGGATATTGCCACTGTTTACCGGTAATCCTTACCTGGAGACTGCGGAACATCCCTTGTGTCTGCAGGATTGTAACCGTTATACCGTTATGATGATGGCAACAACCGGTTTTTATGAATGACACATACCTCAGCATCTCGACATCATAAGCATACCCGCCAGCGACAGACGGAAACACCATCAACGTCCGCAATATCATCATGTTCATCAACAACAACATCACCAACATAATCACTAGCAGCATCCCCAGCCATCCTTTGTTATGGACATCATCTTCGCCATCACGAACATACTCCTCATCATCTTACATCATCATCATCATCTGCTCCTTCTCCAAAAACCACCATCGTCTTCTTCATCCACCATCATGCCACTATCGCCTTCTTTTTCGTCGTTACCAGTACCATAGACAACGATTGCCCGACTCGTCACCAAAACGCCTGCCGACAGCCCACTCTCCTGATGCCTGAACCGCTAGCATCATCCGGAATGCATCATGGCGTCATCAGCAGCAACACTATCGATATCGGTAGCAGTAATCTCCAGCAGGACTGTTCGGTTTGGATCCGGGTGTTTCCGGGGATGTCTTCCGCTTTGCCCTGAATCCTCAAAGTCCGACCGGATGGTTTTAGGCCATGGAAAAGCTGTTGTCAGGTCAGACAGGCATCCATGGTTTCTCCGCGGCTACTTCTCCATGTGTCGAAGGCGGCAGGTCATGGACAAGCAAGTTAGGGAAGCATAAAAGTGGTTTTGTGTGTACGGTTTCATTTCGGAGGTAGTTAACCTTGAAAGTTTACACCCGAAACCACAAATCCTCTGAGAACGCCCAAATAAAAAGCTTTGCAGTTCAAGAGATGCGGTTTATGGGTTTGGGGGTCGAAGGTTAGGGTGTACCGTTGTTGCCCAGTTTCTCCGTTTAATCTTCAAGGTGACATCAGGCACAGCGGCTTTAGGGTTTAGGGCTACGGCTTCAGGGTCACGGCTTCAGGGTGCAGGGGTTCAGGGTTGAAGGTTTTTGGTGTTGGATTTCGGACGTGGGTCAAAAGGTCTAGTGCTTAAGACAGGCTATTCACTTGCTATGCCGTCAACACAAAGCGGCTGTCCAAAAACAGACATATGTAGTATCTTGAACCCTTGTCTGATTAAACCGAGCAACAGTTGCATGGTACGGGTCATATACGGACCTATATGATTGCATCAGGGCTTCTTGGACAGCGTGGTGAGCTGGGCTTTCATCATATATAGTTTGAAAAGAATTGCTTGAGGTAATCATTCAGTTAGTAAGCTGCCAATAGAGTTGGGCCAACACGCCGGAGGTGCGCAAAACGACGGCAAGTCGACTTGAAATTGCACACGGCGCTTCGAACCCTGAACCCTCCGCCCAAGAAAGAACACCCTTGTAACCTTGTAAAACGCATTATGCCTTAATCCCTATTCACCAAAACCTCAAGAGCCGAAAAAACCAACCACCATGGCCTTGGCCGTGAACACACCGATCGTGAAGAATGAAATCCCAGACACTCCGGCAAGGTTTAAGGTTTAGGGAGTTTAGGGGTTGAGCGGCTTGAAGAGAGGTTTAGGGTTCAGGGGTATTCAACCATCCACTCCTCTAGGGCCCGTTCCGTCCGCAGCATGGGCTTAATTACGAATGCCATGTCGGCGGTGCCGATGATCATAGTTACATAATCGACACGGTCGTGCAGGAAGAAGGATCAAGCGCAGACAATGCTCAAAGGCCTCTTGAATCATCTGGACAGTCTTTGGTTCATGGGCTTGCAGTCTGGATCGTCGTTGTCCTGAAGGGAGGTCAGCTTGGCAACGTAGATCATGGCGGCTTCCTGTCAGCACTGCCGACGGCTTCGGATGCTCTGGGACAGGTGATACACGGCCTGCCATGGCGTGCCTCGTCGAAGAGGTCACTCCAAGCTTCTTTTCCGCCCTACCGCTCACCGGAGCCCTTGCAAACCCTTCTCTGAAGGGCCAGGAATTGTCCTGCCGTGGAAACCCCAAAGCCGAAACGAGACCTGACATACTAAGCTCCGCGAGAGCCTACGGTTTGACCCGAGCAAGATCTATTCGTCCGATACGCTTCCATAAGCTTTCTGTCTGTAAGGTTTTGAGCTTAGGAGTTCAGCTTCAGTGGTTTAAGAAGTTTAGGGTTCAGGGTGCTTGAGTTTACCTACACCGTCGATGGTAGTAGTTTGTGAGAAAACAATCTCGCTCTGCGCATAACATAGCCTATCCCCAGCAAGCGCAGCCTTTCAGAATATACTATCACATATATTTAATGCTACATTACGAGTCCCCTGCCTGAGCTGCACCTCGCCGGTGCAAGCAGAGGCCTGTCGTTGGTGTCGCTTGAAACTGAAAGGAATGTTGCAATCGAAGGGTCGAATGTACTTGGACCCCAACAGTGTAGACTAATAGCCTTTTGTAGGTGTTGGGCCACTACTTTACCTACTTTTGGGGGGTTGAGGTAGGGCTTAGGGTTTAAACCCTAAACCCTAAACCCTAAACTTTACTTTGCGATCTTTGTGGTAAGATCAGCAGCTGCTTGTGCAAGCGGGAGGCTGGGACCCACAGGCTGGAGAACTGGTCCAGGAACCCTACTCTAGGAGCCTTAACGAATAAATTTAGAACAGGGTGTTTGGGTTTACTTAGTGGGTATACTTATACTATAACTATAATCAGGAATTCCCAAAATGGTATAGGTAATTATTAAAGCCCCTATATTAGCTGTTACGAGCCCCTCCCGCCCTGAGCTGTAAACTACGGGATCCTCAACCCTGTAACCCCCAAGTTTGAGTTTCAAGCCTACCTTAAGCTACCAAAACCTACTTTTTGTGGGTGCCTATAAACTCCAAATTAGGGTTTACAATAAGAACCTACAAAAATGTAGGGTTTGGTAGTTTAAGGCAGACGTCAAATCCCAAACCCTTGAACACAGCATTTTGAGACACCGCCAGGCAGACTTCGCTGCTTCTTCGAGGACGTGCTGTGCAACTTATTGGCTGCATAAATATGGGGGCCTTAATACTGTACTATAGTTATCATAAGGAAACCCCAAAATAGTATACATAGGTAATTATTGAACCCTTGTATTAGGCAATACGAGGCTTGAAGATCAGGCTCGCCTGACAGCCCCCTCTGTCGTGCTGTGCTTGAACCTTCAATGGGAGTTTCCGAAAATTCGGGCTTTGTAATCAAGCAGTTCGTGCAGCACGCGACGCTTCTGCCTGGTCACGAGCCTTGTCTTCTCTCTCTAGCGGAAGCTCTCCATCTCAGCCTTGTCGGTTTTTCCTTCATTTCCAGAAATGCCTTTTTCCACTTCTGCGCCTCCTTTCTTGCATTGTCCTTCACTTTGGTCACCGTCTTGCGATCCTCGCGGTCGGGGCAGACGGGTGCTTCCTGCACCAGAGGCTGGTCGACGTCGATGGGTCGGCGAGCCATAGCGATAATGTAGTGACGTGTGCAAACTGCGACTCAACCACGACTCAGGGAGACCAAGTGCTGAATTGAGCTAAGAGTTAAAGGTTTAGGGTTTTAGGGTTTAGGGTGGAGGGTACGATATCGGGGTCCTTTTCATAAGGATCCTACTGTTCAGGGTACTATATTGGGGTCCCCTATTTTCGGAGACTCCCAAATGGCACCTGTTCAGCTGTCAAGTTACAAGGCCAGAAACGTCGGGTCGCTTGATACAGCGCCCTGAAGCCGGAAGCAAGACCACCCAGAGACTCCAATATCCCTTAATTAGGGAATATACCTTCAATTATAGTAGGATCCCAAGTATGATTTAAGGAATATTCCGTAGTGATGGGATATTGGAGTCTTTGACCATCCTGCGACGGGCTTTCTCTGTCCCATGTTATGCAAAAGCACCCGTACAAGAGAATACACGGGCTCAGGCCTGAGCTCCTAAGCCTGACACCCTACCTAGACGCCATGAAACGTGCCTTCCGAAAGACATAGGTTTTTTCGATGGTATATGATATACTGGACTTATTCATCCGTTTGTTTATTTTGTATATTTCTACAAGATGTACGCGCACACACACACACACTACACACACATATACATACATACATATATATATATATATATATGTTATATAAAAACATATATTTATGTACTTATTTTTTGTATACATAAACATCCCATAAAATTCAGGTACGCCTTGAAGACCAAACCTCACAGCCCGACCTCGCTTCTGACAGCCTCGACTCGGCAGCAACAATGCTAGGCGACTTCGCCACAGCTGCGTTCGTCTCCTGGCAGCGGCTTAAGGGGTTGGGACGGCTTCAGCATGTGTTTGACGGGGTCAAACGCTTGTTGTGTCCTTTCGCGGCCACGCCAGAAGCACTCTTAGTGAGTTTCACCGGGAATATCCGTCCTGAGATGTGGAGGAGTAGCCAGCCGTCGCGAACTTCGGAGGGGCGGGAGGCACCTGCCCATACTTCGAGTGTGCTCTCAGGCCTGAAACACCTGGAGCCCCAAACCCCGAGACTTTTGGAGGTATGAAGGGTTTGGCATCTTGCGGTCCAAGTTTGGCTTTCGAGAACACTGCAAGACCCCTTGCGTAGTTCAGGCAAACAACCCAATTAGCCGAGGCCTCCGAGTCTGGATTTAATCTCTTCCTGTCCCCTCAACTCCCCTGCCTGAGTGGGGAATCAAGACGGATGCATCTTTGAATCCATCTTTCATCTTTCAGGGGTGGAGGGGTAAACGATGACCTTTCCCACACAACTGGCACAAAACGCGAAACGCTGTGTTTGCGGGGCCTAGGACTTCTCAGTGTTCTCATACATCTTATTCCCAAAGTGTACTAGTACTAGCACTACTACTACTTCTACTGATACGTCGGCAACTGCTACCACGAAGACGACAGCGATTATTGCACGTCTTCTCAGCAAAGCGCAAACAAATTATTCCATGACCACGGATCCCAACAAAGAAGCAAATAGGCATTTTTCGAACGGGCACGCAGGGCATATTGTGCATACATATATATCTATATACACACATACACGCCTGCACGAAAAGCCAAACTATAAAACCCAGGATCATGACTATCAAAGCATTTTGACCCCTAGCTCTACACCCCTGAACCCGCAAAGCCAAATCCGTAACCCCGCCTCCCTCCCCCTACAAAATGGCTGTTATGGCTCTCGGAGACTGCCTCGGCTGTGGCCTTCGGTGGCGCCGCTGGCATCCGAACCTCGGGAGAAATTCAGGGTTTAAGGCATAGGGTTCGACCTCAGGGGTTGAGGAAATTGGTGCTTAAGTGTACAGGTCGATGCCTTTGGTGGCGGATGCTGGCGACGTGTAAACATGTCTAAACCCAAAGCCCCAACTCCCACATCCTTAACCCCTGAACTGAACACTGGCAAAAACAAATTGCTCCTGAACTGAACACTGAAGACTTCAAACCGATACCCCAAAGCCCACATGCTGAACAATACCAGGAGAGACCATGACTCGATTTATGTTTGCAGCAGTCTAGACTAACTGTTTCTTAAGGATTATAATAACCAAAAATTTTAAAACATGTTTCTAAGTACCCCTAAGCAGTCTGTGCTTGCTTACAGCTTCTCTGGGCGGTTCAGGTCTTCGGGAACTGGAGATGTGGAAGCTCAGAGAGCTCTCGGTTTTAGCTTTAAAGTGCTGAGGCTCTGCTAGCTCCGAACTCGGGATTCCAAAAAGTGCTCTTCTTCTTTTTGGACACGGTTTGGGGTTTAGGGTTTAGGGTTCGGACCGATCATCTTGCCCCAGACACTGCTCTATCAAGGAATTGAGAGTCCCTTAAACCCTGAACTCCTAAACCCTAAAACCCTAGACCTAAAACCCTAAAACCCTAAAACTCTAAAGCCCTAAAGCCCTAAAACCCTAAAACCCTAGGCCCTCAACCCTAAAACCCTACGCCCCAAACTCGAAGCCCCTGCTGCTTTACCCATAGGCCCCAAAGTAGTTCCTTTTTGGGGTTCCCTTATAGGCTTCTATATACGAACCCCAAAATGGAACTACTTTGGGGCAATAGGGTAGAAGATCTTGCTCCGCTCTCGCAGGCCTGCGGCTCGTGGACTTCTTGTAGACTCTTGCAGGGCGTAGGGCTTATCGGGTTTAGGGCTTATAGGGCTTAGAGGGTTTATGATGTACGGGGTGGGGTTTAGGATTTAGGCCTTGGGAGTTTAGGGGACTTGGGATGCAACTAGCGTTATTGAGCGATGCTTGGCGTGGTAAAGCCGCTGGTTAGACTTTAGCCCTACGAGCATGACTGGTTTGCATGATCCCTGAAACAGGGTACATGGGGCTTAGGTCATCTGGGATCTGAAAATCGAAGTTTCAGAAAACACCACCTAATGTATAGTCTACAAACTGCAAAACCGGCTTCTTCGGATCTCGTCGTTTTAGGCACTCCTAATTGTGAGAACCCCCGGCCAACATGGCAGCTGGTCAGAAAGTCTGGGGACCTTGCCGAAGCTTTAATCGTGCGCACCCCTTCAGCTTTCCTGAGAGCTTGAAGGCTGAGGGTCCGGGGTTTCCGGTTGAGGGTTTGGGCTCACCGTTTGGGTCTCGGGTTCAGGGGCCAGGTTTCTGTCTTCCGGCATCGAAGCACTCAGATGTTCATTGCCTCCTGTTCGTTGATCTTGCTCTGGCTGCTGTTCAAAGCCACAGTCTTACTCGTGTCCACCATGCACATTGTCATCTCACGACCTAAAACCAAAATGCACTGGCTATAAACGGTTTCGTAGAGCTTCAACAATGCCCCTAAACCCGAACTCCTAAATCCAGGGCCATCGGGTTTTTGCTAATGAAGGATTGACTACGCAGCCGCTGAAGGGTTTGGGGCTTGGAGACTCTTCGATGTTTCTCGAAACCATGTCACGGTGCTATCACAAGGGCCGTATAATCTGAATGGGGTTTTGAGAGTTTCTGGGACAGGTTCTTGGTATGACCTACTAAATATAACATTATTACTGTTGCAGTTACAAGAGCCATGCGCCTTGAACCTTCGCCACTTGTTGCTTTCCTCTTTCCGCAGCTAGGGAAAGTAAAGCAGCGAAGCAGAATCCGACGAAAGAGTAAGAGAGCCAAGCGAAAGAGGCAAGCCTTAACAAAGGTAGCACTTCAACGACATAAAACTGCAACAGACGGATCTGAAAGAATTATACACCCTACAACGCACTACAAGCCAAAGCCCAAGCACAAAAAGCCCTAAACCCTAAACCCTAAACCTGCAAGAGCTGTATAGTAGAAGCCAGAAAGTTGGAACATGGTTTGAGGATGATTCATGCTGGGACTCCCTTATACTTTACTTTAAGGGCACGGGGACAATGATGTTCCAACTTTTTGGCTTCTGCTGTAGATGGGAGCCCCGACGCGTTGTTGCCACCTGGTAGCCGGTGCCCCGGCCCTGATCGGAAGATCCTTGGACGTCAACGTTCTCTTTAGTTTTTTTTTCTCTTTTCTCTTTAGGTTTAGGGTTTAGGGTTCAGGATGTGGGGTTTAGGGTTTAAGGTTTAGGAGTTAGTGTCTAGGGTTTAGGGTTCAGGATGTGGGGTTTAGGGCTTAGGGTTTAAGGTTTAGGGTTTAGGGTTCAGGATGTGGGCTTTAGGGTTCAATTAGGGTTTAAGATATAGGAGTTATAAGGGTTTAGGTTTCAGGGTTTTTGGTAGGTTCTCTTCAGTTCCAGTAGATGCTTCTTGTTTTTATGACTAACCATTATGTCCCTTGTTGTTCTTGTTTTTGTTTGATTGTTTGTTTTGTTGTTTGGGTGGGTGGCGTATGGGGGGCTGAGTGGTGGAATCATCCTGGAAGGAACCCGATACTAGGATACCCAGTAACCTAAGAATAAAAAGGCCTCTCTTTTTGGTATTGGGTAACTTTATAAGGAACCTAGGACTACAAAAAGTTTATAAGGGTACTACTGGGCATCCTAGGATATAAAGCCTCAGAGCAGAATCTGGGAGTTGAGGGCGAAACACTTAGCTTGGGTTTGGGCTTCGGCACTTACTGCTGAGGAGGTCATTGTGGTGGCGTGGGAGTGTCCGCATGTGTATGTATGTACACATCTAGGATCTATATCCAGATATATGTGCGTATATGTACGTTTATGTACCTATGTTCCCATGGAGATTCAGTCTTTGATGCTGTCAATATGTAACATGTGGGGCTTGTCCAGGGTGGGTTGCGGCTCTGACATAATCGTTAATCGTTCACTCTTCTCTGGCAAAACGCTGTGTCAGGCATCACTTGCATGTTCCTGGAAAATTCGCTACCTTAGCATATATTTCTGCACATACATGTGCGTTATAAAGCACCGGCAAACACCACAGCTGTTCGCAATGACGGGCAGAGTGTTGGTTGATCTTCGATGGCTTGTTGAATTGTTTACTGTTGTCCGAACTGCTGCCTGGCTGTAGCCAACCTTACTGTAGCACAACCTTGGCTGCCATCACCCCTACACCCTCATCCTGAAGACACGGTCATGAATTGAAGCAAGATGCTGCGATGCTCCAGGATCTGCAGCTTTTTCCTATCAGGCATCAGGAACAACATAAGTCACTTCAGCCACACCTGCTGCGCAGAACAACCCCTTGAACGAAGGTAATCGAATGATCCCGATTCAAGACACTTCCACGGTTCATGGTGTCGGGCCAGCGTCGGTTGGCCAAGGTCAATGCAGAGGAGTTTAAAGATGGATTTTGTGTCCCAGAGAAGTCCTTTGTGCCAGCCAGCTAGGCCTACAATGACACGGTCTCCGAAGCCCGGCGCCATCTGATCTCGAAGACCCCCTGCATGCACCGAACATCAAAAACCTGGGAGCCAGTTCGGGAGGTTGCTTCGAGTAGCCTGGCCCGCTAGCATGCCCAAACTCGGTAAAAAAAACAGGGGCCTTCTGCCATCCCTTGACTTGCAAAGTAATGCCAGCTGACCTGTGAACCCTAACCCTGGGGTGCTGCCCCCATACAGTAGCAGTCCGAGGGCTACTACTAAGGGCCGAAGGGGGAAGTATCCAACGCCTGAACCTGAAGTGCAAAGCTCCCTTCGGCAATTTGGCAAGGTCCGGGTGCCTCTGCAGAGAACAACTCGACCAAGCCCGCCTCTTGGATTGAGTGAGGGTTAGGGTTTATGGTCTAGGGTCTATAGGGTTTAGGGGCTAGGGTTTAGGGTTTAGGGAGATCAAGGTGACGGGTTGAATGTAGGGGCGGGGTGTTTGTGGCTCATGTTTGAAACCTTGACGGCCGAACGAAGAATTTTGCAGACCCCCATCCCTTGCTACATCCCGAAACCCTATCTAGATCCTTGCAGGAACCGCCGCCGCCAAGCCTCCACCTGCTGTCGCAGCGCTGCATCCTTAATCACGAAACATGAGAACATGACAAGGGTGGCTAACAAAGAGCTTAGTTTGGAGGATTGATGTGCCAGTGTTTTAGCGTTCAGGTTGCAGGGTTTAGGGTGTGTAGTGTCTAGGGCTTAGGAATTTGCTGTCAAAGGTGCGGAACTTGATGGGTTCAGCCGTACGACCGTACCATGATGAGCCTACTTATGCAGCTCGAAATAGCAACACGCAGAATCTTTGCAAGGCAAAACAGCAAACCTGAAAAACCTCCCTACACCAAAGCCACCTTGTGGAAAATTTTCTAGGACACCTAACACAACGGATAAACACCACCACATGACCAGCACGACAGAACACATCCCACCAGTCAGTACTAGAATCCTAAAACCCTACCTAAACCCCTAAAGCCCGAAACTCTTAATCCTAAACTGTGAATCAGACAATCCGAAGTTCAGACCCTGAAGAGTTGAACCTAATAGTCTGAAGCTCTGAGCTTAAACTCCTAAGCATTAGTGAGCCTCCGCAACTTATGCCCTTTTTACGACTATAGGTATAAACTCCCAGCCGGATGGGCGCATATCGGCTTACACCGCGGCTACACCCAGAGCTATACTTAAGCCGCAAATCTAACAACCGCAAAACTTTAACCTCGAAGCGGGGTTGTGCTTCCTCCCGCCCAGTCTGTATTCTGAACCCTAAGAAACTCTAAACCCGAATCCCCAAACCCCCATGCCGTCACGGCTCCGAGTGCATGCATTCATTGACGACTTGGTCGCCCTGCCTTTCAATGAACCTGGGATGCTTCGAGGATCCTACCGTCTAAACAAAACCATGTTCTGAATATGTAATATGGAGTGCTTCGATTCCGGACTAAATGCGCGTTTCCTTGTGGTAGTTGGACGTCGACAACCGAAAGGATGTGTTCACGCCCACCTACAATGCACGGTCATGCAGGCGGCGAGTTGTGCTTGAAGCTTCACCTGTGTTTGCAGACCGCGCGGAAGCTAGTGAAGCTAACATTGTCATCGTGATCCGGAAGACGCGGATCAGGCCACTCGTTTTCGCTTGTTGTTGGAAGCTGTGTCCATGAACGACCATACTATACCATACTACAAACCATGCCCCTGTTATGCTGACATACTGCCACTCTTGGCTTCCATGCCCCCGTGATCAAGCTCGTTGTGCCCACTTGGTCTTAGTGATGACAAAACGAGTCAGCGCATGAAGCCTGACCTGTCAATGATATGTGGGTCGGAACAGTCTAAAAATCAAACATTTCCTCATGTTCCTGTCTCCTTTTTAGCCTTGGACTCTGAACCGTCCCGAACCGCTACGTTAGACAGTAAGACCTCATCCTCCGTGTCAGGTGAAAGGTCTATCGGTTTCGGCACCTAGTGCCATACTGTGGGGGCCTCAATATTTTTAAGGTCTGGAGATATATTGCACTTTTCTTACACAAAGGAGCCCCCAAACCCTATTCTGAGTATTACACCGGTAGTAATTAAGGCCCCTACATTGGCGAAGCCGAGGCACTCCAAAAGCTTCGGCGAGAGCTCTGGCTGAAGCGATGCGATGCGCTCCTAAGCTTCGGGTTTTTGTCAATTCCCAGAGCCTCCGAACGCCTTAATTTATATTGGAGATCCTATTATGATTTCAAGTATATTCCTCAATTAAAGGGTTTTGGACGCTCTGGGCTCCTTAATCCCTAAAGTTTCTTAAGAGGGTCTTGTCACGTTTGGAGGATGTCCTAGGCTGTTACTGTATATGCTTTCTGTGCGGTGTTTTGTAAGGATTGTCAGGTTAGGGTGCAGGGTCTATAAGGCTGGCAAAGCTTGTGACTAGCCTTATAAGTTGTAGGGTTAACTATATTAGGGGTTCAGAAGCCTTCTAAGGTTGACATGCTCCGGGTTAGCGCTGAGGGAGGCCTAAACCCTACCCCTGAACCCTTTTTGCCCTAAATCCGAAGCCTGAAACCCTGAACCTACACCCGAAACCTTAAACCTTTCACCCGAGACCCTAAACCCTGCACGTCAATCCCTCATTTTGAATCACAGCTCTGAGGCTTGGGCTCTGAGGCGGTTTGTTGTGCTTTGGTACATCCGCGTCGAAGATATTCCCCAGCCCCAAAATAGCCGAAGCCCCCAACCCTTTCGCACCCCAGGTCGAAAGCCTCTAGCACCGAATCAAGGGCCGCGATAGCTGTAAGGACAGCAGCAGGCATCTAACAACCCCAAAACCCTACACCTGCGAATTGTCGCTAACAAGAGAGGCCTGTACAAACACTGCTGGCCCATCCGCTCAATACCCAAAATGCCCTCAGCCCTAAGCGCGATGTCAACATCCCAAACCCAGATAAGTCTTATCTTAGGCCGTTATCGGAAGGAACCCCTAAAGGAGGAATCAACAGAACCCTTATGGGCCTAATCAACCCAAACCCGAACCCTACCTATAGCCTCCATTGTAGTTCCTTTTTGGGGTTACCGTATGGGATCCTAATTATATAATTGGTTAAACCCAAAAAAGGAACTACAATGGAGACTATAGGTAGCCCCTAAACGCTAACCTGCCGGTCCGAAATGCAAGGATGCTGTGGCTTGCAGCCATTGCCTCTCGCGTCGGTGTGCTATAGGGGTCTGAATAATTTTCATCGGGTTTTGGGTATATTCTACTAGAAATCATAAGGAATCCCGAATATAGTTTTGGTGGCTATATAAGCGACTCTATCACTCTTCTTTCTCTAGGTCCATAAACCGGTTTAATTGGGCTACGGGTATCATAAGATGTAGTGGGTTATGCTTCCACTGCTCCTTACCCTCAATATCAACCTTACAGCCTTGTACTGTTCCTTAAGCCCCCATACAAACCTTATAGACTTATAGACTATGCGGTTTATGCAGAGCTTCGGGAACCAGTAGAAATGTAATATGGAGGCCTTAATGATTACCCATACACTATTTTGAGGGTTCCGTATCATATCTATAGTACAGTGGGCCCCAGAACCCTCTTCTAATTATTAAGGCCCCAATATTTTAGCACCCTTATAGATCCCCGATAGTAGCCCCTATAGAATTATTAAGGCCTCCATCTTAAGCCACGTTGCTTTAGGTATCTACCCTCCCCAGGCTTCCTTTTCGGTTCAAAAGGACGATACTGCATGGTTCAAGGTTTACCTATAGTCTCCATTGTAGTTCCTTTTTTTGTTTAACCAATTATATAATTAGAAGTCGGATCCTATAAGGTAAAGCCAAAAAGGAACTACAATGGAGACTATAGGGTTCAAGCTTCAGGGATTAATGTTTCTATAGCCCGGCGGGTCATTGTGCTCTCAATCGTGTGCTGAAGAGCTCGGGCAAAATGTGTGCTTGAGTGCATGGTGCACCTGGCACCAAGTAGTGTTGGCAGCTAAATAGATTTCGCATGCTCTGAGTCTGCAGGCGATGTCATCCCTGCTCCATCTTTCAAGACAGTTCTGGAGCGTGCTGTGAGGCTTACAGAGGCCGGAGCAGTATTACAAAGACCCCGAGGCCTCCAAACCTTCCATGATCACCTCAACTCCAAGCTCACAGCCCCAAGTTCACGCAACTCAAAACCCTTATGAGCCCACTAGATTGGGGGTTCGTTATGATATGTATGGTAACAAAAATACACAACCCCCTATTGAGGACTGAGAGACAGAAGAGTAACATAGGGGCTTAGAAGTGATCCCCGGGGGCGGCCTTGGCATGCCGGCGTGGGAGCCGGTCCTGTGAGCTGCCCAAAGGCCCCAAAGTAGTTCCTTTCTGGGGTTCGTATATAGAATCCTATAAGGTACTCCAAAAAGGAACTACTTTGGGGCCTGTGGGCTAAGAGTGCTGAGATGCAGAGGGGCCTGATTCAAGCTTTCGGGGTTCGAAGATCAAATGTTTACCCTAAACCGTAAGCCCTAAACCGCACACCCACAAACCCTAAACCGTAAACCCTAAACCCCCAAACCCTAAACCGTACACCCTAAACCCTATGGTTCAGGGGTTTAGAGCTCAGTGCCGAAGAGCGCTTGAAAACACAAAGACTGCTTTGCATCCAACTGCAGGGGCTGCCCCAGTCAAGCGGTGACAGCGATGGTCCTGAGCTCGGCTTTGCCCGAATCCGAGGCCTCGAAGTTACGACCGCGGGGAGAGTCTATCGTTCCAGGCTCATAGAAGCAAGAGGTATTTAAACCCTAAGCCCCCAAACCCTAAAGACCCCAAACGCGCCAACACCAGTGATCTTGCTCCTCCGCCCAGCGCAACCAGAGTGCCAGGTTCACTTCCCAGGCTTTTTCCGGCCAATGACTCTCTTCACTGTTGTCCCAGCCGGTCCAGCTGGAACTGTGGATTCGAAGTGAGCGTCCACCGACACGCCTCCAGGTTGAGCTGGGAGTGTCTGCAGCTGGTCAAAACCTGTAGCACTGTAGATCCTTCTTAAAGGATCATGGGACTGCTGAGTAACTAGGGTTATAAGTATGGTAACTATACTTATGAATTACCCCAATTAAGGTACTTACAACCTTACTTACTAAGTCCCATGACCCTCCAAGCTGTCAAGCCCATGAAGCCAGAAGAAAGAGAAACTCCACAGTAACACCCCCCCTCCTTTTAGAGCCCCCTGTCAAAAGACCGCACATGGTAGCCCAGAGCCCTTGAATCTATAGATCCTAGATCTCTTAAAAGCGCCCCGATAAACACAATCCAAAAGCAGCCAAGAAACACAATCCCCTAAACCCCATAGACCCTTAAACCTTGGAACCCTAAATCCTAAAACCCTAAATCCTAAAACCGTAAAGCCTTAAACCCTAAACCCTAAAACCCCAAACCTTTGAAACCTAAACCCTAAAACCCTTTCATCCGTTCATCGTGCGCTTCCCGGCCTCGGTCTCTCGGCCTTTTCCCGTCCATGGCCGGGGTCGGTCTGCAGCGAATAGGCTGAGGTTTAGGGTTTAGGGTTTAGGGTGTAGGGTTTAGGCGATATGTCGTCTCTCTTGTGGATATTTTTTTGGCTTAGTTAGTCTATCATGGTTAGGATCCTTGACATAAATTTTCGTTAACCAAAGGAACTCGAGGAACTACAATGGAAACTACAGGTAGGGTAGGGCTTAGGGCTTAGGGTTTAGGGTTTAGGGTTTAGGGTTTAGGGTTTAGGGTTTAGGCCTAAGGGTCTGGGGCAGTTTGGGGCGTAATTGACGGTTTGGAGAGGGCCGGAGCTTCGCATAGGTACTGTATGTATGTTCCCAGCCTACTTGATCCTTAGAACGAAAAGAAGCACACAATCCCAAAACCCGTTACCCCGAAACTTGTGTGCCCTGATACCCGAAACCCTGAAAAAAGAAACTCCAGACCCCTGAACTCATGGCCGTGGCGTCTTGCAGCCATAAAGCCCTTAAAACGCACGTCACCGGCCTTCCCGAGGACCCGATGGGGAAGGGCTTGCTACGAGGCCCGTGGATCCGAGTTCCTGGTTCGCACGCATTGGTCTCTGCTGTCGCTGAGGGTTTGGAGCTTATAGGCTGTTAGATGTTGCAAGTCTGCGGTTTATGTGGATTCACAGCTTTTTTGAGATAAATGGGTTTGGAGCTCATGGTTGGTAAGGGTATGAGTCGGTATGAGGTTTCAGGAAGCTGGGCCTTTGTCTTCCTAAACCTTTAGGAAGGAGGTACGGGCTTCGGTGGAGTTGCTCCAGGTAATTTGGAGTGACAGGTAAATCCTGAACGCCTCGAACCCTAAGCCCTATACGCCCTTAACCCGAAAATGTAAGCCCTATAAACCCCCTGCCCTACCTCCGCAAGTGCTTCATCCACCGCGCGGCGCAGCAGCGGCGTGGCTGACGCGTTGCGGAATGCATCTGAGGGGCTCCGGTTTGGGGTTACGACAAAGATTACTATGAGGGCTAGGAGTAAAGGTTGCTAGAAGAGTGAAGAGGGGTGTGCTGTAGACGTTAAACCTTCATCCATAGAGTCGCACAATCTCAATGAGGGTATCAGACCGGCTCTGGCCCTTAAACTGAGGGTCGAGCCCCTTCAGCCCTCGGGCGTAGGGGCAAGTAGTCGGATGCTTCGTGGATGATGATGTTGGGCTGCGAAGCATCACACAAGCGCTCAAGCTTCCAACAATCGGGGCCAAGAGCTATGGACGAAAACTATAAGGGTCTATACTCGGGTGTATAAGCAAAAATTTATTTGCGATTCCAGACAAGCCCTAAACCCCTAAACCCTATAAACCCTAAGCCTAGGCCCTAAACCCTAAATCCCAAACCGTAGGGAAGCTCCGAAAACAGACTTGGATAACCCTTCAGGTTGGCCCAGCAGCTCGAGGGCTTTTAGCCCCAGCACTACGTGTGCCCTAAACTTCAGGGTCCATCGGGCCCCTTACATCATACTTCATACTAATCCTTATATCAAACTCTGAGGCAATCCTTAACCCTCAAGGCTTAACCCCACAGCCTAACACCAAAATCATGTCATACTATCTCCCTTTCTTTTGAATAGCGCCGACCCTAAACTCTAAACCCGACGTAACCCTCAACTTGCCAAAAGACGGGAACCTCAACCTACTAACTCCACACATACAGTAGGATCCGAAAAAAAAAGTACAGCAAGCCTAACTAAACTTGTCGTAGGATCCGTTTATGCAGCCATTCAAACACATAGTTGGGTCCTTCGTAGTTTGTAGGATAATTTGGAACCTCACCCTAAACCCGAGACTTCTGATAGTGCTCTTGCAATATACACTTGTACTAGGGTCCTTCTATAGGGATCCTTCTAGCATCCCGTTCAGAACAAGGTCCTTATCGGATCTTTGCACTATACACTTACACTACGGTCCTTATAGGATTATTCTCGTATCCCTTTTAGGCTCATTAGGTAACCCCCAAAAGGACCTACAATGGAGACTATAGGTAGGGTCCTTAAAGTACCCTTAAAGGTCCCCTTAAAGGATCCTTGAGGGTTCCCTTAAAGTACCCTTGAGGGTTCCCTTAAAGCACACTTGAGGGTTCCCTTAAATCATAGGGATCCTTAGGGGGGTAGGGGGAGGGGGGGTAGGGGGCCTTAAGGCCCATAATAAGGACTAATAAGGCCTATTTAAGGAAATATAGTCCCCTACACCCCTCCCCCCTACACCCCTAAGGATCCCTATGATGAAAGATCCTTCTTTGATCCCTTTGAAGGCGAGGGGCCCAGGAGGGTCTCCAGTTCGCTTCGCGGCCGCTGCGCCAAGCGCTTGGCGAGGCGAGGAGCGAGCTCTGGCCTAGGCTGTCACGGGCCTCCTTTAAGGGATCCTTTAAGGAATCCTTAAAGGATCCTTTTAGGGCTCCTTTAAAGGATACTTTTAAGGGTTCCTTTCAGGGTTCCTTTTAGGGGTGCCTCTGAGAGCTCTTTTTCGGGGATCCTTTACGAGTCCCTTGATGGGTTCCTTTAAGGTTGCCGGCTTCGGGTTTAGGGTTTAGGGCTTAGGAGGTTTGGGTCTTAAGGTTTGAGGGATCCTCTCAGGTCCTCTCAGGTTCCGTTTAATCACTTGCAGAGTTACTTTCAGGAGAGGGTTTGGTGTTGGGGGTTTGAACGAATTGGGTTTCGGAGTTAGGGTTTGGCCGTGTGGGATCTTTACATGAGGGGGCCTTGACAGGGTCTCCGCACTCTAATGCATATACTGCTCGAGCGGCTTAGAGCTTAGGAAGTAGAGCTGGGTTTGAGGCTTTATAGGGTTCATTGTAACGGTCTTGGTTTGAAGTTTTTCTGCGGGATTGTAGTGAAAATTTTGAGATTGTGAAAACCCCGTATCTGCTATGAAGTTTCTATGCACAGGCTTTCGGCTTTCCGCCAGTTCCACCCAAGAGCTCCACAAGCTTCAAAAGCACAAACTTGTCTGGGACTGCGCGCTGATGGGGCGCGAGGTAGCCTCTTAGCTCCTCTTCGGCTTGTGCCTGGTGATGATCTTGGGCTGGGGTTTAAGGGCGTTCTGATTACTTGGGATTTTAAGGTATGTTGGGTTAGGGCATCAAGGGTTCAACTACCTGGCTTAGGGCAGGGTGCGGTTGGGGGTCAGTGGCAAAACTTCTTGGACGGGTCTCCACAAGAGTTCCAGAGAGTTTCTGCGGGTTTAGGGTTTAGGGGTTCAGGGTTTCTGCAGGTGTGCTTTGCTGTGCTTATTTAGAACTGATGCTTGTAGTGCTAAACTGAAGCTGCGGCAGAGCCGCTTCAGATCCCAAACAAACACACACACACACACATGCTCACATACATACGAAAGAACATACAGACACACAGACAGACATGCATGCATACATGCACATACATACATACATACATACATACATGCATGTATACACTCATCCGTTCATGTATACATACGTATAGATACATATATGAATATACACTTGAAACACATGTCCATAATGTACAAGACTATCGTTTAAGATGCTGCATTACAGCAAACTCAACCAATTATAATGTGGTGTAGCTAGCTTGAGATATGAAGCAGCATGATATAATGTGATATAGTATAGTACAGCATGGTCATAGTCCAGAACGGTAGAATACAAAAGAAATAAGTAATGCTGCAAAGCAATATGCTGTACTATAGTAACTAGACTAGAACAGTTAACAAAATCTAGCGGAAAACACATTCTACACTTCACTGTGCTACGGTATCATATGTTAGCATGCTGTACACAATAATACAGCCCAAGAAATCAATGTATTATGCTACAAGTGACAGTAGCCTTTGCTATGACGTCACATTCTGAAAGTTATGTTTCATAATGCAATGCTGCATATCCTAAACAAACATGTTATACAGTGTGGAACGATGCATAATGTCATCAAAAAATGACACAGCATACATATAGTCAACACATCAATACATAAGTCCTTGTTGTAATGGTATAACCGCCAATATGTAACATACACAAGCCGTATCAGAGCTGGATACATCATAATATGAAGTGATATAACGCAATGTCATACACTGTAGTGCATCATGCTATAGAAAATAGGGTACCGCGAAGTGTGACAACTGCAGCATAAATTGACAGAACACAACCAATGAATATAAACAGGACAATACCACCACAACGGATACTGTCGCACAAGAATAGATACGGTAACAAAGATAAGACCCCGGTAGGATAAAACCGTCATAGCATGTGATGACGCCAAGCTAAGATGGAAAAACAAATGCATAAGAAAGATAGCACACTATATACACATATACATATGCATGTGATATGTTACATGTATATACAAACCGTTACAATTGCAATTTTGCACTGTATATTATATTATAATATATATGTATATATATATGCAAAGTTAATATTATGTTATACAAGAATACATGTATTTGCACATGGTACTGCTGGATGACGTGGTGCACGCACATGCATGCATATCGTATCGTGAAGGGCCCCTTCACGCCCGCGAAGCCTCAAACGTTGCTCTGATGAAACTGCCAAACAAGCCTCTAATGTAAAGGCCTTAAGAATTAGAATCCGGTTTTGGGGGCCATTATCCGTAAGGAACCCCCAAAAGAGTACTGGTAATTATTCAGGCGCCTTCATCAATCCGGGAGCCCCAGTACCCATTTGGGGGTCTTAAAGACTTTCGATCGGGCCCGGCCAGGCTTTTTTCACGTAGTCGAAGCATGTTGCTCCTCAGCATGCTTCAAATAGAGCCCCAGCAACTTTAACTTTAAATGCCCAAGCTCAATTTCTCGAATTAAGCCGCCGACTCCTCTTTAGGAAACTCCCGCAGCAGCCTCGAAATCCGCCGGGTAGGCCATGAGCCATTCAGGCCAATGCTCTTCCAAAGACGGAGTGAGGATGACAAGGCTGTAAGGCTGTGAGATCCTTTGAATTTCGAGATGTTGGGTGTCTCCTTTGGGGGCTTTTAGGGTTTAGGGTCTAGTTAGGGATTTTTGTCTGTTTCGGGCCACCGCTTCTCCGGGACTTGCGAGTATTTGGGGCTGGAGCATTTCATGTGCCTAGGATTGAGTAAGGTATTCACTGATGTATGCGCTCGCTGGAGGCTCCTTCAAGGAAGCCGTCTCCGGAATCTGTTAGGACAACTAGTGTTCAGGTTTAGGTTAAAGGTGTAGGGTTTGGAGGTTTCAGGTCGTATGGGCGTGTGCATTGAGGTTGTGCTCAAGGCTGCGTCCAATCTGTGAGCCCAGGAAGCATCGGATGTTGTTGCTCTAGGTCCGCCCAACAACGACATTATGAGGACTTAGGGTGGGGGGCTGAGGCCTTTAAAATACGGTTGTAAGAAATGTGGTCTAGGCTTTCGGGGTTTGGGGTTGATCAAGGCCTGAGTGTTTTATGTGACTAGGATGAGCAACCTTGACGTCCCCAATGGCCTGAAATGTATATACATTCAAAACCAATGGTTCAAACCCAAAGGCTTAGACTCATCTGGGGAAGATACGAGGAAGCAATCTACATCTGTATCGAAGTCTATGCCGTGCATGAACACACCTGAACCCGCAATGCATTACAGCAAATGCCACGGATGGAAGGACTACCGATGCACGCTTCCACTTCACGGACTCAATGGTGGCCCTGCGCGCTTTAAGCGCAAAGCCCAACTAGCCGGGTTACCGCAACAAGCCCAATGCCGTTCTAGATACCTCAAAGTTCTGGGGCTTGGGATGATGTGTTGCTTCCCCCGATGTGAGTTCGTATAAGGCTGAGAGATCGTCGACTTTGCGGCTCATGTTAAGCAGTTTAGGAACCGAGGTATTTGGAGCCCAACTTGCCGTTGTGAGTTAGAGAACCTATAGATCCCTTTAAGGAGCCCTTTAAGAACCCTTACTAAGCCCCCTAAACCCCCAAAACCGAAGCCTCAACAGAAAGGCCTTTGATCGAGACTTGGGGAGGTCTTGAGTCGTCCGTTGGACTTGGAAGGCGACTGGCCCGAGCCCCGAACTCCCCAAAGACTCCAATATCCCCTAATTAGGGAATATTCCTTAAATCATATTAGGGGTCCTACTATAATTTAAGTAACTAGGGAATATTCCTTAAATCATATTAGGGGTCCTACTATAATTTAAGTAACTAGGGAATATTCCTTAAATCATATTAGGGGTCCTACTATAATTTAAGTAACTAGGGAATATTCCTTAAATCATATTAGGGGTCCTACTATAATTTAAGTAACTAGGGAATATTCCTTAAATCATATTAGGGGTCCTACTATCATTTAAGGAATATTCACTAATTAAGGGATATTGGAGTCTCTGGGTCCCCAATACATCCTGGGCCCCGAACCCCCCCTAGCTGTGCATGGCTAAGCGCTTGTTGAACCCCAACATCCAAGAACTACTTCGAGGAGCAAGCCGTGAACCTTTTGATACCCTTAACCCAGACTTCAAGCCCCAAACCTCCAAAATCATGCCCGGACGCAAGGCTTTTATCAAACGCAGGTAGTACTGCTGCTACCGGCCACAGAGCCATGACACACTCTAAGACCTTAGATTGTCGTAGTCATTGTCCCAAGTATAGGACACGCTGTTAAGATTTTGGCGGGTGAGGCTTTGGGCTTAGATTTGTCTTGTTCGGTTGAAACCTGCACTTCAGGGTGCGAAGAGCCATGCTAGCCGGTGGGTGAGACAACCACGATCGTGCTGTGTCGGCCGAGTGCTCGATGAAGATGCTGCAGGACCAAAGAATCAAAGAGACTGAGTTGCGGTGCTTGAGGCCAGGGTTTACGCTCCAGGTAGGGTGTAGAGAGCTTAGGTGGTCGGGTTCGAGGTTCAGTTGCAAGGGTCATCTGGAAGTTTTGACTGATTCATTATCGGGGCCTTAATTACATACAAAATAGGATAGGGTTTTACAACACTCTCAGAGTAGCGAAACCGCAGTTGGGCAATGGTACAGTCATTACGTATGCCCCTATATTACACCTCAAGCCTTAGCCAAGAAAACGAATATGGCCTAGCAGACATTCGCACATCTACAAGACTCCACGGGTGCAGACACCAGAGGCTATCGTGTCTGGCACACCTATATATTCGTGTGTGCATAAATGAACAATAGATGCATGTATGTCTATTTGTCTATGTATCTATCTAAACACATTGATATTGAAGATTGTCTACGTGCAGTCTATACAAAGCCCCAAGCCCCTCAGCCTTGGACCAGCAAGCACCGTCAGTGCTGAAACCCTAAGCCCTAAAGCCGAACATTGATCCCCTGAGCCGCTGTCCGTCCTAAGCTATTCAAAGACAAGGGGTATGCGGGACATAGGGCCATATGGATTTCACTTATAGGTCAATCGGAACTGTTTGGGTTCGGGGGCTATGTTTAGGGTATTCTAGCGCCCGCTAGACCCCAGCGTGTAGGGCGTAGTCAGGGTGAACGAACAAATACTGCAGTTGGAATCTTGTGCTCCCGATCGACAGATTGGGTGCTCGGAGAATCGTCTTGATTCCCAGGGGCTATCCACCTCCCGAGCCATTGGCAAAAAGCAGTTGTCCCTAGAAGCCCTAGACTTCTACTCCTAAAACTTTAAACCTGTAAACGCTGCCCTCTAAACCCTAAACCCCTAAACCCTAAACCCTGAACCCCAAACCTCAAAACCCAAATCCGAAGTGCGAAATCCTACATCCCCTACCATAGATGACAGGTGCTGTCCTTCAGAGCCAAGGTTTGAATATAGTCAAACCCCAAGTTCTAGGGGAAAAAAAGGTTCCGGCATACATTATAACATCGGTATAGAGTGACCCTAAACCCTAAACCCTAAATCCTAAACCCTAAACCCTAAATCCTAAACCCTAAACCCCAAACCCTAAACCGTGGCTCTTCTTACAAAGTATTCAGACCCTCAGTCTCAGAGCCCTGCTTCAAGCCATGCCCTGACATGTCTGAGGTATAAAAGGTTTAGTGTTCCAGACCTAAGAGTAACCTTGGAATAAAAAGGGTGCCCTTTTTGGTTTAAAGCGGGTTATAAGGGAACCTGAACCCCAAAAAAGGGAATAAGGGCTTACTCTGGGTCCTAGTGTTTAGGCGGCTGCCATGGTGGCTTGGGAGGAGTCTTCCGATCTCTGGCATACACTAAATGCATGCCGAAGAGACTCCCTACGACCCATTGCTCGATCTACTTCACCTGTTGCTGTGTCCTAAACCATGAGGCCAATCTGCCAATCTCCGAACCACCGTTCATGAACCCTGACATTTGATGCTACCGAATGTAGGAGCCTCAGAACTCAGAAATCCGTCACCTACACCATACTATGCTACACGACTCTAAAGTCGTTCTTATGAAGCAGGCTCCCATGCTGTCCTGACCAATCTTAAACACAAGCTGCATCCACGGCCCCGTGAAGTTCTAGGAGTCGACAGCATGGCCGAAGAAAGCCAGCAAAAACCAGACCGAAATACAGGAGGCAAGGCGTGGATGTTTACGACAATGGGATGTGGATCATGAAGATGCTTGCATGTAGTTGAATTTATGCTCCAGGTGCATAGCACAACCCTATCCAAGATGCAGCAACCACGAAAGGGAACATCATCCTAGGCCCAGCCCAGAGATCTTGACCAGCACTAAGAGCTCAGGGCTGAGTACCCTAAACCAAAAATAAAAGGTTATATAACCTTTCATTTATGGTAGCCCAGCTACTACTGCCGGAGAGAGCCTTGAGGGAGCGATTTGCTTTGGAAGCGGAGCCGAATCGAACCAAAGCCCGGCTCACGGGTAAGCCGGGATGCGGCTGCTTGGGAATTAAAGTTATACTAGACCCAAGAGTAACCTAGGAATAAAAACAGTGCCCTTTTTGGTTTATAGGGGCTCATAAGGGAACCTGAACCCCAAAAAAGGGAATAAGGGCCTACTCTAGGTCCTAGAAGGTTATAGGGTTCAGCGTTCCAGGTTACTCGGGTTTGGTGTTCGCGGATTAGGCTTTCATGCCTCAGCCGCTTCAATGTGTCTGGGAGCTGATCGAGCAATGGATCAAGCAAGCTATGTTACAGACTAGCTTTCGGGATCCAAGTCCTGGACCCCTCCTGCAGTTCGGACCTTGAAGGTTTACATAGGGTCTAGGGCCTAGGCTTCTGACCTATGTACCTTTTGGTGTCTTGGGCTGCTCTCCACACTTTGGAGTGCGGGGTTTCAGCTCTATAGATGCAGACATGGTCTCCAAGACAAGCCACATGATTGCACCCTTACGGACCAGCTAAGCCCTGAAACAGCTCCTGACTTTGTTTCCATTTTGGGGATCATATGTGATACAGGCCCACAATGCTTCTGATAGTCATTTGGCCCGCAGCCAAAGTCGCCCTTCCTCCGCCGTGCCGTCTCCAAAGACAGCGTCCTGGTGCAAACTCAACTGAAGGGTCGAAAGGTTCGCCCAGCACGCACCGGGAACTTTCCAAGCTACCTAAACTGCCCATTATGATGAAGCAAGGCTAGCAGTGGAGTCGAAAAGCTCCCAGATCGTCAGAGCAGCATGCAATGATATGGTAGCGATAACTGCTGCTGCTGCTGCTGCTGCTGCTGCTGCTGCTGCTGCTAGCACTGCTGATGGAACTAATACAGATTAGCAACACACTAGTAAGCACAGCAATACTCAAACACTAAGCCACTGGGCTAATTACCCCTGCTAGTAAGACTGCTCGTACTGTCAATACGGTTTGAACGATTGCTGTTGCAGGTAATCATGCGTAGTGCTAAGGACCTGCACCGTCATGGTCCAAGACCTCCCGTGGTAATGATGCTAGTGTTATCATGAGGTTCACATCAATAACAGCAGCAAAGGTCCGAAAGGCCAGTCTTTCTCTTTTTATATTTTTTATGGTTTGTTTAGGGTCTGAAGCAGGTAGGAAAGAGGAATAGACGGATATGTCTGGATCAGTGTCCATCTCTGATCAATCAACCGGGTATTAACATGAACCGTGCCATAGTCTTTGACTCGAGATCGACATTGTTGCGAAGTCCAGGGAAGGGGAAGGGCTGACATGGGAAGACCGAGACCGAGATCTTAGCATCTCAATGTGGGGTTTAGATGCTCGGGGGTTCGAGAGTGTAGTTCGGAGGCCTCAAAAGGTGGGATGAAGGTAGGTAGGATTAAGGATTTCCCCTATATAAGGACTCTTATTTGGGAATATCCCACCTACCTTCATCCCACCTTTTGAGGCCTCCGAGTAGTACGGATTAGGTAGGGTTCAGACTCTGGTGCGGCAACAAGGGGGGGGGCTGTGTGAAGCATCTGCGCCAATGACCCGTCACCGAAACAAACATGTAAAACACCCTCGCAGCCCCCAGCAATGAAGGGAACCCTGAAACCAGAAAACCCTGCCTTTTTGCCGTCAGAGCCGAGAGCCACTCCACAGAGTCGAACCCTCTCGCTGCAATGTGGGGTGTGACAAAACATAAACGGTTAAACGCCCTAGTAACAAGAAAGCACAGACCCTGAACCCCCAAGTCCCAAATAGTAAATCAATCCTGGAATCCTACAAGGCGCCCCGCCCCCAATGGCAATCCAAAAGAGACGTTACTTCTGCACCTTGTAATCATGGGCATTTCAGGCGAACCCAAAAATACACTTAAACCCTACGCCCTGAGCCTCGAACCCAAAGTTTAGACGATTCGCTTTGCTTTACGGCTCAGGGCCTGATTCCACAGCCTTGAACTAAACTCTGAAGCCCAAGCCCTACCTGAACCCCAAAAGCATGCAGAAGAATGGCATGTTAATTCTAGGCATGGTGCCATCATTTGACCTACTTTTGGGGCTCTACCTAATTTTGGGTATTTGGGGTACATTAGAGGGTAGTTGGGGGGTCTAGGTAGACCCTTAGCTCTGAACTCCCTCTCGGTCCAGCGCTTCTAGACCCTCACATCGCTGCACAAAAGCCCTCTACCCTTGGTGCTGACGTCTGCTGGCATTTATCTTGGGCTGATTGACCCTAGGAATGTACTTTAATCCATATGTATCTCAGTCCATTCATTCCTCTGAGTTAAGCAATATTCCACGTGCAGGGCACTATAGGGTGTTTTCTTGTGTTAAGCTCAGGTCTTTGGCTTCTTGAATCTGCCAGATAGGCGTCACGACAGACCGACTACCATACGCAGTCCAAGTACCGGCCAGGGTAGGGTAGAGGTCAAGCCCAAAGCGAATGCTTCGCATTCATCTCATCATCTACTTACAAAGTTCCGCGAAGATCACGAGGACTCGATTGATCCCGGCGCGCTGCACATTACCCTCGATACCCTGACACCTTAATGGTCCTGGCCCTCGGCCTCAGCCCTGAATCCAGAAGAGATGCTACCCACTTAGCACTAAACCCCTTACAGTCATGCTTAAACTATTATTCTTAATACTCTCTTCGATCTAGATATTATTCTGAATACTCTCTTGGGCTTTATATGAACAAAAGAGAAAGTTAATTCCTAAGGAGACCGTAGGTCAGGCTCCCATACTTGGAGGATCATGGGACTTAGTAAGTATATAAGCTTATAAGTACCTTAATTGGGGTCATAAGTACAGTTACCTTAGTCATAACCCTAGTTACTAAGTCCCATGATCCTTTAAGTAGGCTTCGAAGCCGGGAATGTCGGGACCTCAAAGTTGAGTCCTCGAGTTTAAGCTGAAGGTAAAGCCGCGACCCTTGAGCTATTGGATCCCGACCTTCCGTATTTGATATATAATGCAGAACCCAAAAGCATAGACGCATGGAGAATGTGGGGATATGATATACACATATATATATGTAGAGTTAATAGTATTCGTATAGAAAACAGAATGTGAGATCTGCTCATGTGGGCCCTTGCCTGTTCAGCTAGTGTTCGAATTCGCTTGCCGGGCAGGTCACTGCGACAAGGCTTCGGAAGACGATGCCTGCGTTGTGTGAGAGAACTCAAGAAGCTTTGTCATGGAGTATACCCTAAATCAAACCCTAGATCATTTCTGGACCCCTACATAACTTAACGTATGCGGCTTCATTCGGAGGTTTACGAGCCCACCCTTGGCACAGCGGAACATGCACTCGAGCATGCGCAAAACGTGGTCTGCAAAGGACTACGACAACCGGCTCCCAAACATGCAGCGATGATGTGATACAACAAAGAGTATGCAGGACTTTGGTGGAACGCGATACGGCAAACAACAAACACATTCCGATGTCACAATACGTTTTGGCCGGATTGACCACAGAGAGCTCACGCTCGGATCCCAGACGAAGGTGCAAAACCCTGAAATGGCTTACCTGGGGTTTCGAGCTTGGGTGTGCCAACCATCATGATCAAACTCCTCTGTGGCATGTCTATCTGGGTATCGTGGCTCATGGGATCCAAATACTTCCATCTATGTGACATATTCGACCCCTATGCCACTATGACCATTACGCATGATACCGTTCGTGATTCGTCCTGCCATGAATGCAGTAAATGCTGCATACTGCACTCTGTGTCGCTGTGTTAGTAACTACAGGGGTCGCTATGGGGCTTTCGGATCAAGCATACAAACCTAGCCTAGCAACGAACATCTATGAACATCGATTTAAAAGACTGGAAGACAGCATACGAAACCGCACTCAACCTCTTCCACCCACACCCCACACCTCCTCCGAACTACCTGGTCCCTTGATGCCCCTAGATGAACCCAGACCTCGGCTTCACGGCGGGCCGCGAAGAACTTGCCAAGTTGGTCCTGGACCTTTGGAACATGTATCAAGATGTGAGCTGTGGGGTTTGAGGTGGGTTTTTGGCTGGGGGTGCAGGCCAGTTGGGATTGCGGGCCCTGGTGGGGCTGGAAGCAGCATGCTTCTTGTTTGACTGTGCGGGGTGAGCGGTTGATATCTGACAGCCTACTGACATATAACTCCACACAGATTGAGCCCGTCTACCAGCAAGATGGACGGGGATCTGTCTGAATCTGAGGTTCTTTTTCATCTGGCGACTGGTGCTTGCTAGCATGCCGAAGAGGACCACAACCACATATGTGAGTTTGCCAAAATTAATGAAGATCCTACTGTTCAGGGTGCTATACCAGGGTCCCCTATGATCGGAAACTTCCATATCTGTGCTTTCATGGGCTTGCATTAAAGAAATCCTTAAAGATCTGGACCATCCGGCCATCCGGCTTCAAGAGAATAGAAGCGGCAACGGCTAAAGACTAGTGAAGCAAAATCATATACCTCAAACTGTCGCCAGTGTTCAACGCTAAACTTGGTATCCGTAATATGATGTCTGTCAGACTATAATCCACCCCAGGCAATGAACTTGGGCTCCTCGGTATTACTTACGATCCATTCCGAAAGGGTGTCCGAATCTCTGGGTGTCTGCACCTCTGGGAAGGGCCCTGGTGCCGCCGACTCGCCTGGAGATTGAGGATTTAAAGATTAGTTTTGTTTAGGGGGCTTAGGGTTGGAGGGCTTTAGGGTTTCGGGTTTTAGGGTTGGGGCTGTAGTAATTTAGGGTTTAGGGTGGTTGTGCTCGGGATAGACAAGGAGAGACCAAGACAGAGAAGGAGGCAGAGAGTGAGTGATACTGAGAGCCAGGTGTGAAACCAAAGACGTGGGGACAGAGACTCAGAGACAGAACACAGAATTGAGAGAAGGCACCACAACACACTGGCCGAGGGCTGAGGGGAAGGGAAGCTCAGGGTCCAAAACACCAAGCACAGCAGCGCCCACTTGTTTTGCTCTCCTTCTTTGGGACCAAAGGCTTCTTGCGAGCTGTGGAGTGCGAACGAGTCAGCCTGCCTGCCCGCACTTGCATCTTCAAGTCTCCCTTGAGACCCAGCAGCACCAGACGGATAACACGCCCGCGATATGACCCACACCTTCATCCTAGCACTCTCGCAGATCCTCTGCAAAAGAAGTCAACAGTGCTTGGAAGGCACTCTCATTGTGCTTGTGCCATGTTGCTGGCATAGCCGCATACAGGTAGTGCGTCGTGTAGCTGTGGCCGACTAGCGGCATATTGAAATCATGGTTCTTGCGACGCTTCTTGAAGCAGCGGGCTGATCTGTTATAGGAGCCACCCATGATTGCACCCCAGTTAGAGACCATAAATTCTGACTTCTTGTATCCACGCCCACCATCTCTTTGAGCAACGATTGGGCGCAATCCCTCGGGTCAACAGCGGAATGCCGGAACAATTCAAAGTCAGAGTGCGCTGATGCAATCCTGTGTCGGAGAACATCAATACCTTACACGTGGTTTCGTGAAGATCGATCACGGGGTCAGTCGCGGTCGCGAGTTGCCATGTCTCCAGGCCCCCGGAAGCGGCAACGGGAAGCCCCGGCCGCGCGACGCCGCCGAGGACCCACAAGCGTTCTCTCTTGCGCCAATAAAGGTACTCGTCAAGCCTGTCGCAGCGAAAATATGCGCCACCATCACCATCACCAGAAAAGGGATAGAAGTACCCTTGAAGCAAGCCGCTCTCCACTGGGAATGTGGTCCTAAACACTTTGTCTTGCATCTCCGCCACCATGGGATTGTCCATGGCGCGTTGCTGGCGACGGACGGTTTGGAGGCTCTGTGCTTTGGAGTTTGTCTGCTTGTTGATGGTATGTGCTGCAGAGGCCTTTTGGGGCCGGTGTTTCTAACAATTCTAGCCTCTGTCCTTGTCATGGGTTTTTTTCCCTCTCGCACGTGTCATGGTTTTTTTTTTCCCTCCTGCCTAGTGTCATGGGTTTGGAATATAGGGTTTCAGGGACTCCGTCCGACAGAAAGGGTGCTATAAGGTTATAAGTGTTTAAGCAGGGTTAGCCTTGAAGCAGCAGTAAACCTTACCCTGCAGGCCTAGATCCTAAATCTTCAGCCGCTAAGGGACAAAGGGTCCGGTTACATTCAGTGAGTCGGGCCTGGTGACAGCGGGCTCAGGGGTGGCAGGAGTTATGGGGCTGATAGCGCTTTAGGCCATAGATCTAGAGATGAGCGGCTAAGCTGAAGCCTCAGCCAAGTGGCAAAGGTTCCGCTGTCTTGGCCAAAGAAGCCCTAAACCACCGAACCATCCTGAAACCCCCAAACCCGTCACCCAAACCCCTGAAGCAGAAGCGCCAAACACGGGAACCTCGGACTCCTGGAATCCGACTCTTGGCATTATATAGGGAGGGGCCTTCATTATTAGAATATGGCTTCCGGGCCCCATTATACTATATTTCTAATAAAGAGCCCCCAAAATGGCATATCAAAGGAGAAAAGGAGGGGGCCCCCTACCCGGCTATATAATGGGTAGATAGTAGCTATATTAAGAATAAAAAACTTCGGGGTCCTTATTAAGGGTCCCTCCTGTTGCCCTTGGAGTATAGGTACTTATACCCTAAACCCTAAACTCTAAACCCTAAACCCTAAACCCTGAACCCTAAACTCTAAGCCCCAAACCCTAAACTCTAAACCCTCAACCTCTCTACCTATAGTAATTTAAACCTTAATGGCTTCGTGGCCACTTGACGTTTTCAGCTGATCAATCTTCGTGGTCACTTCATCAATCTTCGTGGTCACTTCATCAATCTTCGTGGTCACTTCATCAATCTTCGTGGTCACTTCATCAATCTTCGTGGTCACTTCATCAATCTCCGTGGTCACTTCATCAATCTTCGTGGTCACTTCATCAATCTTCGTGGTCACTTCATCAATCTTCGTGGTCACTTCATCAATCTTCGTGGTCACTTCATCAACCTTCGTGGTCACTTCATCAATCTTCGTGGTCACTTCATCAATCTTCGTGGTCACTTCATCAATCTTCGTGGTCACTTCATCAATCTTCGTGGTCACTTCATCAATCTTCGTGGTCACTTCATCAATCTTCGTGGTCACTTCATCAATCTTCGTGGTCACTTCATCAATCTTCGTGGTCACTTCATCAATCTTCGTGGTCACTTCATCAATCTTCGTGGTCACTTCATCAATCTTCGTGGTCACTTCATCAATCTTCATGGTCACTTCATCAATCTTCGTGGCCACTGATGCTCTAAACCGTTAGCCCTAGGTTTAGGGCTTTACGTTTAGGGCCTAGGGTTTGGGCCCTAGGGTTTAGCGCCTAGGGTTTAGGGCCTAGGGTTAGGGTTTGGGCCCTAGGGTTTAGGGCCTAGGGTTTGGGCACTAGGGTTTAGGGCTAGGGTTTGGGACCTAGGATTTAGGGCCTAGGGTAGGGGCTAGGGTTTAGGGCCGGGCCTTAGGTTTAGGGCCTAGGGTTTAGGGCCTTAGGTTTGGGGCCTAGGGTTTAGGGCCTTCGGTTTAGGGCCTAGGGTTTAGGGCCTTAGGTTTAGGGGGGGCCTAGGGTTTAGGGCCTTAGGTTTAGGGCCTAGGGTTTGGGGCCTTCGGTTTAGGGGCCTAGGGTTTAGGGCCTGACGTTTAGGGCCTAGGGTTTAGGCCCTTAGGTTTAGGACCTGGGGTTTGGGGCCTTAGGTTTAGGGCCTATAGGGTTTAAAGTACTATTGAAAAAAGTTCCGAAGAAGAATCGTATTCAATCCGAATATAAAATAAAGATTGTTATTTCATAATGTGAGGGGAACCTTTGGGCGGGTGGGGTTTTGACTTGAAATAGCTTGACTCGAAATTTCCAAAGTCAGAGAAGCTGAACCCTAAACCCTAAACCCTAAACCCTGAACCCTAAACTCTGAACCCTAAACCCCAAACCCCAAACCCTAAACCCTCAACCCTAAACCCCATTCAAACCCTAAACCCTAAACCCCAAACCCTAAACCCTAAACCCCAAACCCCAAACCCCAAACCCTAAACCCTAAACCCTAAACCCCAAACCCCAAACCCTAAACCCTCAACCCTAAACTCTAAGCCCCAAACCCTAAACCCTCAACTAAACAGCGTGCCAAGTGCTCGACGAATCCACCGAGAGAGCTGGCCTCGATGCGGGATCGGGGATTCGGGTGCACAAGGGGTCCTACCTAAAGGATCATGGGACTTAGTAAGTAAGGTTCTTTAAAGGGTTCCTCAGAGGGACCTACAAGGATTACTATAAGGATTCTATCAGGGTTTGGTATTTGGAGGATCATGGGACTTAGTAAAGTAAGGTTATAAGTACCTTAACTGGGGTTATAAGTATAGTTATCTTACTTATAACCCTAGCTAGCTACTAAGGCCCATGATCCTCTAAGTACGTGCTGTTATGGGGGGATACTTTAAGGGTTTCCTTTAAGGGATCTATAGGGTCCCTTTAAGGGTTCCTTTAAGTGATCTATGGGGATACTCTTATGGGGGGATACTTCCCCAAATCATTATAGTGCTTCCTAATATAGAAACCCTACATTTTACTACAACTTAGAGCCCCTTGGGGTGCTAGGCTTGGTTCCGGAAGTGCGAAGCTCAAGGCTTAGAGCAACCAGGGCATCTTCAATCAGGTAACTGTACCCGGCTTTTGTGGTCAGATCCTTTTGTTAAGGTACATTGGCTACTCCAGCAAACTCGAAACCGCAACACTACGTAGGTGTGGGCCCTATATCAACTTAAGGCCCATGACATGGAACCCGAAGCAGTCCGGCGGCCAACCTCGCCAATGAACCTGGCTAGTTCCTAGAGAACTTGTGGCTTCAAGTACGGAAGTAGCTAGGTTGGCGCTTGAACCATCAGAAACATCTATCGCAGAAGGTTTATCACGAGCACTTAACAGGAAGCATATTCTCACCAATGCCCTGCCAGTCTACAGGGTTCAGTCGCCCTGAAGCGCCAAACAACCCGACGGCCCTAAACCCTCGAACCCTAAACCCCTAAACCCGGAAAGATCACCGGTCGGCGCCTGCAATGTCTTTTTGCGCGTAGCGGTGGTCCAGCAGAAGCATCGCCGCCCAATCCCTAGAACGGGGCAATCGGCTTCAGTGGTTCAAGGTCAGGTGCATGGAAGGCGGATCATACCTCGTATATGTAGTTCACAAGCCTCACGTTGCACCCTCATTAGTTTCGCAAAAAGTTCTTTAAGAACCCCCTAAAATCCAGCTTTAGGGTTCGGGGCTTCGGGTAGCCATGTCCACAGCTTGCGGCATGCATCCATCATGCTTGAGATCCACCCTCGAGCCCGACCCTATACCTCATAAAAACCTCTCAAATGAGTCTCTCTCTCTCTCACACTCTCTCTCTCTCTCTCTCCCTCTCTTCCTCTCTCCCTCTCTCCCTCCCTCTCCCTCTCCCTCTCCCTCTCCCTCTCCCTCTCCCTCTCCCTCTCTCTCTCTCCCTCTCCCTCTCCCCTCTCCCTCTCCCTCTCCCTCTCCCTCTCCCTCTCTCCTCTCCCTCTCCCTCTCCCTCTCCCTCTCCTCTCTCTCTCTCCTCTCTCTCTCTCTCTCTCTCTCCTCTCTCTCTCTCTCTCTCTCTCTCTCTCTCTCTCTCTCTCTCTCTCTCTCTCTCTCTCTCTCTCTCTCTCTCTCTCTCTCTCTCTCTCTCGCTGCTATACCCCCTTGGAACCACAATAAAAGCAATATGTTTAATAAACTATCTTGCGTGATATATGAACAAAAAACTGTCTAAGGAGCCTCTCTCATCCCTGACCCTCGGTCCCCGGATCCGAGGATCCCAAACTCCCTAGTCGACCTGCACCCCAGCGCCTTGCATGACGAATGCTCCGGCCGATACATTGGTTCACGGCTTTCATGCACCTCAGAGATACACATGGTATAGATGCTAGTAGGGAAAGGAAATAGATTACTATCGCGAGTGCTACTTGCCTCAATGCCTCACTAGTAGCTGCTACATGCTGCCGACTTCAGTACCTACTTCTTGCTGACGCCTGTTTGCGAGGACCACCACTACTACGAAATGTTATTCATGAAGAACACGGGCAGGCTTCGCGGTTGCCGGACTCGGTTGATAAAGATCACCCCTTGCTTCCCTGTAACGGCCGCGCTTTGCTATTGGCCTGAACACCATAAGCCCATTACTGTGAACTTTGAAATGCTGAACTTGAAACCCCAAACATCGAACCGCACCCCCCAACTATTCGACATCTAGACACTAGGATTGCTGAGTGTTTCGGTTCACTCACAGAGCGCCTCCAACGACTCGGCTACTATGCTGTCACATTTATCTGAAAGTTTAGAGTAGGATTCCTTTCGAGGTTCCTTCAAGGTTTGTATACGGGGTTCTAACATAACACCAGGGTTTCGGGCTTCAAGGGCTTGTCATCCGTGTTTACGTTTCAGGGCTAAAGGTGCAATGATAGCAACTGTGAAGCCAACATTGCTGAGGTGCAATCGTACCGAGCTGAAACCTGGGAGGTCGTAACCCGAAACTGCCAAATCCCTGGCCCCAAGATGCGCAACTGCTCAACCCAAGGTATGCATGCCAAGCAACAGTCCCGTGTTCCCTGAAACTTTTCAGACGTGAGCCGTAAACAGTTTAGCCTCAGGTCTTACAGGATGCATTCCATTTTTGGGGCTTAGGGTTCAGGGTGTAGGGTTTATGGGGTCCTAAGCCTTAAACCGTTAACAGTCTTCAGCAACTGCGCACCCGTCTGGGGTCTCCACTTGGCGCTGTAAAACTCTCGTCCGCTGAGGCCTCCCCGTTCAAAGAGGTGTTTCACACATTATCCTGTCCTGCAATGCAGTTCATCCCAAATCCTAATCTAACTATGAAGTCCCCTGCATTGAGGCTGAAAGGCTTCCACCCTAAACTCTGAATAAAGTCAGGCTTGCAGATTATAACATGCACCTTGAGGGCCTAAAGCCCAACACCCATACACCTCAAGCCTCCACACCCTGAGCCCTAGAGTAAAAGCCAGAAAGTTGGAATATGATTATCCTAAGCCCTTTATGGTAAATTATAAGGTATCCTAGCCTGCAACTTTCTGGAGTTCCCTTTAGAGCCCTAAACCCTAAACCCCTAAACCCTACATCCTTAAACCCTTTATAGAACTCTTATAGAATCCTTATAGATCCCTTTAGACGGTCCTAGAAACGCTTGGACTCAAAACCATAGCAACCCCAAGGCTGCCACGAAGCCTCACGCCCAGAGCCTCCAAAACTCCCTAATTAAGGAATATACCTTACCTTATCCCCACGTAACCTACCTTTTTAAGGACCTATATATCTTAAGAAATCATATTAGGGAACCCTAAAAAGGTAGGTTCCTTAGGGTCCAGGTAAACTATATTAGGGATCCTGAATTATGACTGAAGGTATATTCCTTAATTAAGGGGTTTTGGAGGCTTCCATGCGAAGCCCCCCAGTTCTGAACCTTGAAGCGCCAACACTCAAGACCACAACCCTGAACCCTAAACCCTGAACCCTGAACCCTGAACCCTCAACCCTGAACCTAAACCCTAAATCCTGAACCCTAAACCCTGAACCCTAAACCCTAAACCCTGAACCCTGAACCCTACTTCAAGGATCATGGGACTTGGTAAGTAGGTTATGACTGGGGTTATAAGTCCCCTAAGCGGGCTTACATTAATTGTAACCTACTTATAACCTTACTTACTAAGTCCCATGGGAATTCAAGTACACAGTCCACGGGCAGAAGTCGTGGGCCACCGGTCTCGTTCACATATTAAGGAATTGGAACCAGGGTTTAAGACTGATGCACAAACCACAGCAGCCGAAAACTTTAGCCCTGCGGCAGACCACAGCAGGCCCGCAACCACACAGTAGCTAGCAGGATCTATACTATGTACAGGTACATGGTTCCTATCAGACCTCAGAGTACACCCTATGACGCCCAAATAAGAACCCCAGCCCGTAATGATTACCTTACAAGAACCCTTGCAAGAACCCAATGAGCCCTCACGGCAATGGCCTTGAGAGCCTCGCGCACGGGCCGCATCCAGAAAGCGCATCCTTTGCTGGGTTACGTTGGGCTTTGTAAGGTTCAAGGTCTATAGGTCTGAAAGCTTAAATTTAGGAGTGCAGGGTACGGTCTAAGGGTAGGGCCTGAGGATGTTAGTACAGGTGTAAGTCCGTGTTGTCTTGAGAGCCGCAGGCCCTAATCCGGAAACAGTAGTCATGGATCATACAGTAAATCCAGAAATCTAAACCCTACACATCCTGAACTCTGAAACCTAGACCCTGCACTCCCTAACCTTGTAGATCATAGTGTCAAGCCTATAAACCCTACACTCCCGAGCCTCTTTGCAGATGCTATTGAACTCGACTGCCGCCAACGGCTGCTTCAAGAGAGGGTTCAGGGGTTGAGGAGTTAGGGTTTTAAGGCTTAGGGTTTACAGGGTTTAGCGGTCAGAGGTTACGGTTTAGGGGTTTCGGTTTAAGGGTTCAGGGGTTTAGCGTTTAGGGTTAAGGAACTGGCGACTCTGCATCTGAATCTGTGGCCGTAGTAGGTTTTAGGTTTCGGCTTTGTGGTTATACCTGATTCCGTCTTAGCTTTGCGGCTTAGAGGCTTGGAGTTCAGGGTACAGGGTCTAGGCTTCACAATGTATAGAGTTTAAGGTTCAGGGCGCACCTGCAAATCCAAAAAGCCATATTGCTCTTTTTCAGGGCTTTGCCAGTCGACCCTCTATTTACCGGCCACTGTTCTGCGTTTAGGGTTTAGGGTTTAGGGGTTTAGGGTTTAGGGTGTCGAGTTCTTACACAAATCAAGGTTCGCTCTGGAAACGGATATGTGCAATGATGGATCCGCCAACTTCAGAGCTGTGTTCAAAGCAGCCCCAGACGGATTCGGGGAAGTCGTCGCCCATGCTTCGACCATGTCGGATGCTTTCTTGTCGTCCGTTACTATTATTACTAATATTCTATAAATACTACTACAAATTCGACTAGTAGTACTACTATTATTATGATTATGATTACCAGTACTACTAATACTAGTATGACTACTATGACGATTATGACTATATCTCGAGGGCAGTCGTAAATCGCAGCTTTCTGCTCCTTGCTCGTTCGAGTTTTCTGGGCGAGCTACTCGAAACTGCCAGGGACGTCCATATGCGGGGTCTCGGGTGCGGTCTCCTAAGACTTTACAGAACCTGGACCCTATCAAACCTTCCGTTTTAGGGTTCCCCATTATGACTTTCTTATATAAGTCCTGAAAAAGGTAAGCTATTTGGGGTCAAGGTAAGCTCTTAACAGTAACACAAGCTGCCTGCCCGACAAAATGAATGCACACCTCCAACCTCGAAGGCACTGAAAGTTCAAAGCCAAACCCCACACGCCCGAAAATCCAAAGCTCCGAAGCCCAAACCCTACAACAGGTGGAAAACGAAATAAGCAACAAGCAATCGACAGACTAAACCCAAACCCTGAATTATTAAGCCGAAATCTGAAGTTTCCCTCAACTGCTAAACCCTAAACCCTCCAGCCCAAAGAATATTCAGTGCTGCTTGGCGTCTTTTCCGTCAGTGCCAAGTCAGAGGCGTTAGGATACGGAAGGCCTACGACCTGATCCGGCATTCAAAATGTAGGACTTTATCTTCTAAAGGCTTGAGACGACCTTATACGGCTCATACAACACAGGTTGTAGAGTTTTAGGTCTAACTAAGGTTTCGCGTTTGGGATCAGGGTTTTCAGGGTCTTGGGTTTCGGGTTTAGGGTTTCGGGGTGTGGGGCGTCGGGCCAATCCTTCAATTACAGATTGAGGGTCTGGTGCTACAGGGATAGTGTTACAGTTTTAGCAACGTCGAAGATAAGGTCCTTTGGTGGGTTTCAGGGCTTGGGTGTAGGGTTTCGAGGGCTTCAGGGTCCTAGGCTTCGGGACTTCGGGTTGAAGCTAACATTACTTTCGGGGCTTAGCCATCGACCCCAAACCGGAATCCAAGCCCACTCTGTCCGGGTCGCAGACTAGCACGAGGCGGCAGAGATCGTCCTTCCAAGGATTCGAGATTCGAAACCCTAAACCCTAAACCCCAAACCCCAAACCCTAAACCCCAAACCGTCTGTTGGCTGGCAGATTCGGAACAGGGTCACCAGACGAATGCCTGACTCTCTCTGTACTGCCTTCCTTAAACCCTTAAGCTCCCCTGCAGATCTCAAACCACCCTGAGTGCCAAAACTTGAACTCCCAACCCCAAAGAGCACATGCAAATCTAAAGTTCAGTACCCTAAACGCCTAGACCCTTAGAGTTGAAGCCTGGACCAAAAAAGCACCAGCCCCTAGACCACTTTTCGAGGCACACCTATCACCCACGAGTAGCGCGAGACTGCCCAAACTCCCCAGTTTGCCACCTCATGTTACCAAAACCGTACGATTAAGGACTACTAGAGCAAGAGCACGGCGGCTACTACTACTGCTACTACAACTAGTACTGCGACTACTAGTACTGCGACTACTGCGACTACTGCTACTGCTACTGCTACTGCTACTGCTACTGCTACTGCTACTGCTACTACGACGAACATTACGACTACGACCACGACGACCATCACTACTACGACTATGATGCCCATCAGCTACCAGCACCAGCAGCGGCACTACGACGACGTGGACGACGACTGCTACTGGTGCTACTACCGCTGCTCTTCCTTGCTGTTACTGGCAACATGGCATCATCTCACGGCCTACTCTGTAGTTCGACTCCAACACCGAAAGCCAAGCCTAAATCCGAAACCCTCTAACATCCCAAAGCCCCATCAGCTCCGAATCAAATCCCCGCGCGGGTGCGGGCTCCGTATTCCTAATCTACCAGGGCTCCAACAGGGAATGCTACTTAAAGGATCATGGGACTTAGTAAGTATAAGGTTATAAGTACCCTTTTGGGGGTTATAAGTAAAGTTACCTGACTTATAACCTTAGTTACTAAGTCCCATGATCCTTTCAGTACCCCCAAAACCGAAATAGAACCCTTAATAGTAACCTGTATAGATCCCTTAATAGGAGCCCCTTTAAAGGAACCCTAGCCCTAGTTACTAGTCCCATGATCTTTTAAGTAGACCATGCCAGACCCCGATCTGCAAGAAAAACACAACCACTTTAGGGTTTAGGGTTTAGGATTTAGGGTTTAGGACAAGACCACTGCGCCCCACATCACGCCTGGAAGTTGATTCCTTCGCTTAGCTTTCCGCCACTCACTGCGAAAAGCACGGCGCCTCCCTCCTCGCAAGGCTTGCCAAGGGCAGAATAGTGCGTATAAGCCCTAGAAAAGGGGTATCGGGTAGTGTTTACAGCCCCCTCCTTCGGGGAATGGAGGTACGAATATCTCTGTTGCAGCTCAACACGGTAAGGAACATCCGACAGATGACAGTTCGTTCAGGGCTCAGACTTGTCGGATGTAAGGTTCGGATGCCCCGTCCACACCGTACCTAACAATGGACGGCTTGTGGTGGCCTTCGGCTGAGGGTTCGACTGTTACGGCGCTTCAGGGCACACAAAGCTGCACGACATGTTGAACCGTCTTTTGAAAGAAAAGACGCGAGCCTCCAAAAAAAAAAAACAATACCCTAGACCCGAAACGCATAATCTTCACATCTCGACCCAAAACCTTAGCAGGTTCCTATACCCTCTGATATACCCTAAAACCCCGTACTACTTGAGGACTACAGAAGCTCTAATTCACAGGTTGCTTGGCAGGGTCCTGGTTCTGGTTCTTACTTTCTTACTTTGCGCGTGGCCTTCTGGATCGTCTCTGTGACACGCTGGAGGAGGCTGCCTCCAGCCTCTTCCCTCGCCGACCCTGCGCTGTCGGATGTCTACGTCATTCTTTATAGTTCTTGCTTATACCTACTATTAACACTACTGTTCTTACTGTTGTTACTAGTATTATCGTCGTGTTCATTTTGAGTCTATTGTAGCACTCCCGCAGGTACTGTAGGGGCAGATCTGCGGCAGAGGATTTAGCAGGAAGTGCTTACATTTTTGGGGCTTATGATCGGTTGGGGCTCCTGTCCCTTGGTCTAACGGTTTTTTTTACTGCTGCATGGCTCTATGCCGAGGACTAAAGACTAAGTATGAGGTTATATATATATATATATGCAGTTCGAAGGCTGTTGCCAATCCACATCTAAGTTAATCCAAGCGCGCAGCTTTCCGAAAACACACCGAAACTCAGTCAACCCTCGCAGTTTCTCGCAAGCGCTGGTGAACACTGCCATGGCACTTGCGTGGCGGTGGTGGCGGTGGTGGTGGTGGTGGCGGCGGCGGTGGTGGCGGCAGTGGTAGTGGGGGTGGTGTTCCGACTGGTTGCATCCACAGCAGCGAGGCTCTTCAATGTACAACGAGGACTGTAGATAGCTGCTGCGTTCAGCATCGCTTTTCTATACATCCGTGGCCACCGATGCTTCCCCTGGCAGGTCATGACTCATGGTGTTGCTGACACGCGTGCCCTTTTCCCATTCATTCCGACACATGTGTAGTCGTCTTCTCCATATGTAGCTTCCCACCTATTTAGAGACGCACACACTCACAAACACATGCACCCGCACATGCTGCCCTTACACTCACGCACTCCATTACTCCATTGTGCCTTCCCGGGTCTCTTGGAACACCCGGCGGCCACCGCATCCTGCGCGAATTGTGGCTGTAAGGAATGAGTCGTGGATGAGTCTTGGAGAGCTTTTGGAACAAGGGCTCTACAAAGGTGTGTTCAATGAGATTTGGCAGTTTGTCGTTTGTTCTGTTCTTAACCCGAATCATTGGTTCTTGACATTGAAGATTATGAGCAACTGCTCTAAAACATCCATCGGGCAACCGGCGAAGCCTCGTGTGAACGACGAAGCCACTTGGCCGAGATAATCGAAAGATGGGAAGAAAACAACCTGAGAGGCATGGAGATTAGAGCTCAGATTTTGCTGTCATGTAGGGGCGTTGATTTATCATTTTTCGTTTGTGGTACTGGATCCTAACCTCAAAACAAAGCCTAAACCCAAAGGGTAAGAGCAGGTTTACCAGCCTGAGGCTCTGAAACTTTTTGATTTGAAAGGCTTTGTGCAGGTATGAGGGGTTTGGGCGCCCGAAACTCTAGAGAGGAAGTTTTGCTCTTTTGGGGCTGCAGGAATTGAAGTTTTCGGATTGCAACGGATGTCCAATTTTAGACTTCAGGTCTCAGGTTCTGCAGAGTCTCGGGCTTAGGGCTTTGATGCCTTGGCTGCCTTGGCCTCAGGCTTCGCCTTGCACGCCCTCAACCCGGAACACAGAACATGAAGATCCCTATTCCCTAAACCATGACATCCGAGGTCCCAGACCCTAGACCCTAAACCCCAAAACCCTAAACCCCAAAACACTAAACCCTAAACCCCAAAACCCTAAACCCTAAACCCCAAAACCCTAAACCTCAAACACCGAATCTCGAAGCACTGGACCCTCGAACCCCTCAAACCTCTAAAACCCTCGAGTCGCTAGAGCACGAATATTTTCTGGGGGCCTCAACCCACACCTTAAATCCCTGAAAGACTCCACAAACATCGGCCAGGAGGCGACACCACCCCGTGTGGATGCTGCCGCGGTGTTGAGAACACCACGCAGTTCTCGCAGCATGTCCTCATACATTGAGATCTCATACTCGGATGCAGGAAGTTGGAAGAGTTCGTCTTGGTTTCATGTCGGATTGTTCTTCGACACGGCTTTTGATGCAAGTGCGTGTGCTTCTCTCTCCCTCTCTATGTAATGTGTATTTGTTCGTCTATATTCATATTTGCGCACACAGAGGACTTGTCGGAATGCTTGCCCTGATCGCTTCGCCCAAGTACTGCACCCCCTCCACCAAAGTCAATCAAGCGCAACGAAATAATTTCGGTTCCGGTCCTCCCAGCTCTCTCGCACATCAATTCGAAAGGAGACATGATTGGGAGTGTTTTCAAAGAACCAGCGGGTGTATGGGATTGTGGAATACCGTCGAGCATTGTGGCGTGCAGGGCTTGGAAACCTAGTGGGTTTAGGGTGTTATCTTAACCTCCACTATATGTTTTGCGTATTCTAAATACTTCCGCTAGGGTTTTCGGTTTTTTGGGTTCCATCCCGAATTCCCCAACCGTTATGAATGGGTTTCAATTCCAACCCTGCATGACTTTCCTTACTTAAACCCGACAGGCGAGTGTGCAAACAAGCTTACGCCAAGGGGCATTGGAGCCGCGGCGGTCCCGCCTGCTGGCATTAAGCGCGTGAGATGCAGTATTCAGAGAGTGCCATTCGTTGAACATCGAAATAAACTCTAGCAGCCTAAACTTTTGGCACCCCTTAAAGGGGTTACATACCCCCTGTAATAACCTTTGCGTGAAAACGGATGCTCCAGGCAGTCTTACAACTAGTTAATGCAACCCGTGTTGCAAATTCTAAAGTCCCACGAACCCAAGATGTGAAGCCCAAACCCTAAACCCCAAACCGCACCAACCCAAGATGTGAAGCCCCAACCCCAGGCAAACCCAACAGGAGTACTCTGAACTCTGGAGCTCCAAACCGCCGCGTCACCCTCCCCAAAAACCAAGGCAACCCTAAACCCTCCCCAAAAACCAAGGCAAATTCACCCCAAAAGCCTAAACTCCTAAGCCCTTATAACTTATAAACCCTCATCCCTGATCCCTATAGACCCAAGCAAAACGACACAGAAGTCCTTAGCCCGGCCTGAAGTCAAGCTGCTGGCCGCCCGGGCCGTGGGTAACGAAGCGGACCAACAGCTGCTCCGACCTACTTCGGGTTTAGGGTTCAGGGTCTAGGCCTACTTAGGGTTTAGGGTTTAGGCCTACTTAGAGTTTACGGTTTATAGGGTACTACTTCTTAAGGGCCCCCTTAAAGGATCTATGGGGGTACTTTATGGCTTTAGTGTTTAGGGTACTACTTCTTAAGGGTCCCCTTAAGGGATCTATAACGGTACTATATGGGTTTAGGGTTTAGGGTACTACTTGTTAAGGGCTCCCTTGGGGGAGCTACAGGGGTACTACATGGCTTTAGGGTTTAGGGTCTACTGGGAGGATCATGGGACTTAGTAAGTAAGGTTCCTTAAAGGGTTCCTTACAGGGATCTGTAAGAGATCTATGAGGGCTTCACAAAGTATCGTGGGACTTAGTAAGTGTTGTAAGTACCTTACTTGAGGGTATAAGAGATCACAAGTATAGTTACCTTCTAAATAGCCCGACTTACTAACTACTTCATAAGGTTCGCCTTAGGGGATCTACAGGGATACTTTCTGTATGGGTTTAGGGTTTAGTGTCTACTTGGAGGAGCATGGGACTTAGTAAGTAAGGTTCTTTAATGGGCTTCTTTAAGGAATCTATAAGGGCTTTATGAGGAGGATCATGGGACGTAGTTAGTCAGAATCCGTGCAGGGCTCCTGAAATGGATCTAGAACGGCCTTATGAGGAGGATCATGGGACTTAGTCCGTAAGGCTATAGTTACAAGTACTGTAGCTGAGGTGATAACAAAATATGGGCAGAGTTACATTGTTTAGATCCCTAGTTACTAACTCCCACGATCCTCTGGATGGGGAGGTGGGCCTGCATGATGTGGGGGCCTTAACAGCCAGAATGGGGTTTTGGGCTCCGTTATAGTATAGCTGCAAAGAAACAAATACTTGTTTAGGCTTCTACATGTTGAACAGGCGGTTCGTGTACAGCGCTTCTATGATGGTATGCCCCCGGTAAGGATCAGAACAGGGTTTGTCACAGTTTGGTAGCAGAGCTGGAAGTTTGAATAGGCTTTTATAGGGTTTAGTATCGGGGCCTTAATGTTTACGAACATGTCTTTGCGAGCATTCACGGGGTCTTGTAAGGGTGAATGATTTGCGGGGTTCATTGGGGGTTTAAAAAGGGCTTGATAAGGCTTTCATGCTGCGGTGTTTGATCAACGGACAACCTAGGGGATGTCAACATTATTTGTCCACATTTGTAGGGTTGATTGTGCTCTACAATACAAGTTGCGGTCTGGAACTTGAGGATTTTTGGGGGGAAAACATATTCGCTCGTAGTCTCTGCACAAGCAGTATACAGCCTACCTCAACACCCTAGTCTTATTCCCGTTTAGCCCTTTAAAATCAACATCATATGCGCTGGAAAGATTCTACTAAAGCCATTAACGGCGCATCCGCAAGCATACCGAAGATATGCACATGGACGCTTGGGGTGAAGTGATTGGGACGATCCAGTAGATGCGTCAAACCCTAAGCCCTAAAGCCTAACCCTAAACTCCCAAGCCCTAAAACCCCTAAACTCTTTGCGGCAGATGGCGGAGCTTTCGGTCTGGGGTCTGACGTTTTTGTTGAGGGGGATCGCTTAGAACTTCCACTGCAACATGACGATTTGCCCCGCACCAATAGTATATATTCCATATATGCACTTTCACTCGCACGTATATAACACCCCCTTTCAGGTTTTCGATATACTTCTGTATCCTACATGGGCATTTGCTCTTCGGGAGGCCCTTAACGTCAGGTTGCTAAACCTTCGTCGTCGAAGAAAGACAATGTCGATCAAAGAATTGCCCGGATTGCAGCCGAGTGTCGGTACGACCTGGTCAGCTTGGGTATATTGATGGGGGATTGTTATAACAGTGCGCACAGGTCTCCGGCACAGCGTTGAGGTTTCCGCGAGCCCGTAAAACGCTGCCGTAAGCACCATGCCTTGCCTGAAACTTAAAATCAAGCCCGAAAGCCTGGAAGGCCTCAAGTGTATGTAAAGTCTTCAGACTTTGACCATGCAGGGCTTCGCATGGGTATCGGGCACAACTAACCCTAACCACCTAATGAGCATACCCGCCCCCCCCAAAACTAACCTACGATACTGTTTAAGAACCAAGCAGTGGATTTGGGTCTTGGCGCTACGGTAGACACGCTTGCTCTGTTCGAGCCCCCGGCTTCCCAGCTTGAGATTCGGAGACTCCATGGCTACAATCGGGATGTAAAGGGGCGTTCAATCAGATTCCTGCGGGTGTTCTAGGCTTTCTTGTGGGGGTCTCAAGAATAGAACTAGAACAGGAGTATGGAGGGTACATGATAGCATACTTATCAAAGGGTGGATTGCTGGAGAATATCATTACTGTTTCTTCAGAACCTTCTATTGAGAGTGGAGTTACCGTAAACCCTGAAGCCCTTAACCCCTGTCATATCGAAGCCCTGCTTGAAAGCCCTTATGGAACCATTATCCGTAGGCGAGCCGCATGGATGCCGGAGAAGATTCGGGGTAGTCCTCTGCCTGCCGAGTCTTGAGCTTACAGGGAACTCCAGAAAGTTGGAATATGGTTTCATGGTAGGATCCCCTATAATTTACCTTAAAGGGGTTACGATAATGATATTCCAACTTTCTGGCAATTACCTTACAGGGTTTACCTGTGAGTTGCGGTATTTACGGTCCGAGAGTTTAGGGTTTCGGGAAGGGTGTTGGGGATTAGGGCGAAGGGGGGTGAAGGGGTTTGGGTTTACCTTGGGTTTAGGCTTGGAGTGTGGGGTTAGGGTTTGGGCTTAGTGTGGGGCAGATTCGCATCTTCGGACTCCAGGGTTTAGAGGAGGACTACAAGGGATTTAGATGGCTTAGGTCGAGGTGAAAACTGACATAAGACCAGGATTCAGATTTCGGGGGGAGGCGTCATGAGGTCCATGTGGTCCTAATACGGCTGCACAATGGAGGCATTGCTCTGCATCCACTTGTGCAGCCCGGCACGAATGTTGAATGTTGCGGTGCTAACGGGGCTTGCCGCTCATGGCCGAGATTGCCCACAGATGGCGTGGTACAAACAGTTCCCTTTGCCAGCGCTGGCCACCACCTCGGCATCTTCTGCAAGCTATAATCGCATATTCCATATAGTATCTGATGTTATCTTATACCGCAGTAGTTTTACAGTAGGAATATGTCGTATATGAAAAATATCTTGACATGGCTACCGCAGCTTGGCAAGCCCTTTCTGGAGGCTAAGCTTCCACAGCCTTGTCTTCTCCGTGCTGTATTGAATGCAGGAAGCCCTCAACCCTCAAACCTGAACCCTCACCATCTGACCCTAAGCCCAGAAAAGTAGGCCATCCAAAAAAACGAGTCTGAGCATGTTGGGATCCAGCTGGCGCCCGAAATCTGCAAGCCCAGGGATCAGACAACCCAAATCTGCAGGCTGGCTGCGTACACCTGTAACTCTCAACAGAAACCTGCAACAAAGAAGCGATGCATCTTGATGAGACATGTAGCTGGCCTTGCAACAGGGGCGTGAACTCTGCGTGCGGCGTGAGCGTGCCACCCGCGAAGAGCACCGACTGGGCCATTCGGGGTCAAGGGTTCCGTTCAATAATATAGGGGCCTTAATAATTAGAATAGGGTTTTGGGGCACCTTATACTATAATAATAATAATAATAAGGACCCCCACAATAGTATTGGTAATTATTTAGGCCCCTATATTATATCTCTGACCTCTGAACTCTATGCGCCGATGGCCCTGATCCCTGAATGCTCAGCCGCCCAACCGTGCAATAAGCCTTACGTTGAATATCTCTACACAACGAAGCACCACATGCGAAAGCCGAACTTGTACTCCCGAAAACAGGCGGGTTGAAACCCAGATGCGCCTCTAACAAGTCGGTCCCAAGCCCAAACTACCCATAGGCCCCAAAGTAGTTCCTTTTTGGGATTCCCTTATAGGATTCTATATACGAACCCCAAAAAGCAACTACTTTGGGGCCTTAGGGTAGGTTACGACCCCGTAGTTCTTGAGGATATAACTCTCAGAAGCAGTTGGTGTTTTGATCACCTGGTCGAGGATCAGGAAAAATGCGGTCGTTGTTAGCACACTAACGGCAAGGAAAATGGAAGTTTGCAGGGCAGTGATTCAGGGATGAGGGGTTTAGGGTGTAGGAGTCCGAGTTTAGGGGTTAGGGTTGAGGGGTGGAGATGGATTCCGCCTTCGCACAATGAGGTGTTGGATGGACGGTTCATTGAGGCCCGGTTTTGTCACTTTCGGATATGTTTGGGCGGTCCCTTCCGTGTCCACTCCAGGCTTCGTGATTTAAGCCCGAAACCCTTTAAACCAGACACCGTCAAATCCTAAACCGTTAACTCTAAACACCGAAGCAATATGCACCCGAAGCCTTACACCCTCTAGACCTTATAGAAGCCTTACACAACCTGACAGAAACCTTGTGCAGAACCCCTATCGAGTAGAGCCTACTAAACCCCTAGAACCCTCGTAGAACCACTCTTCAATGCTCGTAGAACCCTCACAACAGCGTGCTGGTTGAGGCCCAAGGCAAAGGAACGATTCCCAGAAGTAGCCGAAGTACATCTAACGGGGTGCAGGGTTCAGGGGTTTTGTGGCTTTAAGGCTTCAGGATCCAAGGGCTTGTTGAGGGTTCAAGGGTGTTCGGGCTTAGAGCGTAGGGATCTAAGGAATCGACGTTTCTGGAGTTCAGATGTTTAACCCCAGACGCCCAAGCATGTATCGGCGTTACACAATTGATGCTTCAGGATACGCCGGGCACAACATCGTCCGCAACGAGCTGAGATGCCCACACGCGCACCGAGGAGGACCTCTCGAAATCGGACCTGTCGAATCCAAAACCCAACAAGTTGCGGGCTCAACGCTGAGGCTTGGGACGTTGGATCCATCTCGCCTCCAACCGTGCTACTCGTTCAATGACAGAACTGGGCAAGGCGCCACCATCCCCTGGCAATACAAGGACCTTAATATTTAATAATTAGAATGGGGTTTTGAGGCGCATTATACCATAATTCTGATAAGGAACCCCAAAATAGTATTGGTAATTATGTAGGCCCCTTTAGTATACGACTTGTATTGACTGCCAGCACGAGTCTCAAAGATGAGCGAGGGCCACTCTTGTGGATAGGCCTCAAAAAGCTTTACTAGACTCAAGAGTAACCTAGGAATAAAAAGGGTGCCCTTTTTGGTTTAAAGGGGCTTACAAGGTAGGCTGAATCCTAGAAAAAGGGAATAAGGGCCTCTAGGTCCTAGTTTATGTATGCGGATCCGTGAACTCCGGGGAAAGAAGATCCACAGAGTTGGAACTGAACGCCCTAAACCCTAAACCCTCAAAACCCTAAACCCTAAAAACCCTAAACCCTAAACCCTAAAAACCCTAAACCCTAAACCCTAAACCCTGAACCCTAAACCCTAAACCCTGTGAGATGGATTTCTTGGATGGTCGAGGTTTTTGGACCTACGAACAACTCCGTATCCTATGCCTCTTTAAAACAGTCTCTTAGCGTTTAGGGTTTAGGGTTTAAGATTCAAGACCCTGGTCGCATCACAAAGCCGCTTGCACTCTTCTTCTATTCTTCTTATTACTATTGCTATTACATGCAGTTCCTAGTACCACTGCTGCGGTTGATGCTGTAAATCCTGCATTACCATAATGACCCTAGACTTGGAGAATTATGGTATATTGCTTATTATGGGTATTGCAGGGTTTATATCATCAACCGCATCCCCAGCCTCGGCGTCCAGGCTGAGATACTTCAAAGTCATTCCACCTGCATGGGAGTTCCAAGGATTCTCGGATCTTCTGCGTCGGATGGTGAAGGATAGGTGTTATTGGGTTGAGGGTTTAGGAACGTTGGGGTTTAGGTTCCTTTTGGGGAATCAAGGTTCATGCGGCTAAAGGTTTCGGGTTTGCGGGCTTAGGCTCTGAATAGACGGTGGAGGCTGGGTCTTTCAGAGTTGTGTACCACTGTGGCTGCATGTCTTCAGTCAGTAGCAGCCAACTATAGCCACGACAATAACCTAGACCACCCCATAAATCCTGCACTTGGAGTCGGAGTCATGCAGTTGCCAACCCAAATCTTGAACTCTAAATCACATCCGGGTCCAAGTTCTGCAAGGTTCTAGTTTGGGATTCTTGGCTGGGCCCGAAGTGATTTCATAACATTCGGGCTGGGAGGGTTTATGGCTCTTTGAGGTTATGATCACCCTGCATCATCAGTTCGAAGTCCGTACAGTACCTGGGTGGAACATGCTTCCCTAAACACTGAGGTAACCCTGACCCACAACCCCAACCCGGAACCCTGAAACCTAAACACATTGCTATCGATACATTCGCTTGGGAGTTGCCGAAAATACGGGACCCTAGTATAGCACCCGAAATAGTAGGCCACTTATCCTAAGGATCCCCAAATAAGGTACCCCTAATTTTTTCGGAAACTCCCACTTCTATGCTGGTGGCAACCCCACTTAAAGGCTCATGGGACTTAGTAAGTAAGGTTGAAAGTACCTTCTTTGGGGTTATAAGTATAATTACCTTACTTATAACCCTAGTTACTAAGTCTCATGATCCTCTAAGTACCCCCAAAACCCTTGTAGAACCCTTAATAGTAACCTGTATAGATCCCTTAATAGGAGCCCCTTTAAAGGAACCCTAGCCCTAGTTACTAAGTCCCATGACCCTCTAAGCAACCCCAAACATCAGGTCCTCGAGGGGCCTGAGTTCCCTTCGGGCTTCTGACACAGGAGGCGATCCTGGAACCCCGCAGGGGTTTAAATAGAGGACCCAAATATACTCCCCTAAATAGTAGGATCCTTATTATAAGGGCCCCCAAGTTTGTTAGCCCTGAAAAGCTTTTGCGTGCAGGTTGGGCTGCAACAGATTGGTGTTAGGGCCTGGTTTGGGGGGTTGGGGCTTGCGGTGATAGGGTATTCACGTTGGGGTTGAAGGCTCAATTGCTTACATTCCTCAGCTAAACAGTCTTGGATATACGGGCTCAAGGACAAAAAGAACCTCAATACTAGCCTGCAGGCCAGTAGCAGAGGGATCCTTATACTAAGCCCCTGCCCTTCCCTCGACAAGAACCAACCTCGGCCCTCTTGCTTGTCTTATATATATAAGTCTTAGCATGTCTTATAGTAGCCATCCCGAATTCCTCACTCTCGAGTTCCTGAGTTCAATGAACAGAAGAGATGAGGACGTGTGAACTGACAATCCTCAACCAACGCCCATACAGCCTGCCACCAAGCCCTTAATCTCTCTTCTGCAACAACCGGGCCCCAAAAAGTTCAGACTTTCTAAGATGGAGCTAGTATATAAGGCCAAAAAGTTTAAAGTTCCCCCGCTCACTATCTAAGTAATAAACTGTTGCACGGATTAGTTAGTGAGCTTTAAGACATTCGACTGCTTCTCCTCAGCAGTGCTCGTCTGCAGGGCTACCAAGAGCTCTGCCACCGCATAGATGGAAGACCTTCGGTTAGAGGCTGAGGGGTGCTAGTGCGGGGTTCAAAGACATTCCGGGACTCTTGTAGTTTTGGTGAGCTTGGGGTTCAAGGTCTCGGTGAGGGATGAGGCTACCGCAGAAGCGAGTTTCAAAGCTGCGATACGTGCATGAAAATGTTTGCTCTTTGCCAGCAAATGGGAGCTTCCGAAAATTAGGGGTACCTTATTTTGGGGTTCTTGTAATAAGGATCCTTATAATTACCTTGTAACCCCAATTCAGGTACTTACAACCTTACTTACTAAGTCCCATGATCCTCCAAGTGGGGCCTACTATATAGGGTACTATATTAGGGTCCCCTATTTTCGGAAACTCCCAAATGTCACGACACTGTTCCGTCATCTCCCGAACAGTGGAGCGGTGGTTTGGCATCCTGCAGTCCAGCATGCATCTCCGTCAAGACTGCTCTGTAGTAGTAGTAGTAGTAGTAGTAGTAGTAGTAGTAGTAGTAGTAGTAGTAGTAGTAGTAGTAGTAGTAGTAGTAGTAGTATCCCCCCCTTCCTGCCCATGTAATCCCTACGGTATGACTATACAGTAGAGTATACCACAAAAGCTGCTGCAAATCGCTCTACTGAGCGCATAGGCGAGCTCTGGCATGAGTCGCGCCGGGAGGGCACTTTGGCGTTTACGGTTTACGGCTGATAGGGTTCCAAGGAGCATCCGTCAGTATCTCCAACCGTGGATGGGTTGACAAACCGGAAGCCCTACAAAAAAGGGTTGGTAAAATGTCAAGTCAATTTTTCAGGGTGCTGGATTTGGGGTCTTTGCTTGAGGATAAGGGGCCAGGAGTTCAGAATCCAGATGTATGTTCTCAAAAACTGTCAGGCTTATATAGGGTGAAGGCTTTGGGGTTTCAGGAACTCCCAGGGCTTTAGGATGCAGGGTTCGGGTTTGATCGGCTTCAGCATGCGCTGGCTACAGTAGCAGAGTGTCACAACACGAGCTGTGAACCTCAACCCAATGCCTACCCGGCGACTATGGCCTTTCAGGCCCCTTCTGACTCCCTACACTCAACCACGGGGTGTGGGGTTCGCTCTCGCATCAAACCAGCTGCTAGCTCCAAAGGACAGAAGCTTCCAAAGGTTTACCACGCCTAAGGGGAAACTCCGGAGAACTATAAACCCAATGAGCACCCTCGGAGCCCTATCAACCTCAATGAACATGCCACGCTGAGCCCGCAGCGCATTGCTCCCAGTTGTGATGGCTTGGCTCTCCGTGTACCCTCGCACCTAATACAGGGGCCTAAATATTCTTTCTAGGGTCTTGAGGTATATTATACCATACTTATAATAAGGACCCCCCAAACTAGTATTGGTCATTCTTCAGCCCCTATATCACTGGCTCCAGGCTTAGAGTGTAAGGCAAAAACTTAGGGGTATCAGGTTTTGCAGTCTCCATAGTTCCTCTTTTGGTTTAGCCGGTTTCATATTTAAGATCCTATAGAGTACCCCCCCAATGGAATTACCATGGAAAGCGCAAGTATGGTCAGGACTTGATTTGCAGGGCTGACTCAAAACTTCAGGGCTTGGTGCAAGCTCAAGGCTGCTACTGCTGCTACTGCTACTGCTACTGCTACTGCTACTGCTACTGCTACTGTGTACGTACGTAAGAGGTAGGTAGGTATGTACGTATGTGTGTGTGTGTGTCATAGGCGTAAGTGTATATCAACATGTATATATATATAGATAAATACAAATGCACATGCACAGATACACGGACAGATAGGTGGAAGGATAGACAGATAGCGGATAGACAGCCGACAGATAGATAGATGGATGCATAGACAGACAGACAGACTTATAGGATAGATAGGCAGTCATCGAACTTGCATAAAGATATAAACGGATCCGTGTATACACATGCACAGAAAGATACAGGACTAGAGCGTTTTTCCAGCCCCCTCCCCCTCTCCCCAGGCCTTGCGCGGAAGCTCTGTCTTTTCCAAGAACTGTGCCAGCTCCTCCAACGTCGCAAAGCTGAGGAGGGCTAGTGTTTTGACTAAAATCCTTTCAACCCTAAGACCCAATCGAGTCCCTAAATCCTGAACCTTTGAAGCCTCCAAATCCCATACCCCAGAATTCTAAAAGGCCCTAGTTTGCTTTTTTACAAAAATTCAGATCACCTAAAACTAAAACTCATAAAACCCTGATTCCGAAAAGCATAATCAAGCCGCTAAACCCTAAACCCAAAACCTATAAGGCCTCTACACCCCATACCGGAAAAACGTGAAAAACCCTAAATACCAGATGCCCTAAACCCTACAAAACCCTAAACCCTGAAACTCTAATAAAGCCCCGAAATCCTAAACCCAAAACCTGTAAAGCCTCAATAAACGTATCTAGATGGTCATGGGACTTAGCAACTAGGGTTGTAAGTAAGGTGACCACTGTGAAAACTACTTATAACCGACTTATAACCGCAATTACAGTACTTGTAAGCTTATAACCCCCTTATAGATCCCCTTAAGGAACCATTCAGGAACCTTACTTACTAAGTCCCCTGATCCTGCAAGTAGACCCTAAACCCTAAACCTATATAATACCGTTATAGATCCTACGAAATCCCAGCTCCCAGTTTCCGGAAGATCGAAGTTATCCGCACCCGCGGAGACAAGGAAGGCTCCTACCTGAGAAAAGTTAGGGTTTAAGGGATGATAGGGTTCAGGGTTTGGGGAAGGCTCCTACTTGAGAAAAGTTAGGGTTGGGGGATTAGAGTGTTTAGGGCTTAGGGAAGGCTCCTACCCGAGCAAAGTTAGGGTTCAAGGGATCATAGGGTTTAGGGTTTAGGGAAGGCTCCTACTTGAGAAAAGTTGGGGTTGGGGGATTAGAGGGTTTAGGGTATAGGGAAGGCTCCTACTTGAGAAAAAGTTACGGTTTAAGCGCTTACAGGGTACAGGGTTCAGGGAAGGCTCCTACCTGAGGAAAGTTCGGGTTTGGGGGATTATAGGGTTAGGGTTTCGGGAAGGCACAGGGTTCGAATCATATAAGTGTATATGGTGTCTTAAGTGTACATGCAGGGGCTAGTTAAATTGCTGGGTGTTAACAGAGGGACTGTAGGGACACTAGGGCTGTAGGGTTTCTGGACTCAAGGGCAAGGATTTCACGTTTGAAGGTTCGTCGGTAGTTTTAGTGCGCAGATATCGACACTCTGAGTGCAAGTCAATACCAACAGGATCTCCCACATGCATGCAGTGCAGAGAGCCATGCACCACGATGCAGGCAGCAAATCACCCGATCGTTGAATCTCCTGACCTTGAAAGCTCGAACTACACAGCAATTCCGATGTCCAATAGTGAAGAACACAATCTCTACCGAGGGAGCCTGAAAGCCCTTCTTCGGTTTAGGGTTGCAATGCACATTAAGTAGGATCATGGGACTTAGTAACTAGGGTTATAAGTAAGGTAACTATACTTACAACCCCAAGTAAGGTACTTATAGCCTTACTTACTAAGTCCCATGATCCTCCAAGTATGTGCATTGGTTTGAACTACAGGGTTTCTTCAGAGATAGGGCTGGGCACGTCTGTTGGCTTAGGGGCTTACTTGGAGGGTCGGGGGACTTAGTAACTGGTTATTTTAGGGACTTATAAGTACCATAACCCCAATTAGGGTCCCTTTTAGGGTACTTGTAAGTCTACTCACTACCTACTTACTAAGTCCCCCGACCCTCCAAGTATAGGGTCTTACGAGTGTGGAATTCAGGGTGTCAGGGTTTGTAAGGTTCGCACAACCCAAAGATCAAAGATCGCGAACTCTCAAACAAGCCAAGAAGGGAATCCAGAGTCCTAAAGCCGAACCAGACTGTACATCTTCGCGTTGGCGTTGTTTCGTGCTGCCTATCTGTGGGCTTATGCCGTTTATGGTTTGATGATTGAAGCAAGACGTTTACGGTCATGAGGCTTCTTGAACCCTAGATTCTTCCCCCATTTATACAACATCCCCTGTTATTAAAGCATTTTTCGGAAATCCAACCCTGACATCATCCTTGCCTTCAAATAAACCGTTTGCATGCGGGGTTCAGCAGGAGGAGCAGGAGCAAGACGAGAGCAAGCGAACGAGCAGGAGCAAGAGCAAGAACAAGAGCAGGAGCAACAAGAGCAGGAGCCAGAGCAAGTGCAGGAGCAAAAGCGCGAGCAGCAGCAACAGCAAAAGTGGAGGAGCAAAAGCACGAGCAGGAGCAAGAAAACTCGCAAAGCAGGAGCAACAGCAAGGGCAGGAACAAAAGCCAGAGCCACAGCAGGAGCAAGATCTCTCACTCTCAAAGGTAACATTAGAGATAAGCAATCAACGCACCCTTGGATGCCATGTTCTTTTTCTTTAACAAGCAACTCTCATTACGGCTCTATCACAGCCACAGCCACACCGCCCTTGCCGGACTGACAATTTGCAACTGCCAACTCTGCAACCGTGCACTGCAACAAGCGCCGGGGAGAGAAGGCTGCGACAAGTTGGCTTCCTGCAAGCAGACCATCGGCACGTTTCGTGCAGCAGCGGCGTCAGGCAGTCGCTTGCCGTTCGTGAACCACGATCCAACAATACAAGACGCCAGACGGCAACTCCCAGCCGGGCCCGGGCGCGGCTCGATGCCCTCTTCGGTCAAGTCTCTGAGCCACTGGGACTTCTGCAGCGGCGGCAGAACGGATTCCCTATCAATCTGGAATTAGGCATCCAGATGACGGACCTCCTTCAAATGGGTGGTTGTCAAAATTATGGTCCCTTTTTGGGTGCCCTAACCATTAGGTGCCGTACTATATTAGGTACCCAAAAAGGGATCCTAATTTTGACAACCACCCAAATGCAGGCGACACGCCTGCAAGTAGACCAATGTTGCCAGCTCCGTGCCTCCCACCGTTTGCGCCGGTAACAACAGAAAATGTGAAAACACTTTCCTAGTCCTAGTCTTTATTGTGGGGGGGATCTCCACTCGTTTAAGAGTAAGGGGAAGGGATTATAACCCCTAAACCCTCATAAAACCTTGAAATGGCCTTACAGAGCCCTTCAAGCTTCTCCTTAAACCTAGGGGAAACGGAAGCCTGAACTCAGGGCGCCCGAGCTGTCTGAACGCAGGGGCTTTCTAGACCACCCAGGTAGTGATGCCTGAGGTCGAAGCTTTTCGGTCATCGGTTTAGGGCTCATGGTTCAGTGATGTTTAGTGATACATGGGACAGGGACTTTTCGGTGAAAGGTTGATGTTTCTCATCATGCTGATCGGGCGATCGCCACTACCATTACCACCAGGATGATGATAGTGACGATGATGATGGTGGTGGTCATCATGATGAAGACGGAAGACGATGAAGATGATGAAGAGGGTGGTGATGATGATGGTGGTGATGGTGATGACAATGGATAGCCTCGCACGCCCTTAGACCCAGCATTAAAAAAAACGTCAATGTGTGTTCATGAAAAGGTCTTGGAGCTTTGTGATAGACATAAACAGTGATATTTTCTAGGGGCACTATGGTAACTCATTATCAATCATCATCATCATCATCGTATTCACCATCACGGGTATAATCAGCGCCATAATCATCACCGGCACCAGCACCAGCACCAGCACTACTACTACTAGCAGCAGCAGCAGCAGCAGCAGCAGCAGAAGAGCAAAAGCAGAAGCAACACCAACCCCATCTCTTCTTCTTCTTCGTCAGTAGCTGATGTTAAGCTTCAAAAGCGCTGGCCGCTCCAACTCTCAGAAAGTCGCACAGTCAGGATCCCATGTGCTCCGTAAGTCATGCATCAAGGACTCATGCGTGTCTCATTGTTTGTGGGCCCACAGACCATTCGAATTTTATTGGCCTGCTTTGAAGACTTCATAAAAGTATATCTACAATTCTAAACCTTACGCCCCAAAACCACTAAACCTCCAAACCCACAAAATTCCAGACAAATCATGGGCTGGGCCCAAGAAAGTTAAAGACTGAAGCCCTGAATCCCAAACCCTTGAACCCTCAAGGCACATGCTGCTCAAGTGACATCTTCGCGCAAAAGAGGCGAAGTTGACGAAGTCGAAGCGCATTCAGCGGGGAAAGCCGGGACTGCGTCAGGGCCAAGGACCCTTTTAGGGTTTAGGGTTGGCTTCAGGTTTGAGGGTCCGAGATGTGGGGGGTTTGCGTCTCCAGTGCATCCTTCGTCTCAAAGCAGTTTGACCTTGTAAGAAGGCGGACACTTTAGGTTTATTCGACGTTCTAGTTCTTAGTTGGTGGATCCGAGCCCCCAGTTAACACACCAAAACTTAGTGTAGAACACTGAAAACTATACAGGACTGTGGACGCTGGTTTGGAGAATCACCTACTTCGCGACAGGAAAACTATGTCGTCCTGTGTTTCCGTAGCCGAACCTCTGATTGGCTTCACCGACACTTCTAGAGTGAAAACTGAACCATAACCACGACCCTTAAGTCGAAGCCGTATAGCTTATGAGTAGTCCCACCCTTCAACCTTAAAATCGAAACCTGAAAGAAAATCATGAAGGCTCGAAACACCGCAACACCCTCCAGGCTTCATGCTTTCGAAGCACGAAACCCAAAACCTCTCAACCCCCCCTTTTACACACCCTAGAACCCAAAACCCACCGGAACTTAAACCAGTCACTCCCATTATGAACCCTGTGCTGGAAACCCCAAAGCTACCTCGTAACTCTTCGCATAGCGCGCGAGATCATCCACCGAACTTTTGACCTAAAGCGAGGGCTTCGTTGCCAGCCAAAGGGTTTACGTTGAAGTCTCAGGCGTAAGCCTGTATAGAGTCTCGGGCTGAATTAGGTCTCAAGGGTCTAGAGCTTAAGCCGTTTCGGGTTCAGGGCTCAGGGTGCCTACTTAGCACTTCCGGTTATGGGTTTGGGCTTCGAGGTTGCGCTATATGCGGGCCAGTAGGGGCTTTGGTGTCTCAGACCGTAGGGTCTGCTTACTTTAATTGTGGCTGAAGCTTCAGGCTGCAGGGTACGGGTCGGGCTTGGTTTTTTTCAAACCTCAAGACGCACTTCACACTTACCCCCTAGAAGCGCAGTTAAGTTACCTTTCGACATCACTCAAGAACGCCCCCCAGGCCCCCAACCCTTGCCCCGCACAAAACGCGAAACCCTATACCCAAACCAAACCTAACTCGCCCCACCCCCGCAAAAACAAAATGCCATCGAAGCCTGTATCAGAAGCCCGACCAAACATCTTGAACCGAAAGCCCTCCACCTTAATGGTTTACGGGACCCATGTGCTGACATCTTTGTGGTAGACTGATGATCGAAGACCACCACACGCAACATCGTCTTTAGGGGGCTGCTCTTGAATTTAGGGCAGCAAGACAAACTGCAGGAGGTGGAAATGAAACGAAGTACTTCTTCTCTTTATGGAAATCGCAAAATCTGCTTGCAACTCCAAGACCAAACGCCGAAAACCACTGACAACAAGCATAGTTTATGTTTATGCACGGATACTTACAAATATACATATATACATATACATATACATATATATTAAAGAGAGAGAGAGAGAGAGAGAGAGAGAGAGAAAACAAAAGAAACTGGGGAGGAGAGAGTCGTAAATGTATGGGTGTGTGTGTGTGTGTGTGTGTCTGTCTGTCTGTCTGTCTTTGTTGTGTGTCTCGTTCTAGCTTAACTGGGCTTTGCAGGCTCTGTTCCGGGCTTACCTGAGCAGCTTTTTCTTTGCTTCAAGCGTCGTTATGCGTTTGTGCCCCGAAGCCTAAACCATGAATGGAAGCAAGTCACGCGTGCTGCAAAGTCTCTACTGGAAGTTCTAGACAAGAAAAGCTACCCTGTCAAACCGTATACATTGTTAATTTTCAAGCCTAAACGGCCCAGCGCTGTCCACGGCCCTGGCACGAAAACACGTTCAGCTGACTCCACTGGCCATTTTCTGTCGTCTAGCCTTGTAGCTTCAGCTCCAAAGAGATCGCTCTCCCAGGCCCAGATGGTGCTGAGGTACCACCACACTACCCACGCTGGTCCTCCTTCTTCTGGGCTTGGTAGCCTGCGCAAGGGCTCAAATCCTAGCACAAGGACTCTACCCGAAGGTGCTACTGTCTCTGGCCAGTCCACGCGTGGTTCAGCAGAAGCTCGCGCTTTCCCGCTTCCGTCGCGCTGGCCTTGGGCAACGGAAGGAAAAAACTGCAATCTATTGAGGAGCTTCGCCATGGATTCGGTGGGGGATGGCGGCTGCCGAACCGGCTTCGCCGGCAGCTTGGGGCCCGTCACTTGACGGCGCGGCGGCGGCGGTGACTTAGCTTGGGCATAGGGAGACCGTGCCTTGGAAATGTCCCGCCAGCGACACTCGGCGAAACCCCAATGCGCCATCAGCTGACCTGATGCAAGCATGCAAGAGCATAGAACTTCGGAATAGTGGTCGTGCGGACGGTGCCCAGCCTCCCACTCTTTTGTCTGTCGTTGGCCCGGAGCCATTTCTTGCCTGGCAACGGGATCCCAAACCGCATTTCGAGCAATGGAGGCAGAGAGCCAGGTTCTGGCCGCTTTGTTGTGAACGTTTGGAGACACTTCTCGTTCACCGGTCTGCTGCCGCAGGAGTGGTTTGAAACCGTACCCCTTAAAAGGTGTGTTTCGGAAAACCACGCGCAATCAACCTTGTTCCTCCCGTGGGGTTAGTCTTCCGCAATTCACGATAGACCTGGAAGGTTACTGCACCACAGGCATTTCTTGTGATAGTCCAGGACATGTGTAGGGCTGTCTGAAGTCACGTGCCAAGCATTGAATCAATCATGCAGCGAATGTCTTGAATCACGGTGCTGCCTTGTCAGCATGACCGGGATCGAACCCGTTCCCGCGCCCCCCATGTGTGGCGGCCTGCCAGCCTTCTTCTCGTGATTCACGGGGAGGTTGCAATCCGCGCATGAAGGCACTGGGCCTTGGCAACCTCGCGCGTCTGGGCCAGGTGCCTTTTGGTGTTTGTCAAGGCGGCATCGATAATGAAGTAAGCGTCCATCGCAAAAGCCAGCACGTGGAAGGACGACGGGAAAGAAAGCTTGAGAAAGAGCAATTGCAGAAATGACATCGCTGTCTGGAGCTACCGAAATTTTGTGGGGATTAAAGAAGCTCGGAAGTTTGCGGGGATTCAGCACGTGCAACATCGTGCAACACACGGACATGCTGACGAAGGAAAGCACGGCAAAAACTGTTGAGACCGTCGCTACACACCACCCTGAGTCTTGCCCACACAGCCGTCGGATGCTGTCAAAACTGGCCCCAGCGGGATGAGCAGCGAACTCGCATACGGCCCTTCGGCTCGTGGTTCCTTGAACGTGCTCGTCCGGCTCCGACGCTCTCAACCCAAACGACGCTTGCCGCCTGTATTGGTTTGAAACAGTTTAGGGTTTAGGGTTTAAGTCCCCTATAAACCGAAAAAAACTTACAGGCCGTAAATCCGAATTCGAGGTCCTCCAAGCCGCGAACCTGCGCGCTCGTCAAGGACACGGAGTTGGCTTCGTTGATGGCCTGGAGGCTGTCTAGATGTTAGATGCATTCAAGTTTCCAAAAAGCTGGCTTCTAAGACTAACAGGAGCTAAAAGGTAAGGCTGGTGAATAGCATTGAGTTTGCGTATGCAAGTGTATGTATGCATGTATGTATGTATGTATGTATGTATGTATATATATATATATATATGTGTACGTGTGTCGTGTGGTTGTCTCCTGTACGCACAAGGTGCGTGCTGTGTGGATTATGCAGATTCAGAACAACATTGATTACAACCCAACGCAAGGTATAGGGCCTATAGAGGCAGTAGAGCAGCTCCGAAAGATCGAACTCGAGGAGGAGGAGGGTTCAGTGTCGCATTTGAAGGAGTTTAGTCGAGGGGTGCATGAATCTTGGGGGGTGAGGAACCCGGCTTTGCCATCATATAGCTGTATGAGGCCGTTTGACTGCCTCGAGTCTGGGTGTCTCAGATGCACACTCTCCCGCAACCAGGCTCGTGCTGTTTCGCTGTATGGGATGTCAGATGTCACCAAAGCCAGCCGACAACGTAGCGAGGATGACAAGCAGAGTGCCGAAACCGCGCCGTCATCACAGCAAACACAGCTGTATACAAAATACAAATAGACAGATCGACCGATAGATAGAGAGATCGATAGATAGATGTACACACTGACGGAGAGGGAAGGACAGACCTGATAGACGACATTTCTGTGCAATTCGATACCATGTACTGTATATGGGTGGTTGTCAAAATGAGGGTCCCTTTTTGGGCACCCTGAATAGTAGGTGCCGTATTATTAGGGTATCGATCTTCAGGCCCCGGGTGTAAGCATCGTCTTGTCCTCCTCTCCCCTAAACCCTCACCTCTAGCCCTACCCGAAGGCCCCAAAGTAGTTCCTTTTTGGGGTTCGTTTATAGAATCCTATAAGGTAATCCCAAAAAGGAACTACTTTGGGGCCTCTGGGTCGACCCTATCATAAAGCCCTAAACCCGATGGATCAAGCTGCTTGCCTCCAGAAGGTTATGGGCCTCGTCGAAGATCAGCACATTGCCCTAGCAGATACTCCGTCGCTCGGCGTCCATGTGCAAGTGTAGCATATAGGTTAATCCATAAGTCATGTTTCAGGGGAACATGGACCCTTATACAATTCAACATCAGTGTCACACAGGACTAGCACATCATCCTTCATATGTTATTTGCTGAGCCGCTTCTCGAGAATCCTAACCGCCTCGCTTTGCGAAGCCCGAAACATCTGCAGTTTGTACACTCCAGCGAAGTGGTGTCTACATGCGAGAACGGTTTAGGCTGCCACGCATGAGTGTTCCTCAGCTGAGGAGCGTTTGCCAGGTATCGAGATCGAGTCAAGACAAAAACACCAGAAAGGAAAGCAGGGCATCTCCACATAAGGCTTCGGGCTTTCGGCACATCTCAAGGGCACCCGCGCGCCTCTACACGAATGCCCAGCTTGCTCCTGCGTCAGAGATTTCAGCTTCAGCTTCCTCCAGGACTATAAGCCTAAAGTCTCCATTGACTCCATTGTAGCTCCTTTCTTTCCTTGTGTTCACTTCTTTATCGGTTTGTGTAGGGCACCGTAGCTCAAAAGCGCAACTACAATGGAGACTACCTCAACCACCCAAAGTAGGTAAGATACTAGCCCCAAAGCCCATAAAAGGGCCATTATTCTACATACTCTAGGGGTTCAGGTATGGGTAGAATAGGAGATCGAGGCCCATGGGCGTGGATTTGGGTGTTGGGATATGACCAGGATCAGTTGTTGAAGGTTCGGGCTTGGTAGCGTTAGGAATTGGCGTTTCTGGTTGAGGCTTTTGGGCAAAGGGTTCGCGTAGGGCCCTCAACACAAAAGCCCTTCTTGATTTGAGCTCCACAAGCGTCCACTCAAAGCTCCCGAAGGTCCAAGGCGTCTTGCAAGGGATGCTGTAAGGATTGGTGCACCAATCACTAATTGCAAGGGCTGTATGAGACTGTATCAGGGTTATACTCGCCGGGCTCCTCATCTCAGAGTTTACCAGCGAAGCATAGGGAACCAGCACCACGTCTGCCTGGCAATGCCGGCGACAGCACTTTGTGCGGCTGCATCGGTATTCTTTGGTTCTGCTGTAATGTTCTATCTGTGTGGTACTTGTTCAAGCAAGGTACCATGGGAATAGGTACCTTAACCGGCACGTACTTGGATCCGCCCCTGAAAAGGTTTAGCGTGCAAGTTATGCACCCACGACCTTAGCATTCAGGGTTAGGGGCTTCAATTGTGCAAGGTCTAAGCGTTGTGAGCCCTTGGGCAACAAGCCATTCATGTCTCAAATTACCATTCGTTCGAAAGCACAAGCCTTGAATCTCAACGCACATGAAGACCAACGTCTTTCGTTGTTGAAGTCTCAAATCCTGGAGCTCCATCAACTTTTTCAGACGGTTCTCCCAACAAGCCAGAAGTCTGCGATTGACCCTGCCACGACCCGAACCTAGAAACCTTTCAACGCCACCCTTGTTGCAGCTACATCCCTATATGCTGAAGCATACACTGTAGGTACACCCAAAACCAACCCACAAGCAAACCATACCTGAAAAACTGACAGGGATCTGTGTTAGGTTTATGCGAGAAAGAATCCGTTTTGCCCCCCAAAACGAACCGTTGAGGTTCCTAGGTAACGATGAAAAATCGACACCTCACACCGAATATGCAATGAGAGCAGTAAAGGCTAAACCCAACAACCCTGAACCATGCAGAACCCCTCCAGGGTCCTCAATGCGAGCCCTTCTGTCCCTGAAGCCCCGGAAAATTCTTCAATCTCTATGCTTTCGCGCCTCGGACACAGCGCCCCGGCTGCCGTAGTAAGGACAGCCTACGCTGAAAAGCTCATGGGTTCTGTTCAAGTATTCGAGCTTACAGTAGGGTACGTTTAGGGTCAGCAGGGGTTAGAAGGAAAGGATTATAGAAACTACGTCCCATGCTAGAGGGTTCTCAAGTAGGTCCTGCGAAGTAACGGTTCCCTTTCCGGGTACTGAAACTTTAACAGGAGGAATTCAACTTCAAGACCAGTCATGGATACTTAGGCGGGAGAGAGAGGTCCCAAGATTCAACGAAAGTGAACATTTCAGCTAATCTCCTACGTCGGGGCACCTCTTCGAACATACAACCACAAGGCCATTCAATGCGAAACTCTAAAGGATTCTCCCTGTTTCAACTCTGCAAACAACCAGCATCATATGGGGGTTTCCGAAAACTAGGGGTACCTTATTTTGGGGTCCTTATAATAAGGATCCTATTATTTAGGGTACTATATTAGGGTCCCCTATTTTCGGAAACCCCCATATCTGGAGGAAGCCCACAGCAAACACCAAAACTCGCGATTTTCTGGCCTCCACCAACGGGCCAGCGCCCACGATCCGCCATCGCCTGCCCCAGTCAGCTGCAGCATTCTCGGGGTTTTATGCGAATTGAAAGGTTATGCACAGGTGTTCAAATTACTGTTTTCCGGGTACAAGAATGATCGGAGCTTTCAGAATGATCATGAGATTCTTAGGGCTTCGGGTGGGGCGCCAGTGTCCACGACTCCAAGAACAATCCCGGAGCCTGCTTGCCCTGTCGTGCGGACAAATTGCGTACCGTGACACAAAGTCCGGCTGACAGCCTTGGGTGGTTGTCAAAATTAGGGTCCTTTTTTGGGTACCCTAAATAATAGGTGCCGTACTATAGTAGAGACCCAGAAAAGGACCACAATTTTGACGACAACTACCCATTATCTTTGCTACAAGGTTTCGCAGTCCTGATACCACCTTCGAAAAGCCGCGACATCCTTGCATTCATCGGTGATGAGACAGGGTGTGCATGATGCCCGGTGATCCTGCAAGCGACGACAGAAAAAGTGTAGAGTCTACTCCTACGGCACAGTTGTCATCATCTACCCCCCGGCAGCCAGAACCCCGGAGCAAAAACCAAACAAACAGAGCGATCACACGGTTCACATAAACCAAAATAGAGGCACAGCCTGGGCCAATTGATGACAATAAACTTAGAAAACATGAACGGCAGCTACATCAACCTGTAAACAGCCATTCCAAACACAAAAACGGTACATAGTGACAGAGCACAATGTCAATGCCACAAGTGCTCTTAAGATGTGCCGCAGCAACAACAGCAACGACAAACCTGCAGAGCGCAAACAACGACGACGACTGCTGCTGCTGCTGCTACGGCTGCTGCTGCCGCTACAGCTGCTGCTGGTACTGCTGCTGCTGCTGCTGCTGTTGCTGCTGCGGCTACGGCTACTGCTGCATCGTCACAGGCGTTGCCCGCGCCATCGCCCTTGTGATGGTTTTCGCCCTGTTCATCCGGGTGACGGTATTGACTTTCATCTCTAGCATGCTCCTCACCAGCTAAACCAGAATCATCCTCCCTCAACATCACCATGCCACTCAGTGTCGCCATCCCCGACACTGTCGCCATCATCATCGACAACATCAACAACGACAACAATATCCGCATCATCAAGGCCACCATCATCATCATCATCACCGTTGTATCCTTCATCTTCATTACGGTCATCATCATCAGCAGCACTTCCGTCGTCATCCTGGCCCAAATCACCAATATCACTGTTTGTGCACAGATGATGTGGCAATCCATGTAACATCTTGTAGCTACCAAACTGAAGACGAGCCACTTCAATGCGCATTTTTCAGCAGTTCTTCGCGCTCTATCAATCGAGAACGCTCGTAACAGCACGGCCTTTGGCCAATCGCAAGAAAAACACGTCACTGTCCAGACCTTTAAAGGGAACCCTATCTGGCTCCCTTAAATTGATACGCATTTCCAGTAACCTTCAAGGAACCCTGTAATAAGCACCCAAGAAAAGTAGCTTCAGGAATCCGATCATTACTGGAGTTCAAGAGCCTTCAAGTCGAAAAGTGTGGTATAGATATCATGCGGTTTCTTTAAGGGTTCCTTCAGGGTTTAGGGTTTAGTGCTTTAGGGCTTATAGGGTTATAGTATAGAGTTGAGTCGCGTGTATAGAGGATGCTCAAACCTGTAAAGACGAGCACTGGCAGCTCTGTGTTCCTGCAAATGTTTGCGTTTCTACGAACCTGCGACACTAATAACAATTACTACGAAACTAACGAAGAATATAATGTAGCAAAATATCAAAAATCACAACAACAATGATGATAAGAGAAGCAAGACTCTGATCGCCATGGTCTACCTTAACCTACCAAAACCTGTTTTTTTTGTAGGGTCCCTATAAATCCCATATTAGGGTTTATAATGAGAACCTACAAAAAAGTAGGGTTTGGTAGTTTAAGGTAGGACTAGGATGACGTGTTCCGGTCGGCAGTCTCGCCGAACAATGGCAAAAAGCTGAGACGACTCTCACCCAGACCTTCCAAAATCCCTTAATTAAGGAATATACCTTAAATCATATAAGGGATCCTATTATAATTTAAGGTATATTCCTTAATTAAGGGGTTTTGGAGGCTCTGGGCAGCAAGCTCAAGGCCTCTAGACGACCACCTCGGCCCGGGAGACTTCACAGCAGCTTGCTGTCACAGGGAACTTGATGGCGCACTTCAAATCGGCGGGGCAGGTCACTTCCTGCTATGGGAAGGTCGAGATGCCGCGGGCATTGTAATGTGAATAGGATCTATAAGTTCCGCGGCTGATATTCTAGAATCAGTGTATGCGGACTATCTGAGCCCACCAGTGTCAATTGCTTAGACGTCCATGATTGCTCGGCTCTTAAGGTGTCGATTTTGAGACGCCGGATTCTATTGAATCTGCTTGGAGTATATACCTATCTATCTATCTATCTATCTATATGCATGCATACATATGTATGCATATACAGATATGTATATGTATACGGATCTATATGCATATATATATATATATATGTATGTATGTATGTATGTATGTATGTATGTATGTGTGTGTGTGTATATATATATATATATATCTATGCATATATATATATATGCATATATAATATGTATAGCCATAGCTCTTGCAGAAACCTACCGAGAGGACTGGAGTAGACCTAGGGATGAGAGGGATCCTTGATTCAGATGCAGCAAGCTAAGGCGGTTCAGCACCCCGCAGACAAAAAAGCGTTCAGGGTTTCGGGTTTGAAGCTTAGTTGTGCAGAAATAGGAGCCCACCACAGCACAAGTACACTGAAGAAGTACGCCGCCGAACAACATAATAGTGCAGAATATTCCTGATTCCAGGGGCGTTGGGCTCTCTGGAGACCGCTGTACTTCGACGACATTGCTTACCCCGAACCTTAGTTAGCACCCAAAATCACCAGCTAGCAACACTTCCACACCCCGGGCTACCCCAGCACCCGCCCTCAATGTAAGTGCTGAAAACCATGCAGAATGTAGAATCGTAGAACCTGGTGCCGACGATTGCACCACGGCTGTCCATCAGGCTGCTCCAAAACGCGAAATTCCCATGTAATCTGGCTAAACATGTAGGGTTTAGAGTTTAAGGCTCAACTTGAAACTTAACCACAAGTGTCCATGCGGTCCTTCACTCTTCCAGTGGTCGTGGCTACAGTCTTTAGGGCTTTCTTGGGGTCCTGCGTTTCCAGACTTATGATGGAACACTCTACAAACACCCGGTTTAGGGTTTAGGATTTGGGGCTTAGGGCCTATATGGTTCAGGCCATAGGGTCCAGGGCAGGTCCTTGTGGTTTCGGAACCCTAAACCCTAAATCCTAAACCCTGAACCCTAAATCCTAAATCCTAAACCCTAAATCCTAAACCCTAAATCCTAAACCCTAAATCCCAAACTCTATAAACCCTTAACCCTATAAACCGTAAAAACTATAAACCCTAGAACCCTAAACCGGGTTTCAGGTCCTTGTGGTTTCGGAAGTAGATGTGTGCCGTGGACCATGAGTCGATAACGCCCGCGAAGTCGCAATCCGCATCGCAGGTGTTCTTGCACATGTTCTCCTCGACTCTGCTTAGGGTTTAGGGTTCAGGGTTTAGGGGTTTAGGGTTTAGGATCCAGTTTAGAGTTCTCCTCGACTTTGCTTAGGGCTTAATTAGGGTTTACAGTTTAGGGGTTTAGGATTTTGCTTAGGGTTTAAAGTTTAGAGTTGAGGGGCTTATGGCACATGCTCTCCTCAAATTTGCTTACCACAAGACCATCCCTACTATGGTTTTGGGGACTTCCATAGTGGTAGTGTATGTGGAACCAGTTAAGAGTTCTACTCGGTTTTGCTTAGGGTTTTAAGTTTAGAGGTTGAGGGTTTAGGGTATATATCGGGTTTCAAGTTTAGGGTTTAGGAGAGTTTAGGGGTTTATGGTAGTAAAAAACATTGTTTAGGGTTCAGTGTTGAGGGTGATGGTTGTTACTACTCTTGTCTAGGCTTATGGAGCAAAGGGTTCGAGGTGTAGCACGAATTTAAAGTTTAGGGTTCGGGAAGAAGCCCTCAGCATCAAACCGTCAGACTTATCTAAACTAGGACCTGGCTCCAAAATCCGAGGAACGCCCAGGTAAGACTCTGATGCAACCCTATAAACCCTTATAAGACCCTTATGGGTGGTTGTCAAAAATATGGTCCCTTTTTGGGCACCTTAAATAATAGGTGCCGTATTATATTAGGGACCCAAAAAGGGACCACAATTTAGACAACCACCCTTATGGAACCCCATCGAACCCTGAACCATCGAACGGGGCCAGGACCCAGGTCAGACGGGAGGGCTCAAACCTGGAGCGAAGATCTTTTATAGGGTAGTATAAGGCCCCTTCAAGTCTATAGAGTCTATAGGATTCGATACCACCGCTCCCCCCTTTTTATCTTGTTTCAAAGGGCTTCCTAAGAGCCTCAGGCTTTGTTCAAGTACGAGATCTTCACGGTCTTTAAGGGGTTGTATAGGGCCTGAAACCTTGAACCCTAAAGCGGAAACCCTAAACTCTCTTCTTCAACAGCCGGGCCCCCAAAAAGTTCAAACTTTCTAAGATAGAGCTCATATATAAGGACAAAAAAAGTATAAAGTTCCCCCGTTCACGATCTAAGTAAACCCTAAACCCGAAACCCTGAGCCAAGGCCACCAGCGCCAAGCGGCGTTCGTAAGGCTGGAGGGCTCCCACTCATTGGATTTGATGAAAGGGAGGGAGACCTGAGCATTGGGTTCTTTTTTTTAAAGCTGAACTGCACCCCTTTCTCCGAAAGGAGCTTAGGGTTCAGAGTTTAGGGCTTGGGGTTTAGGGTTAAGGGTTTAGGGTTTAGGGGTTTAGGGGTTCAGAGTTTAGGGTTTGGGGTTTAGGTTTTTGATGGGGTTTAGGGTTTGGGGTTTAGGGTCTAGGGCACGGTCAGTGTAATATAGGGGCCTTGATACTTACAGAGCATAAGAGACGATTGGAATAGGGTGTTGAGGCACGTTATAGTT